ACGTTCTTTATGGACTTAAGGAGTCTGTGGAATAAAATGTTATTATTATTAATAAAAATGAAATCTATAGAACAAAGGAACAAGATTTTCCTCCAAAAACAAAAATAACAACAACAACAGTCTATGCTTGTTTCCATTTCGCTTTGAATGGAAATCAAGAAGGATAAGGAAATGTTTCGAGGATATGCTCTTGCTGTTGTGATGTTGGATGAGTTTCGGGGGGCCACAAAATTATCCAAAAAGATATTTTTTTTCTTCGGTACATTACACGCAAAAATCACTCGAATAAAAGTGGTTTTTTTGGGGGGTAAATGTGGAGTTTCTTGTATCATTACCAGCCAGAGTTCAGCACAGGAAAGGAATGGGAGTTGGGAATGAATACAAAGAAGAAAAAGAAAAAAAGCATTGCTTGGCTTCGTTAATGAATGACCAGAATTCTGTTCATATTAGTTATTTATGGTTCTTCTTTTTTGCTCTACGTACATATCTAAATTTCCATTGAACATAACAAAAACGATGCGAATAAGAAGACACAGAAATATAATGAATGTTCTGATGATGTTTGCAAATAACTTTCTAAAGCACACCGTCTTTTATTTGATGTTTTATTCATTTTCTCTTCATCATCATCATTAGCTTTTGCTCTACTGCTTTCATCCTTCTCACAAACTTACATTAAAGTGGGAGATACTGGAAGCTACATGAGAAGTGTTTTAATTACTCTGCTCTTCTACGAATTACTTGAAGTACATGTGAACTCAACATTCAAATAGTTCTTGTTAACAAAATTGTAAAATCGTTCGTATTCGTTAAATATAATCGAAAATCGAGTGGCAGTTTACTTTGGCTTCCTTCTCATAACAAAAACTTACTTCCATAGAATAAAATTGAGTTTTCTCACAGAAAATATGATTATGATATTGTTATTCAATAAAGAAACTCTTTTTAGCTACCGACGTGTATCTATGTGTGTATACGTACGAGCGAATTTGAATTGGTATCATCACGAGTATTTTGTTAGATATTTCTTAGAGCAAACATTCTACATTCTCGACAAAGTTCTGCAAATTCAATTTATACATAGTTCACATCTAGTTCGCATTAAATAACATTCAGCTTCATAAAGATAATGAGATTTCAACTTTCTTGATAAAAATTGATGTTGAAAAGTTTTCCTTTCATTTGACATGTTCTGATGAAGTCTTTTCATTTTCTGTGTTTTTCTACACTAACAAAATGAATGGTTAGTTGAGTTGAGAAAACTTCATCAACTTTCAATGACCTATTGTTTCAATTAAGCAAAGTTTTCGGGTTAAAGGTTTGAAAATGATTCAAAAGAATCAAAATGCAATTTACTTTTAAAGGAAGCCACAAAACATGGTTGTCAACAATTATCGGAAATTTGTTTAACTAACCTGAATTAAACGTTGGACACAAAATTTATTTAATTTTAATTACACTCAATATCAATAAAGGTTAACCAAATATCATTGTTTCAAGCTTCGTTCTAACTTGAACTTAAACTTTCTTTCTTTCAAATTCTTTTGTTTATAGAAAGGAAAATAAATTGGGAAAGTTTATTGACGTCTCAACTTCAGCTTATCAACAAACTTTACAAAGTTATCTTTCAATAACCTTCAAGAGATATTCTTCTTTGAATTTAATTAAATCATGAGTTCTTTTAATTTCATTAAAAGCACATTGGAAAGAAAGAAAGGAAAAAGTAAGCGAATGAAAAACATGTTTTGATGTTTTTACTTTAGTTTAATAATTCACGTTTTCGACGTTGTTTTATTCACTCAATTAGCTGAAAGTTTCGGCAAAGCTTTTAGGCCTAGCGGCTATTACAACGATGATGAAGATATATGTTGCAAAATAGTGTCTTATCCTGAATACAGATGAACTTTAACGAAAATAACTCATTTCGTCTGTCAGGAGTTGGGTGAAGACAGTGAAGAGAAATAACAGTACGTACATCATCATCATCCTACTTCGATCTCACACTTCTTTCTTACAACATCACAACAGCGCAAAACAAGCTCAACTCTTGTCGTATACGATTCTTATAGAGTGTTCTTGTTTTTTTTTATCCTTTTCATTTCTTTTTCATACTGAATCTGACAAATTAAGTACTTTATCCTTTTTGCGCCAAGACATTGGTGTAGTGGGAATCTTTTCACACTTCTTCATTCACCAACAAGCACTCCACTGTGTCACTTTGAGACGTGTTTCATCAAATCTTTAAATATAAAAATAATCGCGTATATATATTGTAGAAATAGGTGTAATGGTAGTGGCAGGAAGATGTAATCATTATATCCATTTTTCATGCGCTGCAAAACTTAGAATAATATTTCTTTCTCTCAGCTTCGCATCTGAAAAGAAGTTTATTAATTGGAACGTGAGTTAAATGATGAATGAAGGCTCTAGGTGGAAGACGCTCTCTGACTAGAAAATGAATCTATTATTGTTAATAACAAGGGAAGAAAGAAAATTTTAAGCTTATAAAATGAGAGTAATTCGAAGCATTATAAAGAAATTATTTCAATAAAAACCTCGAAAACCTTTAATAGACTTTCAAGTTTCAAAGAGTAACAGTTTACGAATATTTTCACATGTCATTTCTATTACGGTGATTATTAAAATGGCACGAAACTTTCATTTGAAACAACCGTAAAAAATAATTGAGTTTACTCAAAAAAACATTAAAATATAATGACTGAATACGAAATGAAAGTCTCAGTGAAATGCTTTCAGTGGTTAAGACGACGAAACTGTGGAAAGAACAATTTTGGATTCAAGTGCGAAAATTTGCCTAATTAAAAATTTTACGATGTCAGTAATTTATTCTCGAGAGAGATTTTCTTGTATGCTTTGAGAATGTTTTATGATTAATTCTTTATGTGACATTGAAGATTGTAAATCTGGAATGTTATCCATGATTATTATCTAACGCTCATTAAATAATCGTTTAAAAATTGATCCTCAAATTCACATCAAAAGCCACTTAACTAGAAAATAAGAACTTGAAAAACTAACGTAATAAAAATCAAATTTGTGCCATATTTTTGTCTTTCTTCGATTTTCTATTTTCCTTTTTCGCAGGTAGACTCGAAAGTGCGCAAATTTCGAGAACGATAATGATGTCAGGAGCGACATAAATCGAATCCCTTAATGTTTGTATTGATGTCGCATCGTCATGTAAATATGTAAATAAGCCGAAAAAAGAATTTTCCGATGTCGTTATTTTATGTGTTCAAACCGATTGAGTTGATATCGTGAGTATTCAAGTTATGTTATTACATTCTCTCGTTGCTACCCTGACTTTATTTCAAAAACTCAAGTTATCAAATGACATCGTAAAAGAACGTTTCTTTCTTTGCCAGCAATATATCACCGATGAACACGACAGAACATATTTGCGTTAACAGAGTTTTATTACACGTATTTGATGGATTAAAAGAATTACATAATGCGGATGAAGTTGAGAGTTTCATCTTTATGAAATATTTTAAGTGCATCATTTCACTCATCAAAAATAATCATTTTAAGTGAAATATGAAATTTCAATTCAGTTTCAACTTAAATTTTTGTGTATGAATTTTATTGTGGACTTTATGCTATAAATAAGCATATGTTGATTGGAGAAAGTCTTTGAATAAACAATTGCAGCAAAAGTTGCTCAAAATATTTAAGCGATTAATAAATATGAGAAATATTTAATTAACCTAAATGCAATCATAAATATTTGTATCAACATTCATTTCATAACGCAATCACATAAGAGACAATGGGAACACTTTAATATGATTTTCAGAACAAAGACAAAAATTTATGCAACTCAGCATGAACGAAAACTCTCAAGAGTCGAGATGATGCATATTAAGCAGACATGAGCAGCATCAAGGAATGAAGAACTTTACTCTCTGCTACTTGTAATATTATACGATTGCCTCACCAGTAAATTAAGTTGTCATGTTTACAAATGTTTACTAAGAAATTATGGGTAAAATTTATAAATCTTAATTATTTGTAGATCGGTTTGGTTACGTTTATAATTAAAGTGATAAGAAAGAATATTTTGCTGTCTGGTTGGTTACTTTGGTCTGCTCTAATTCTTCCCAAAATTGACTTTCATTATCTGATTCATCAACTGATGAAGATTCAATATTTGTAAAGGAAGAAATATAATTCAGACATAGATCAATTTATGTGTAAAAATAATGCTGATTTATTTCCGCTTTTCTTGTCAAAACGTAAACTATAAGAAGACATATGAGATTTTGATTGGAAGGATGATAAAGACTGATAAATAGATTTTCTAGCATTCAATCAATCGAATGGAAACTATTGACTTGAACTTTTCTGGTAAACATGACAAAAAGGGATGAGAAAATGAATGTTGAAAACATCAAGTCTTGAAGTTGATGTGATGAACTTTCGCTGAGAAAAAATAAAATTCAGAAACAACTCTAAAAATTTTTTCTTCCACTCAATAAATTTCTCAGTTGATGAAAATAAAATTTGAGTAAAAACTTCCAACTCATCTTAAGTTTTTCAATTAATTTTACATAAATATAAGAAAGCAGTTAAAGGCATGCTGCTCGTGAAAAAAGTTTAAACGGAAATTATATTCCTAACACTTTCAAGAAGTTAAATTATTGTTCTTGATTTTTTTGACGTTTTTGCACAAAAACTTCAACACAAGTTGAACAACTATTAGTCATGCTAAGGAATTTCTAGACGAAAAAATTCATTTAAGGAGGGAATTGATGATTTCTTACATGAAAATCTTTCTACGAATGTTCTCAGATTTCAATAAAGAAATGTTTTTCCCTATAAGTTTTCCTTCGGAAAAGAAAAGGCTGATTTTGTTCCTTTGATTAATTGACAGGCCAGTGTATATAAATCTTCTTCCTTATTTTCATTTTCATAGAGAAGAAAAAGAATTTTCATACATAAATTTAATTCTAGTTGATGAATGGAAAACTATTTTCAATTTTCTTCTTTTCTCTTGTTTATCTTGTTCAAAAATTTCTCATTTAGAAATAATAAAATCAACATAAATTTCATAATTTTAATATTTTCATAACCTACGCTTATTTAAGTTTATTGAAATTTATTTTTCTTCTTCTTTTCCTATCTATGATTATTATTTCAATGGAAGAGGAAGAAAATCTTATCAAGAACAAAAAATATTACGATGAGAAAACTACTTAAAAGAAGTGTTCTTGCAATGGAGTGCTTTATCAGTCATCGCCTGATGGAAAGAAAGAAGTAAATATTGATTGAACTGAAGCCGAAGATGATAGAAAGTTGAAGGGGGAACAGGAGAAGTGGAAAATTATTAAGATTATCTTTACTCTTCAATTCTTCACCCTTCAGCCTCTTCAGCTTTATTTTTTTCCATGAGTGTACTGTGTACGACCTCTCAACTTTATCGCGCCCTTTAATTTTCCGACTTACTGATCAATACACGTTGTTCAATCTGCGTTTTCTTCCGACAATCAATATTACGCGTGTACAATGTACATGAGGAAATTTTACGCCTTTCTCATTGTTATAAGCTCGCATTTTGATAGAAATTTAACGCCTTTTTGTGTTGTCAAGTGTTGGAATGGATTTCTCTTCAAATTTGTACGTCAAACGAGCTTTTGTACCTTTGTGGAATTGAAAATTCCATTTTTACGTATTTGCCATGCTGGTTTTTCTAATTTTCTGTCATTTTCTGCTTGGTTGGAGCTCTCAAACGTTGAATCGTATAGCAAACTAAAAGAAATAATAAAAATCATTGTGGGCTTTGAAGAGCTTTTCATTATGATGGCAAAGAATCCCAAACCTCTTAATAACATAATATTTTAATATAAAATTAGTTTTTCATGAGTTTCGACTTTGAAAATGATCTCGTTTTGGTTTGCCTTCAATAAAACAAACATAATTGAATCATCATCAACTTTTACTAACTTCTAGATATTCTCATGATCATAATTTTTAACTGCCGTTTAATAAAATTTAATTTCTAAGGATTGAATGATAAAAAATGTTATTTGGTCCGATGACAAAACTACCATAGATAGAGTTTTTATACATTAGACAGATAATCTCCTGAAAATTTTCTTTTCTACGTTTTGCTCGTGGCAGTTTAAATAACCGATAAATTCATCCAACATGCACATCATCCGTTGAATTATTTTTGATTACTTTTGCAGCACAACACTGAACTGAATGGAAAAGCAAGAAAATCTTCATTGAAACCCAACACCGTGTTAATGTTATCGCCAAAAGAATGCTTGAACATTCAAGTCACGATTTCAGCTTCATTTTGTGAAGCAATTTTAAATACTCAGATTGTAGTTTTTTTTGTTTATGTTCTAGTTTGTGTTGTTCTTAATTCATGCGAATAAACGTCTAAAACACAATGAAACTGCTACAAATTGTTAAATTCATTCTGATGTCATTCAAACTTAAAATGCATTCCCGACGTGATTTTCCCCATAACTTCTAACTGCACAATCTCGATTTGTGTTTAAAATACTTTTTAACTTCGATTTTAACAAAGATAATTTCCATTCCAACGCATTACAAAACGTTTTTGTTTGAACATTCGATGGAAAAACAAATTCAACCATTTGAAAACAAAGAATTACCCTACACAGTGGTTTATTACATGTCAGTCTGTTGAAGATATGAACCGTTTATTATCCCACCCAATAAAAACAAAATTAAAGTATTTTCAGATTTTTTATTGCTCTGAATTTAGGTACAATAAAACCCGTCTGAAATATCTGAAATTTAGAAAACATTTAATCTCTTATTATAGCAAACAAACAACCGAAGCATCCTTTTCAAAATCCATGGAAACACTAACAAACAAGTGGACATGCTTCAGGCTTCTTGAAATACATACTTACAAATGTTACAATAAATTTCCTTAAATTTATTTCAAATGGAACACATTTTCAGGGTTCGTGTTATGTTTCTAAACTTTATTTTATTTTTCTATAGAATTATTTATTTTGATTCTTAACTCTTGGTCATCTATTTTCACTGAATTCTTTTCCCAATTCCCTCTAAACACTTTCACCATTCTCATGCTATTTGATTGATTACACTAAATTTCAATCGACAGCCATGTTTGATGATTTAAATGTTTAGATGAACATAAACATTTTATGTTCTCAGTATCAAAATTTAAGTTTAAGAATTTCTAGAAAAGAAACTGTTAAATATTAAAGTTCAGTTCAAAGTTATGTCTATTCAAATATGTAACATCTTTCAACAAAATCAGATATTTATTATGTAGGAAGATGATAAAAGCTAACAGGTAACCCGAGAATGTTGGTTCCATTTTAAATAATGATGTTATTAAAGTCTTGAGTCAAGTCAAAGTCTCTTCTCCAATTATTGAACTTCACAAAACTCAAATCGAAAGTTTATCATCGTCATAGCAAAATCAGAGATATTGACGCAATCTTTTTGTATAATTTCAGATTTAATATGACATTTCAGAAGATTTATCTTGATATGATATTTGAAAACGATTCAATAGCTAATAAAACGTTGTCAACCGTTCACAATGTAGATTCAGGATAAAAACTCGTAAGAAATTTCAAAACATGTTATAAAATATTTCGAGATATTAAATATTGTCAAATATCTCTAAAAGTTTTTAATCGTGAAGAATGTTTCATAATTGACATTCAGCTTTATTTAACAATGAAAATAATTTATCAGAAATGTTGCAATTTGTGGTTGTTATGAGGAAAAGCATTTCTTTTCGTACGATATTAGTAGGTAGGAAGTTTCAGGTTTATGTAACTTCTAATGGAAATTTCCCACAAAATAGCAAATAACTCAAAGCTAAATTGGATTTAGGGTTGAATGAATTGATTGAATCAAAAGACAAATGGTATGAAAATACAAATCTCGTAACGTTAACATAACCGGGGTAACAACAGTGGGGTTGGTTGATATTATATGTTTAGCCATTCATCAAAATCTATCAACCATGAAATGTATAAACGGTAATTCACGTTAATCTTTGTTATAGAGAAGAAAACATTCCATGACACAAAAGCTTGAAGGCGCTTTGCGGAATAAAAATAAATAGGAAATCGTCATATGGTCTTAAACAACCGAGTCAAATAGTCTCTTATTCTCGCACTCGTAGGAAATTAGATAAAGTAAATGACTGTTGGTTAAGGGCATCATGTGTTAGTTATGTGTGTGTGCGTGTTTGTGTAAGCCATTCGTCCTCCCATTTTGACGAGGAAAATATTTTGATGTTTGTTTGTTCTTATCCGAAAAACACTTCAGCAAAACTTTTCTTTCTTCTTCGGGCCTCATACTTACACTTATAAGCATTATAATCGAGAGAAAAGCAATATAAAAAAGCTCGTTAAATGGCTATATTGTGAATGGCGACAGCATAAAGAAAAGGGAACATGAATTAAAGTCCAATTTGTTATGAGAAGCCATCACCGAGAATAATTTTCTGTGCCTGCTGATGTCAATGTTTACCACCACCAAAAATCTATTATTATGCTGTAACTTACAACTTCATGGATGGCTTAAAGCATTGAACGAACAGCAAAAATCGTAGAAAATTTGTTTGCTTAGTGACAAATTTGTTAGCTTTTAAAACTTGACAATATTTGATGGAAATATTTGTTAAAAAGTTAATCAAGTGGAATTCATTCTAAATTAAACTTTTAAGTTTGTAAAATCTTTTGAAATGTTTCAGCTTCATTTCTCAATTGTAAATATTTTCAAACAGCCAATTTCTTTATATATCGAAAGGTTCTAAAATAAGAAAATAGAATAGAAAAAGGCTTCAATTTCTCTTTCGATTTAATTAGCTTTCCCTTCTATTTTATAATTTAAATTTTATTGTCAGCGATACTCAAAACATTTTCCTGAAATTTCCTTTACATATTATTAATGACTCGCAATCCGGAAAATTTCATTTACATGAATAAATTTATTTAGAGACAGAGCAAGGACCATCATAATTCATTATTTGAGTTTTGCTTCTCGCTTTTCATATTTATTAAAGTTATTTCCTCAAAAAAAATGTGCACAATAAAGTCAGGCGCATGACAACCGGCAAGAGAAGAGAAGGAAGCATAGGAAAGCGAAATGTTGCTTAAAACACTGCAAAGCATAAATCAAAACAGCCAAGTTTTGTGACTTTCTGTACTGCTCGTAGAACCTTTCGGAGGCAGTTTAATCATCTAAAAATAGCACGGAAGATGCTTTCAAATAAATTTTTCTTGTTCTTCTTTCTTGAGTTGAAAGGAAGTAAAAAAAAAAGAATCAGGACGAAAGTTTCGGCTACACAGAAGAGTCTCGTGTGACTCGTACATTTTGTGCATTTAATTTATCAAAATCATTGTTCTTCGTGTCCCATTCCCAGCCTCAAACTGGATTAAATTCTGTAATTTTTTACCAACTTCTCATTCCCCGAAGTCATTTGAACCTCTTCTTGTCTGTTCTATTGTTCACGTATTATAGCACAAAGCTTTTCCATCTTCCGTCTCTTCATGTTCTCGTATTTTGATATGATTAATTGAAAGCAATTTTTAATAATTTCATTCGTTTTAATTTCATTCTCAATCTTCTGTGTTTGTTTTCCTTTTTTTATCATTTTCGTTCGTTTTTCGTTAATGTTGAGTTGTTGCTGTTCAGGGGAGTAGGAAATATGCAGAAATTCATTTAAAAGCACATCCTTTGAGGCCACTTAAAAGCTTATTATAGATAAATAGTCATGAAATTAAATTCAATGGAAAGTGCTTTGTGTAATCTCTCTTGAATCTGATGAAAGCAAAACAGAAAAAAAAACTTTTCCACGTCACTGAATATCAATCTAGTTGTAAGATTTTCACTCAACATTCCACAACTCGTGAAAAATGTCGTGCTTTATTGTATTTTCCCAACAGACTCCTTTCTCGTTACTTTCGCTCCGTTTTTGGAGGCTAATGGAAGTCATTTCAAAAGCGGCTCAGATGAATGAAATAAAGCAGCCTTCAAAAGCAGAACATGGTTGAGACTCTTGTTACGAAGAGCACAAGACGGCAGCAAGTTTGTGCAAAAAGAAATTCTTGTTCTTCTTTTCAATCCGTACGACGATATGTACACGCTTGGTACAAAATTTATTAAACGCTCTGATTCAGTTGATTGCGTTGGGAAATTTTTTCCAACATTCCACCTTACGTTACGCTACATCCCAACAAAGTCAATCGTTCATACGAAACATAGAACATAAATTATGTATTAACTGATACTCAAGCTCTTTCTCTTTCTATTTATGTTATATAACAACCGATGAAGCGTCTCCTTCCTGTCCTTGATGGAAGTAAATTCAACAAGAAAATTTCTTTTGAAGTAAACGACGATTTTCATTCTTAAATTTTAAAGGAAGAATAAATAAACAGACGAAGACGATAAAGAGACGACGAAGAAAAAGAAGGAAAAATCCCATTTCTTGATGAAATTCAGTGAACACCTTTGGCGTTCAATGTCAAATAAAATATCCATTTCAAACGAAGCTAGCAACAAAAATTAGAATAGCTTATCATGGACCTTGAATAAAAAGTCTAAGAATAATAACAGGAGAGAGTGAAAGTTGATGACAACAATGTTGCGGGAGTGGTAAGAAAAGAAAATAATTTTGTTTCCCATTCCATTCATATTAATAAAAATAAACTTCTAAATATTGATAGAAAGGAGCAATAAAGAAATTCCATAAATTCGTTATTGATTTTGCTAGCAATGTTTGTTTCCTTCTTAAAATAAAATCCGAGAGAAAAACGAGAGTCTCGTGCGTATAAAATATTTGAGCCTTGTCCGACTTTTTGCTGTTTACCAATAACCGAAGTCGACTGGCAAAAATATTTTCTTTCACCTTCTTCTCAACTTATCGAGGCTGTTCATTTTTTCTCGTTATCCTTTCTCACTTACTGACACATACTGAAAGGAGGAAGAAAAAAATGTCATTTATTTTATAATTTGCAGGTAAACAGCCGTATAACATTATGGGGAGTAAAGGAAGCGGAAAAAATGTTAATAAAGCTTCATGAATGAACTCAATCTCAATTTGGGGACTCTGAGGGTGTCTGTGAATATCAAACGACAAGCTTTACTGTAGCCAAGAGTAACCATTTGGGAAATTGGTGGAACGAGATGACAAAAATCCTTTTTAATAAATTCCATCCCGGAATAGAAAGTCGTATTAAAAGTTTTAATGTAATGAAAGAGTGTAAAGGGAAGATTGAGTTTAGGGGATAATTTATGAGTTTCGTCAGTGGAAAAAGTTATCATATTATTTTTGGAAGTTTAGGTTTTATGTTTTAATGGTCCCAAAAGTAACTGAAAGAAATTAATTTTTCTGACATACCACATATTATAACACCCACACTCACACACACAAAAAGGCATGAAAGAAATCATTCAAAAATAATGAAAATTTCTTTTGTCAAACATAAAAGTTTCATGAATTTATGACATGAGAATTCTTCACACAATGTCAAAAATGTTATGCATCAAACCGCAAACGAATTCAAAATGCTGAGGGAAACTCCAATAGATTCATAATCTGTATCAACATTTGAACAAGTCCATTAGAAATATTCTTTTTTATCCTTTTCTTGTGAATAATCTCATGTGCCATCATAACCATTAGGATTTTTCTCAATTCCCAGCATAAAAGTTTGTTCGAAAACGTTTAGTGGAAGTTTCTTGAGACAGAAAACATTTTGGAATGAAATTAAGGTTTTTATTCAAAAGCAAACGGAACTCTTCTCGCAACTCAATTCCATCGTGGACCTCCAATTAATTTGCCATTGATGTTAAGGATAGAATTTGTAATTTGATAACAGCACCGTCTCGATGAAGAAAGAAAAACTTCGATTTCGTTCCCGAAGGAAAACTTTTTTTTTTCTTCTTTCTTTCGACTTTATTTTGCTTTTCCTTCTTTGCTTACAGATATCTAAAATAAAAGCAAAAAAAGAAAAAAAGAATTATTTTCTCATTCAATTTCAATTCAATAGCAGAAATATTTCATTTTTCTATGGTCACCGAGTGCGACGAGAATGAAATTTATGTGGGTGGGATGGGAGAAGGGCAAACGGAATTTTTACTTGGACAACTCTAAGAAACTTTTATTTTATTCTTTGGAAATGTTTAAAGTTTACTAGGGCAAAAGATGTGCAATGAATAAGAATTGTTTGCTTATCCCAATCTTCTTCTCATTGCTCTGCTTTACTGTAAGCAATCCAACAACGGGACAAGACTTTCGAGGGGTTCATCAAATAAATATTATGCGTCGTCATTGTAGAATGACTCTCTGCTGGAATTAAGAAGTATCACTGAAATATTTTATTAATTTATCGTCTTGTGGTTTCGTTCTTATTTTTTATTCGGTTTCAAAGGCGATTTTTCATCTTGAATTTTAAATTTTCATTCCTTCTTTATTTTGTCATTTAAAAGCTTTCAGTTGGGCCTGTTTGTCTAAGTTAAATAACATTTATCATCGACGTTACATTCATTTTCACGTCGCATGATACACCCGCACGTAAACAAGAATGGCAAAATAAGTTTGTGCGCTTCCTATACTACTTTTTTATCCATTAAAATTGTATGTTACACACAAGCAGATGAAGCATCGGTCGTAAATTTATCTCATACTTACTTCTTCACCACCATATCGTCTCGTGTGTTCTTTTTGGAATATCAACGAAATAAGAAGACTCAGTCTCAGTATAAGAAGTGAAAAACAGAAAATTTATGTATTCAGTGAATGTTTAGTCGTCTTCGTATTTCTCTCTCCGCCATTCGTTTATATTTTTAACAAGGAAAAAAACAACACAAGAACGATGCCTCAACCTTGAGCTTGCACGTTACTTTTCGTTTTTCCCTTCCAGTTGAGATGGTGATAAATCAAAAAGAAATTTACATGCATTCACGATGACTAACGTGGTTGGTGGTGAAGGTGGTGGTGGTGGCGGCGTCAGTGGCTATGTTCGTATCAATTCTTTCACACAAATATTTTTATGATGGTGAAGCATCAACCGTCACGTTAATTTTGAGTTTATGAGTAGATTAGGGAAGGAATCTGTTGTGGGTGAAAGATATTCATGAGCGTGCAATTAGGATTTTGATTGGTTTTAAAGCAAAAAACTTTCGCTTTTCCCTTAAAGTTGAATAAGGACATGAAGCTTGTCTTGCTTTGTAATTTATGTTCCTGTCCCTTAGCGCGATTTTAGCGTTCCAAAATTCTTTCTTCTTTTCCTTCTCTCTTGGTGGCTTCCCTTGACCGCTTAAGATAAATTCTTAATAACTTAATTAATTTCAAATCAGTCCCAAGTGACTTAGAAACAAGAATGAAGCTGCGATTACAGAAGAGAAGCTTCAACTTTTACTTATTGTTCTTGTGTCGTATTAAAAATAATTTAATTTTGTGTCGCCGCATTTCAATGTATTTGACATCTTTAAAGTCTCTCTTTCCGCCGTGTTCAATCGTCTTCAACGTTAGCTACTCTGCTACTTAGGTAATTCATGTAAATTGATGAACCTTTTTTTGTTGCTGCTTTCCCTTTCACTTTATGGATGGGTGATATGAAATGCTTTTCTCCTCCATCTCTACTCACTTTTTCAGATGAAGGCGTGTATGGAGAAGAAAGACATTTAAAGGATATTTATGGCGTAATGGAATAAAAAATTCTCACAAAGAGCTTTTCTTGCTTCGTCGTCATCGCTTCATTCCCGCTCACACAAAACGTTTTTTATGAGCCAAACAACAATAACATGTCGTTCCACCTTAGTTCCATGTCGCAATGTGTTCATCACATCACTCAACAAGATGCGATATTTTTTTTTTAAAAGTAAACGAAGGCTGGAAAGTTGAAAGTAGCAGTTAAGGAGAAAGAGGAGTCAGCTGAACAATAAAGAAAGAAGAAGAATAATGATTGATAGGATTAAAAGTTTTACGAGCAATTTTTTTAAGCTTTTTTGTTTCGTCATGATTTCAGAGTTTGGAGAGTTTCTTTACACGATGATAAGAAAATCGATTTGTTTTGCTCTTCCATCCATGTTCCTGAAATTTCCGTTTCTTTCTCTTATTTGTGATTGAGATGCTAAGCAACGTTGTTTGGCACGTAATTCTTCATTCTTTTCCTTTCTTTCTCCCACCATCCCTCCATCCCTTAGCCGTATCCGATGCTTCGTGAATTTAAAAGAAATCAAAAGTCCTTAACATGCTTCACTAATTTTGAAAATTTGTAAACAGGTCTTAACATTAAATATTTTTTTCTCTTGAAATACGAATCAAGCTTCTGAGCCTAAGCCTAAGCTAAATTATAAATAATTATACGTGAGTTGAATTGAAGAGCAGTTTCATCTTTCCATCTCTCTCCTCTTGACTGCTGTCTTTGAATTAAACGAAATTAAAATGAATAATTATCAGATACATCATGCTTCGCCTTCTTCCTTTCCCACTTTTCCATAAAACAGATGCTTCTTTCGGTAATTTAACACAAAAATAAGCGAAGCGTTTGTCCAAAGTTTTTGTCATACAATTCATCTCCGAGTGTCACAGTCAGTGACAATGAAGGAAGACTTGAGCTTAAAAATATTCGTGCGTGCCATCGCATTTAAAGCTGAGCATGATCGTAGATTTGATGCATAGAATGTGATCGGATAATTGTTATCAAAGCTTTTCAAAGGAACATGACATGGCGACAATACGATTCACATAAATTTAAACGATGAAACCGCGAATTTATCACTTCACAATCGGCTTTCCTTCATTCTATATCGTTTTTCTTCAACATCCATTCATCCATCCATCCATCCATCTATCGCTGAATATTTACCACCAAAAGCCGGAACATAAGTAAAAACTGTCGTCTTCCACCAGCAAAACCATAAAAGATGGAGGCAATTTATCTTGTCGATGCTTTTTTTTGTGGGTGGCTGTTGTATGAGGCTTAGCAAAATTTAATTACAGAAAACGTCAAGTTTCTATGAGCACAGAACAGCACCCGAAAAAAAAAATAAAAATAAAAAGCGTAAAATTAAACTCGTCATCCTTTTAAAGTCAAAGAAGATTCTTACATAAAATGGAATGATGATCATAGCATACACCAAACATCATGTCATTTAAAGCATTAAATCTACCATAGCGTGAAACAAATTGATTGATTGCTCAAGAAAAAAGGAAAGGAATGATGACAACGATAAAAAGAAATTTCAAATTCTCTGTCGCAATGTTATTTGTTTTTTTTTAAATTTCATCAATAAATGTTTGCGGTATTTTAGATGCGTCTCGCCATTTATTTATGTGTTTGTTTAATATATTTTGGAAATGGCTGGAAATGGTTAATGGAAAAAGAAAAAAATTTACTTCATGTTTGCTGTTTTATGTTGAGCCGTGATGAAAAATTTCCATCGATACATCAACTGATGGCTGTTGTGAAGGTGGAATGAAGAACTTAACGAAGCTTAAGGCAACAAACCATTACGTCATAATTTTTGCTGCAGTAAAAACGAGAGAAAAGGAGGAAAAATGTCAAATTCGATTTCCCAAATGTTAAGGTCATAAAAAAGAAAAGCTTTGAAGATAAATTCAGATCACATCTCTTCTGGGTTCACATTTCAATCTACTTCAAAATTTAATTCAATTTTGCACCTTTTTCTTCTCTTGTTCATCCTTCAATCGGATCCATTGACGACATATTGTGAAGCTGTGCTAATATATACTGAGGTGTTGTTCATAGCCAAATATCATCTGAACCCAGAATAGTTGGACGTTCATTCAACAACAAGAACATCAACAATTGTCGTGCGGGGGTGAAAATTGAAGAGTTAAAGTGATGAATTTTTGTTTTCTCATTTCATCTTCAAAATGATACCGATGCAGATGTTGACTGAAAGAAAACGAGAAATTTTCATAATTCGTTGTTGGGTTGAATAAAAGGATTTGTTTCGTCTTATTTTGCTGATGGATCATCTTAAATGTGACCCGTGACATACAAACAAACATACACACTTTGGGATGGAAAAAAGGCAAAAGAGCGATAAAAAGCAAGGAAATAAAATAAACTTTTCAGACATTTTCATGCTGAAGATACGCACGCTGCTGTCGACGAAGACAACGAGAGTAGATCTGAAAACAAAATTCTATTTTTATTCGTGTGGTCGATGTTTGCGCTAAGAAAAGAAAATAAACATTGGGGACGAAGATTGAATGGGAAAGGAAAAAAGGGACGACAAAAGGGAAGAAGAATCGTCACTGAAAAATGGAAGAAAAGCTTGAAGAATGAAATTATTTTTGGGTCTGTTACTTATGCTTGTCGTGTGTTGCTTTTATATTAATTCTCCACTTCTCTCCCTTAGAAGCACCAATTTCTTGATTTTCCTTTTATCTTTTATTTCCCTCACTCTTCACAACAACATTTCTTCTCTCCTATTTTACGTTCAAAATAAGACCCAAAGCGACACTGAAAGCTAAACAAGCAGGCAAGACTCTGTTCATCTTCCACTGAGCAAGAGAAAAGTTATGGACGAGCAAGGCCAGAAATTCAAAAGAAACGAAGAATAAATTTTTTATTTTATTTATTATCATGCTTGCTGCTACAGTTTCCTTCGCTCAGCTCAAGCGAAAAGTATTCCGAAATAATTTAGAATCTTTCAATGGAGATTTCTTTTGTAGCTTTAGATTCCCTTATATCGCATTCTGTTTAATTCATGAAATCATGGACGTGGAAAAAGGGGCACGGAAAACTTGCTCAAACCTGAAACAATTCATTCTAAATTGAATTTTATGACTGAATTAAATGTGCATAAAAGCTTCCTGTTTTTTTTTCTCGGTCCCTCCATGGACACTGTTCGTAAAAGCGGAAGATTTAAGCTTGCAACGATGAAGAAACTTTACAACAGATGCAGTCGAAGCAGCGTGGCTCAAACTACTTAAATGGATATCTACTTGGAATGGAAAGTTATCTTACCAAAACTTTGCTTTGATTTCACAGAACAAACTTTTCTATCTCATTCTGATATTATTCATGAAGTTGAAAAAGAAACTTTCTTGGATTTTGTATATATATGTGTTTTGTTTTAGATATTTATGTAGACTTTAATTGATAAGCGTTAAGTTGCTAGGCATTCATTCACTTACCTTCTGACTTATTAATATTGTACGTTGTTCGAATCAATTAGGAAGCGAAGAAAACAGAATCTTTTCAAACTTACCAGTGCGTGCTTAATTGTTTATTTCTTCACAACCGAACCCATAAAAATATTAATATAAAAAAGGAGAAAAGTTGCAAACCGAAGAAGGTGACCATTTCTCATCATTTATTTCTGTTGGTGAAATATTCTTTTCATTCTACCGAGCGACCATCTCCCATGGTTGTCATCATCCCTTCTGTCTGATGATGAACTATCATTTGTATCATGATGAAAAGCTATGACACTAAAGCACATAAACTCACAAGTCATCAGGAGAATGAACAAAAACCAGCATCACATGTAATGAAAATTTATCGCATTGGCCGGAAAATAAACATAAAAATACACGAAAAGAAAAGGAATTTCACCATAAAAATTTATTAAGCAAAAAAAATGCTTTTTTTGTTCGGTAAATTGTAAGCTTTTGCTTGAAACTTGAAAGTTGTTTTTCTGTTTTTCAGACTTTTTTCCCTTCTCTTCATCTAGATACTTCTTCTTCCCGTGGTAATAAAGTTTAAGACGAGGCCACAAAGCCAAAAAATGAGAAGAGAAATTTTCATCGCAAACCATGAAACCGGAAACCGGATGATACGAAATTTAGGGAATGACTTTAATGGAAAATGGCAACGTCGTTTTATGGCGGCAGCAAATGAGAAAATTTCATTTCACTTTAATTTTTATTGTCGCTTATCGAGAACGACAAATTGCCATATAAAGCCGTGGATTAACAATTTCTTTCAGTCTAACAAGCAACAAGAAAACAAAAAGAGAAACTGAAATTGAAGCAGAGACTTGAGGAATTTTTTTATTATTTTCTTTCTTTCTTTTTACTGCTTTTGTTTTACTCAAGAAGGAAGAAGAAAAATTCCTCAGGAAGAAAAAAAATTGTCTCAGATATGAAAGTCGAAAACTTTACCTAATTAAAATATTTTTGATGATTCGAAGTTCAAACAAAGCATTGACAAGAAATTTTGTAAACTTCATGAGCTTTCAAGAATGTTTGTAATATTTGTTGATTTCTGGTTTCGTTTGTTCTTCCGTTTTGCTGCCCTGGAGCTTTCTTTAAATAAATAGATGAACACAAAGAACGAAAAGAAGAATTCGAAGCTTTTTCTGTCGGAAAATTTACGTCACTAAATTGCCTTGGTTTTATTTTCCTCTTTCCTACTTCTCTTTTTTTAGACTCAGGTGCTTCTATTTATTGTCCTGCCATTTCACTTATTTTTTCTGTGTTCTTCAATTTGTCAGAGATGAAAATTATTTGCTCCATACGAATTGAATAAGCTCGGACATTCCTTCAAGGGAATTTGGTTTAATAGAACGACAGATTTTAATTACATTTCTCCAATCAACGATGAACTAATTTCTCGTGTTCATTTTTTTTCCATTTTGACATGCGAAAAGATCGCTTACAAAACCACCTGAAGGGTTGGAACATTAATAGGAATCAGAAAATTGTATTAACAGTCGTTATGGTCGTATTTTATTTTATTGTGGTATCATTTCAGGCAACTGTAAATTAATTCATATCAGACATAACCAGCCATGTCCTTTTTTTTATTTCACTGATTTTCAGTTCACTGCCCAACCTTTCAAGAATATAAATAATGAGTTTGATGCTGCTCCTTTAAAAGAATTGACGTAATTAACATAATGAAGGGAATCCTTGATAAAGTTATTACAAATGTAAATTAACACGCTTCGAGACATTTTAGTAAACAAATCAAAGCACTTCATTGACCAATAACAAATTGAATTCTGAAAGCTTCAATTCCTATATGAAATTTTCTACCTCCCACTCTGACCTGCCCTTCAAACAGCATGACATGAGCAGGCATCGTGAGGAAATTTAATTTTAGCTTTTCCAGTCTTCATCATGTAATGTTTAATTTAAAATCATGAATTTTTAAGAATCGCAATTCAAGTTGTTTTGTCATTACTGATTTTGAGTTGTTCATACAAATGACAGTTATTTGTTTAGATAACATCGCGACGACATTGAAAAGTTATGAATTACAATGAAGGGACGATGATTTGTTTCGATTTTCAATGTTTATTGAACAATTCAGTATCGAGGGAATTTTCAACGTGAATGGTTTGGTGGAGAATTCGTTGAAGCTTTAAAATGAAAATTGAAGTTTTCATAACTTTTATTATTCTTATAACGTTGGGAAAAGCGCAAGATGAGAAAAATCAAAGCACAACATTGACAGAAAAAAATATTAAAACGCTTGAGATTGGTGAGTGTTGATACAGATTGATGAAGCTTATACTGCATGATTGCTTTTTCACCTTTCGCAATTGTGATTTTTTTTATTCTGAAGGTTTTAAGCAAAGTTTTCTTTTCTTAATTAATTGTGAAATTTCTTTCTCATTAAAATACTTTTTTAAAGTTTTCCTTCATCACGCAAATCATTCGAAGTTTATGTCAGCTGTCGATCAGATAATGGAGCAATTGCAAAATGAAACTGTAGCGATTAACTATCACAAAATCTCATACGATAAATCCAAATTTGCTGTTTCTAATCATAGAGAAAGTAAGAAAAAATCGATTAGTTGTAAATTGAAAATTTTCTTAATTTAAAAACTTTTCTCATTTTCGTTTATAGTTTGTAAACTTGGCTCGAATGGCATTTCTTTATTTATCGACGCAACATTCAATGGTTTAAATTTTACAGTTCGTGACTATCTGAAGCGCAATAACGTTCCTTACTTTCGCTTTGATTTTTCAATTCAATCGTTTGTGAAGATTATGCAAAATTTCTTGGTGGCACGTGGAGCTTTGGATGCAGTTTTCATCTTTCAAGATTCAGAGACAGCAGAACAAGCACTTTACTCGTTGCTATCAGTCACTTCGATTAAGATCATCGTCTTAGATCAACATCAACCAAACGTCATTAGCAGATTAAAGACACTAAGACCAACTCCAAGTTATTACGCAATCATCGGTGATACTGTCAACGTCAGTCGGATTTTTCAAGCTGTAAGCTTTCTTTAATCCTTATTGAAAGTAAATGTTCTTACTATAAAATTCCATCTTCTCATACGATGAAGGCTTTCGATTTTGGATTAGTCTCCCAACTCCCCGATCGTTGGAACTTAATGTTTACAGATTATGATGATGAAAAGTTCACATTTTCTGGTTATCCAGAAATGAGCCGATTATTACTTGACAAGACTGTCTGCTGTAATCCCAAATGCATTTGTTCATCTCAAAATACGGTGAGAAATGTTCCTTTTCTTTTTATCTGCTTCATCCTTTTATCTGTGTAGTCGTTATAAAAGTTCTTTCACTTTTAAATAACAAAATCTTGTTGAGATTTTAATGGAAAAAGCTTGTCTTTAACGATTAGTGTTTCTCAAAATCCCTATTTTTAGGGAATAGGGAAAAAGAAATCGTCAAATTTCTACTAGAAATCGCTTAATTTTTCCTATAAAGATGGATTGTTTAGTGTTTTCTATGTCAGAACATTACGTTAATGCAGTTTTTTCTTTTAAAAAAAGTCGATATCTAGTAGAAAATCATCGATCCCTGATCCCTGTTTTTCAAAAAACAGGGATTTTGAGAAACACTATTAACGATGTTGTTGATGTTTACATTTATGTGTCGAAGAGATCATTTTTTTATTATTAAGTACGTCAAAGCAACCTTTCATCAAATCAAATTCCAAATGAAAAATCATTAAAGGTAGAAGCGCTTTAATTAATTTTAAATCATGATTCATGAAAAATAAAAATGAAACTTTTCTTCTTTTCACAAGCTCTCCAAGTTAAGTACATCCTTCCCCATTTTTATTCTTCTATTTTTTGGTAGATTAATTTTATGGCATTCAAGAGTTTCCTGCATCAGATTCTGCTGGTTCTTGAGGGGCATGACTATCCTATTCAGAGGTTTGAGTGCAATAAAGAATCAGACAAGAGCGTACGTGCTGAAAAACTGCTTGAAGATTTATCAATGACGATTAGGAAAAATAATTTGATTTATTTTGATGATGATTCGAAGATTTTTGTAAACTTGAAATATAATGTGAAAACCAATGTAGACAACTCATCAGTAGTTGCGACAACAGCAATAGTCAATCAAAATGGTGTTACGTCAATTGGAAACAATCGAATTAAAGTATCGAAGAGATTTATGAGAATTGGCGTGACTGAATCTGCTCCGTACACTTTTATAAAGAGAGATTCAAAGACGAAGAAAATTCTTCGTGATGGGAATAATCACAAAATTTATGAAGGATTCTGCATTGACTTTATTGAAATGCTTTCGAAGAAAATGAATTTCACGTATGAGCTCGTTGAGCCGACATCAGGTAAGTTCGGGAAGAAGCTGGCAGATGGAAACTTTGATGGACTCATCGGTGACTTAGAACGAGGCGAAACAGATTTCATTATTGCAGCATTAAAGATGACAGCTGAACGTGAGGAACGCATTGACTTTGTTGCGCCATATTTCGATCAAACAGGAATTCGAATCGTAATGAAAAAACCAATTCCTGACACTTCCCTCTTCAAATTCATGACAGTTTTACGACTCGAAGTCTGGTTGAGCATTTTAGGTGCTTTAAGCGTTACCGCATTTGTCATTTGGATACTCGAAGTCTTCTCGCCGTACAGTGGCCGTAATTGGAGCTACGGTGAAGAGAGTCGGTAAATTAAATCAATTTACATGATGAAAGCTTTCAATTATTTGTTTTTTTGATCGCATTCGATAGGAAATTTACATTGCGGGAAAGCTTTTGGTTTACTCTTACATCGTTTACACCTCAAGGTGAATGATTTTTTCAGTAATTTGTAATCAATTAACGTTTAACACTTTTTAAGGTGGTGGAGAAGCACCGAAGGCATTGAGTAGTCGCGTCATTGTTGCTGCTTATTGGTTATTTGTTGTTCTCATGCTTGCTACATTCACAGCAAATCTTGCAGCATTTCTTACTGTTGAACGTATGCAGTCTCCAGTTCAATCTCTTGATCAGCTGGCTCGACAAAGTCGCATTAAGTACACAGTTGTCAAAGACTCCGACACACATAAATACTTTCAAAATATGAAATATGCCGAAGATACGCTTTACGAATTATGGAAAAATATGACTTTAAGCAGCAGAAACGACGAAGCTAGATTCAGGTAATCTTGAAAGGAGAAAATTGTCAAGAATTGAATTATTTATTGAAATTAACTTTTCACCTATAAGAGTTTGGGATTATCCTATAAAAGAACAATACGCGTCAATTTTGATGGCAATTGAAGGAACAAAACCATTGCCAAACGCATCCGAAGGATTTCGAATTGTCAACGAACGTGTGTTGAGTGATTTTGCTTTTATCCATGATGCGAATGAAATCAAATATGAGATTTCACGGTACGTTGTTGTTGATGCTTTTTTCTTCCCCTATTTTTCCACCTTTTCAAAAAATATTTTAGGAGTTGTGCTTTTGCTGCCGTTGGTGACATTTTTTCGGAACAACCCTACGCTGTCGCCGTGCAACAAGGGTCACATTTGCGGGTAATTTAATGCACGACCTACTTCAACATATTAGAGTTTGAGATTGACACAAAATCCATTTATTTACATACATATTCGAAGGATGAGATTTCTCGCTTTATACTTGAGTTGCAAAAAGATCGATTTTTTGAAGATTTGACAGCAAAATATTGGAATTCGTCGAATAAAGGTTCATGCTTGACAAGTGACGATTACGATTCTGAAGGAATCACACTCGAAAGTCTTGGGGGAATATTTATTGCGACGCTTATAGGACTTGGTAAGTATCAGAATCATCAGACAATTAATTATTTACTTTCGCTTAAATGAACTTGACATTCGACAGTAATTGCTATGTTGGTGCTTGTGGGCGAAGTCTATTATTACAAAAGGAAGAGTGGAAAAGTAAAGGAAATGAATATGACGAAGCCAGTTATCTTTACAACTAAAATTGATCCATTGCATGATATAAACATATCAGTTGATAGGAAAATCATGAAAAACTCAGTTTTACTCGGTCATGGAGAATTCGTCCCAGTTGAGAAGCGAAAGTCTCGACTATCATTTTCACCGCGCATACATCATGACTAAGTGGAATTGCCCTCACAAATCATTCAATAAATATTTCAATATTCCTTTGAGCTTTCGAATATTAAGATATTTAATTGACTGGAACAATTAAAATTTAATTTGAGTTAATCATGATTTATTACATTGGATTAGATTTAAGTTCGAATGTCAATCTGTAGTTTAATTGAATGGACCCTTTTCGGATCATCATTGAACGTTGATTGCATTTCTTCATTATATCCAAACAATGAATCTATTTTCAATTTCATATCAAGTTATTTCTCATGTAGCGCTCAAAAACATTAATGAAATTCACTCACTTTGCAACAAAATCCATCAAATGCAATATTTCATGTTCTCAAACATTTACATAAGCTGCTGCTGCTGCTGCTGCTACTACTCCTCCCTCTTAATATAAATTAAACCTTTGTCTGTTTCATGATTTATTTTAATTATCAACACACTGTTACTGCATAATTAATGCAATCAGATACAAAATGATGAAAGAGTGAAGATACAAAAGTTTCAATGTAAAAATCTTCAAACACATTCACATTGATGTGAAACTTTTTCTCTCTTTTTTCTGCTTTATTTTATCAACTTATGTTTTTTGCTTTCCATGTTCTAACTCACAATGGAAAGAAACAACAGAAAATGCTTTTAATTAAAAATGTTCTCGTTTTTTTGGGGATATGTAGAATAAATAAGGAAGAAAAAAGTTCCAAGAAACTTTTCTTCGTTCCTTTAGCTTTTAACGAAAAGCTTTTTTAATATTTAATTGATGTAACGAGAAGTTTTCTCTCCATAGAAATTGCAATCTATCGGTAACTTATATCAGAGTGAAAATTGAAATTCACAGCGTGAATCTCATTGAAAGCTATTTGCCCTCTTTGTTGAGTTAGCATTGTAAATCAAAATTCACTTACACCCACGCCCACCCTTCTCTATCTTCCTGATATCTGATTTATCGCTTTCTTACTTCGAACATTTCATTGAAAAATTGTTTCATAGGAATTTAAAAGATTTTAAAATTGCTATCTCTAGGTTATCTAAAAGGAAATTTATACATTGTCTGTATGCACATATAAATATGCCTTGGACCGATATCGGAAATGGAATCGAAAATTCGTTTTCTTCAATCCTTCTTCGCTCAAACATTTTAGTTGGAAACTTTTTCTTTCTTTCTTTCTTTCTTTCTTTTGTTGATTTCCGTTTTTCAACAGCAAACATGTGGAAATTTCTCCCTAGATTGGTGTGGGAGGGAGACAAAAATGAAAGAAATTTTCCCTTTTTCTTCTTTCTTATTTCACAGTACATATTGACATGGTAAATGGTAAAGGAAAGATTTTTCGTCTGCTTTTACTTCTGCCTCCTCTTCTCTCATCCCACACATGAACTAAAGTTGTAAACTTTTTTCTTAAATAGATATTCATTTATCTTCTTTTTAATTTTATTTTACTGCGCTTTACATAAAAACTGTTAGCGAGCTTGTTAGCGTCAGAAAATTTGACTTTTATACGATTTCAAGGAAAATAAAGTGAAGCTGTTTGAATGTTCTTTTTAATTGATCAAAGATGTTTCCTTGGGGTATTAAGATTATAATTTGAAGTTCAAAGCACTCGTGGTGAATGATCTTATGTTGTTTATAACCAGAAAACTAAGAATGTATGTTCATCATTCCCTGCAGCTATGTGACTATGAAACTTGATACAAAAGCTTTGAAGGCTTTTGAGGAATGCTATCAAAGGAAACATAATAAAGTTTGAGTTGAAAAGCACATCGTTTGCTACACAATTTCAACACTCGAAAGAAATTCTCGAAACATTTTTTTTCTCTTTCATTGTTAAGTGCACTTTAACTTGAAATTCAATAGAAGTCAAAGGTTTAATCATAAGATTCAGACAACATCAACATATGTTATTTATGTAAAGAACCACTTATTCAATGTTTATGTTGGAAAATTTATGAAAATATGAACTGAATATGAAGTGAATGTTCATGTATAGATTTAGTGATATCTGGTAGTAAGATTTAGTTATCGTAACCTCCATTATCTTGGATTGTACATGCAGCGATTTGTCTTAAGAGTTGAAACAAAGGATGAGATCAGTTGCTAAGGAGAAACAAAGGAATTTTCTCGAGAATGTTAAACATTTTAGCAATCTTGTTCTGGAATTTTGCTTCATAAAGTTGATATAATTTATTGAAATTTTATTAAAGGCCAACATATTTTTCTCATAATCTTTAAACTTGAAGACATATTTCACAACGAAGGAAATCTTTTCTTTCATGGTTTAAATCATCATGGCATAAGAAAAGGAAGAAAACCACAAATTTCTTTGAGGTGATGTGCGCTATCAAAACTTAAACATTTTCATATTGCGTGATTGCGGGAGACCGTCACAAACAGATGAAATGGGCAAACTTCCTGAAACTTGTGAAACAACAACAACAATAACAACAATTGCAATGCCATTTTTTTGAGGGGGGAAAAGAAATAAAAAGGATAAATGACGAACAAGGGATTTAAATATAAAGAAGAAAAAGATAAAAAAAATTCTAAGAAGATTGCTCAATTTTTGTCACGAAGTTACAATGTTGAGCTGCTGTTTTCAAAGCTTTTGTTATTCATAACAAAAAGAGAGAAAGTGTGTGAGTGAGTGAGAGAGATGTTTTTCTTGTTTTTGGGTTGAGACTTCACTGACGGATCAATCTTTACGAAGAAAACATTGGAAAAATTCGTAAATCAAAAAGAATTATTGGTGGCTTCGGAGGGAATTGAAAACTTGTTTTTCGTTCGAAAGAATCATTTTATTTATCTAAAGAAGAAATATAATGATGTATAACATAAATATATTTATAATGCATCTTTACCACATTTCCCTCTGTTTTTTTATCAATTTATCCATTCATACACCCACGCATTAATTTTTGAAGCTTCTTTCTCCATGAATTATGGAAAAGTTGAGTAAGAAGTTTGATTCAAATAAAGAAGTAAATTTTACATTTATTTTAATTACATTATTCGATTTCATATTCTTTCTTTTCTAATTTTCGAGATGGCAACTCAATAGAAACAAGATAAACATGGGTGTTGATGAAATAAGCATTTCACTTGTTTAAATATTCTGTTTGATTGAAATAGGCTAATGGGCATGAAGTGAAACTTTTCTCTTTAATGATTTTTTTTCTTGATGTGAACCTTTTTTTTTATAAATGTAAGAATTTTTATTAAATAAATTTGTCGTGCAAATGTACTTGTTGTAGAGTATATATAATTAAAGAAATTGAATTATAAAAGCGACCTTTCATTCCTGTTTCTTTTTTGACGATTCACAAACTAGTTTTTTATCCATTTTGTTACAAATAGAGGAGTGGAATGAAAACACTTGATTTGTTGCTTTTTAAACAACTTAGGCGAACCTTGAAAATTTGATATTATTAGTAGGATGTTGGTTTGGATAGGATTTTCTTTCTGTTACTCTTCTGTCTCGATAATTTCATAAACGAGTAATTCAAATTTGGTTTTGAGACGAAAGAATTTTGCAACAAATTTCCCATCCAACCCATCATCGTTTGTAGATAAAATTAAAAGTGATAATTTATCTTTCCTACTTTCTTTTACTTCGCCATTAAGCAATGAACATCGGGGATGCTAAATTACTAGGAAAATAACGGCCAAAGCGCTCTTTTATGCTATATCAAAAGGACTGAATTTCCTGTAATTATTTATTCTGTATCTAAGACTCTTACGATCCAAACTGCTCATCACTTTTTTCACTTTGAGTCAATGCTAATGATGATCCCGAATTCTTACAACTTCTAAAATATTTAAGCTTTGGTATTTTTGAGCGCATCTTTTACCAATTTGACTTTATTATTTTTAGATTCTTCGTCGTTTTGTTGTTGGTGGTGGAGTAGAAGCTGGCGATCCTGACTCAGCTGATAAACTTCCACGCGTTCGCTTTGGTTGAATTCGTCCTTCATTTGACTCAGACTTTAAAGACTTTCTCTCGATGTTTGTTTGTGAGTTCTTTAAAGCTACTGGTTTGGGAGTAGCGCGACGAGAATCAGAATCTTTAGAGGATCCTTCACCGTCCTCAGATTCTGCTCGTTTCAACTTATTTTGTAGCTCAGGAGGAAGGTTAAAATTTGTTTCTTCATTTGGAAATGGTAATGGTTCGAGGTCATCAAGTGCTTTCAAATTGTACATTGTCTTTAGATGCTTCCATATTTGATCACTGCTTATCTTTCTGTTTAATGTTTTGCTTAGTCGATCAACAATGCAAACCATGAAAAAATGCTACGAAGCATAAAATTAATTAACTCCTTAATATATTTGATATGACAAGACAACTTACTTTGTTTATTCCTACAGGACGAAGACCATGAAGCGCCAAAAACAACTTTAAATGATAAGAATTGACACAAAATTTAGATAAGAAACATAATAAACAAAGAATTATAAAATCAATTTTTGCGGCAATTTATCAACTCAATTCATTACCTGAATTTCTTCTTCAGTTGTCCATTCGTCTTCAGTTGAAAGCATTTTTGTTGAATCTTGTAAATTAATTCGTATCGACGAACTTTTAACTTTTTATCACTTAGTTTGAAAATAGATCGATTTTGAAGAAGTTTTGATGCTACTTCTGTCGTTATACCAAGACTTAAGTATTGGGTCAAAGTGGGTTATAAATTTTGAAATTCTATTTTCCGTTATTTCTTCAAAATGACAGATCAGTGTAATCCGAATGAGTAATCAGCGCAATCTAAGTTATTAATTTAAATAATTGACGCTGTGAGGCGCTGTCGTTCAGTTTTGCTTCGTGAAGGGAAAATAGTGAGTTGATTGAAGCAGTGAGAGCAGAGAACAACTCAAATATAGACATAACGCGAAATCTGTTATCATTAATTGGTGTCATATTTAAATTAAATTCATGTAAGTGAATGAAAATTTTAAGATAATGTTAACTTAAAAGTGTTGAAAAGAACATCGTGGTAGTACGGGTTAATAAATAAATTAATTGTTGCTTTGACCTGCAGATAATGTTATTGAATTATCAAACGTTGCAAATGGATACCTCAAACTATAATAAAAATAAACTGGTTAATAATGTTTTTGTGTATGCAAGAGAATTATTGCTATTTAAAAACTTTAAAATTGAAACGTAGAATAAGCTATTCTAATTATTAAATATCGGAGTGCTGCAATTGAGAACTCGTTTTAATTCTTTTTTTTCTTAAATAAACGATCAACTTGTGAGGTGTAAAATTGAAATGCAACTTTGGCAACAATGCGTTAACAACATGTTGGTAATGATTGTTTTGTCAATTTCCAAAGCTTCTGTGTATTCGATGACTTAGAAGCATCAGTAAATCATTAACGCTTTGTTTGTTAAGCTAACTGTTCATTCTTCGGACACAAAAAAAACTCTCAAAAAGCATCATGAAGTTATGTGGAAAAAAATCATTAAATGGTGCTAAGAAACGGAGAACAAAGCGAAACCACAAAAGAAATGTTGTCGTAATAAAACGTATATGAAGATGAGACGGGGAAAAAATGTTTAGACTTCAGAGAATGATTGGAAAAGCAGAGAAAGCGATGTTGCCAAATTGTCATCTATGTACAAAAGACTTTCTTGATCATGAGACGTGAACCCAAAGAGAAAAATTCATCTCTCTCCTTCTCTCTTTCTTCTTTCATCTTTCCCTCTTTTTCATTTTCTAATCTGTGCCTTGCTTTGCATAAACCAAACATAAAGGCTTTCAAATGAAAGAATTGTCTTATTTTATGCAGACGATGAATTTGCTCATATTTTGTGGCCGACATTCATGTCGTACATGATTCATAGTCATGGGAAAAAAATCCGTGAAGTGGATGAATAATATTTAAGCTTATTGTTGAGGTTGTTTCGAATTTTAGTCTTACTCTTTTTATTTTTACTTTTAAAAGGCAAATTATTGCGAGATGTTTAAATATATTAGAAATTCAAGAACAGCATCGATTTTTATTGTAAGTTAACATCAACCGACCAAGTCACACGAACCGCAGTCGATCAACTCGAATATATTATTTATTCCACTGAATTTTTCCTTCTTTTTCTCCCTTTTCTCTCTCTCTCTCTTCTTTATTTATTCAAATTCCATTGCCTGATTCGGAAAGTTACATACATCTTGTTTCATGTGATTTCATCTCATGTATGTAAGAAGAAAAGTTGGGAATAATTCTTTTCTTTTATGTCTGCTTAAATACTTGTTGCTGCATTTAATTTCGCCTTCCTTGAGAATAAGATCTAAGATGAGACATTACAATAAGCTCATAAATTTTAATGACTTTGATTATTAATCATCGAAAAAAAAAAACATGGGAAGAAGATGAAAAGAAAAGGGAAAAGAAAGGATTTATGGGAAAGAACAAGTTAACTCTTTAATCATTCCATCAATGTACATACATTAAATATGTTAAAAGGCAAAAAATGGGTGGAAAAGAATGCGACTTGAACTAACAACTTAAACAAATTGTTAAATCTCACTAACGAAATTTGATCTCAACATGCAGACTCATTGCTGGGGACAGTTGACTTAAAAAGCCGTGTATTGAAAGGCAATAAGAAACCTGTTTTTTCTTTTCTTTTTTTTCTTAAATTTTTTATTTTATTTTCTTTGTGCAAGTATTGGAAACATTTTTTTTACTGATCTTCATATTATAAAGTCTACAAAAGACTTCATCATATTATGAAATTGCGATAGAATTTGGACTTTATAATTTTCATAAAGATGACTCATTTAATCGGCATTTGTTACAATGATTTGGAATCATAAAGTTGGAAGCATTTCTATATTGTGAGCAATAAAACGTAATTCGGAAGTAGAGAAAAAAATTTATGATGATGACGAGTGACCGCATGTGTATGTGTCAACGAGAATGAGATGTTCTTGGAAATGAAGACAATGAAGTAGATAATTTATGTTACGACATAAATCGTGTCTCACGAAGCTTCTGTGTTGAAACCAAAGCAAGTTATCAAAGAGTGTTAATGAATGTTGAATTTTGAGAAGACAAGCGAGTTTCTTTTCTTTTCTTTTTGTTTAAATATAATCGAAAAAGTCTTTTTCAATGTTCCCCTCAATCTACCGCGATAATTGTTTTTTTTTTTTCACTCGAATGTTTGCTTCGCTCCGCATCGAGGGATATGCAAATACTTAATTTAAATACATTCGTGCAATTTTTATTGTGTTTATTTCTTCAATATCACAATCAACTGAATTGCATGCATATTTTCTGATTAGAAAAGTGAAGAATCATTGACAAAAGTTTCGATTAATCTCGTGCGCATTAACATAGGTCGAGATTAGGTCATTGAAGTATATTAAATGATTTTTTTTTGAATGGAAGAATAAGTGAATGACACAATAACCATGATTCCGGTTCTTCTTCTTTTAGTTTTAAAACGATTTTTCAATTGAATTGAACTTGATAAAACTAGAAGCAACAACAATACGAGCCTCCGTTCACGTGACTTTTCAATTTTTTTATTTTAGTTTTTCGTTTATGAATCTTTTAATAACTTTTAATTTATTTATTTTTTAATAGAGATTAACGAAGCAATTAAATCAATTAAACTTCGGATAAATAAATATCTAAATATTCAAGATGTCCGTTTTTGGCATGGTGTCCGCTGTTGCGGGCTTTGTTAAAGTTCGATATCTCATTGATAAAGCAGTTATCGACAACAGTGTGTTCAGATGTCATTACCGAATCACCAGTGCACTTCTTTTTGTTAGTTGCATCATTGTAACTGCTAACAATTTAATTGGTAGGAATTAATCAGAACATTAACGAAAGAATGTCGATTAAAAGAATTTTTGAATTATTTATTAGGTGACGCCATAAATTGCATAAATGAAGGTGCCGTCCCAACTCACGTAATCAATACGTATTGTTGGATAACGTATACGTATACGCTACCGGGGCAGCATGGAAAAGCTATTGGCACTCAAGTTGCCAGTTCCGGATTAGGAAATGAATATGAAAGTGACAAAACTTTCCACAGCTACTATCAGTGGGTTCCTTTCACTTTATTCTTTCAAGTAAGTTGATTGATTTGATTTTCATAAATTTACATTTCAATTAATCAATTAATTTTCATTAGGGAATTTTGTTTTACATTCCACATTGGATTTGGAAAAACTGGGAAGAAGGAAAAATGCGAATGATATCTGATGGTATGCGTGGTGTTCTTACAATGCCAGCAAATGAAAGACGAAACCGACAAGAACGACTTGTTCGTTATCTCGTTGAAAGTCGCAGTACACACAACGCCTACGCATTTGGATATTTTTTCTGTGAATTTTTAAATGTCGTGAATGTGGTGAGTTTACATTTAAAATTTACGTATAGTAAAAGCTCATGTAGTTTAACGTTACGCTTACGTATGATCAAGTTTGTGTTAACGATAAATGCATAGCATTGCCCCCTCAACTACTCCCCAACAGAGCTTTTGACTTTAAGATTAATGCGTCCTAGAAAAGTTATTAATTAATCATAAATCTACAGATTTGCAACATCTTTATGGTTGATAAATTTCTGGGTGGAAGTTTCCTTACATACGGAGTTGACATCATAAAATATTCAAATATGAATCAAGAGAATCGTTCCGATCCAATGATTGAAATATTTCCACGCATAACAAAGTGTACGTTCCATAAATATGGAGCTTCGGGATCTATTCAGAAGCATGGTATGTTGATTAATGAGTCAATTTATCATTTGTGCTTGACCGATTCTCTCTGCTTTTTTTTCTTATTTAGATTCAATGTGCGTTTTAGCTCTCAATATTTTGAATGAAAAAATTTACATTTTCCTATGGTAAGAAGAAATTTAAAATCGAATTTTATATTTTATTAACATTAATTCTCTAGGTTCTGGTTTTTGTTCGTTGCCGTCTTGACAATCTTTGCAATGTTTTACTCGATGGTTATCCTCATGATGCCAACATCACGCGAGGCTGTCATTCGTCGTCGATTACGTGAAGCACCGAAAGGCATCGAACGTTTAATTCGTCGCATTCAAGTTGGTGACTTCTTGCTTCTGCATCTTTTAGGACAAAATATTAATGTTAAGTCTTATGGTGAGATCGTAACTTCTTTATTCAACAATTTATGTTGCGAAACTGACACGCCATCAGCGCCATCGACATTAGAAATGACGCCAATTTATCCTGATATGAAATATGGCAAAGAAAGTGAAACATAAAATGACGATTCCATGTGATTGACTTCGAAATCTAAAGAATTTTTTTTTCATTAGGATTTGATTAAAATAATCTGAAAGCGATCTCCAGAGAATGTCAAATCCTAATTTTTACTACTTATGAAGCATTTCTTTCCATTTAAAAAAAAACAGAATTTGTATTTTATTTTACTATTTTTTTCTGATTTAAATTTATTATATTTAAGTTCTCATCAAGAGTCAATTAGCGCAAAAGTTTCATTTAGGAATGAATATCTTCATATGAAAAAGTCATTTCATGGTTGATTGCGCAAAAGAAAAAAACCAACAATTGGTGTTTGTCAGTGAAAGAAAAAGAAAAGTTTATTTGAGTCTCACAAAATTCGTTTTCGGATTAAAAAATGCAAAATTATCTGTTTGATGTATTCAAAGACTGTTGAAAATCTCGTTTTGGTTGAATCTAGAATCTTAAGAACATGAAAACATTTTTTTTAAAAGCTCAAACATGAAAATCAAAAGAATCTTTTTTCTTCTTTTATTAGATCTTAAGGAAATTTCTTAAAATAGTGTCTTGATATAAGTGATAATGAAGCATCTTTGACTTTAGGTTTGTCTATTGATAAATAAGAAAAGGAATGAGGGCATCTCTCTTCTTAAAAGTGTGAAAAATTTCACACTTGACAGTTTAATATTTTGCCATAACAAATATGTAGTTTAACATTTATCTTCTAATTGACGAATCTCTGTTTTTAACTGTAACACTGCAAAAAAGAAAGAAAATTGGAAAATTTGATAATTTCTCATTTAATCGCATTTAAATTTAATCTGAGTTAAATTTCATTTAATCCCGATTAAATACTTAATCTCGATTAAAGTTCAAATTTTTCAATTTTTCTTCCTTGTTGATGATCCAATCAATTTAAAGACAAATCTGGTACAACAATTCATTCCTTAAATCCTTTTTTCGAATCTTAAATAATTTTGATTAACTCCCGTGTTCTCAAGCATGGTGACGAACGCACAATGTATGCAAAAACAAAAAACTTAAATTGTAAGATTTTAGACATGACGAAAATAAAGAAAAAGAAATGTGATTAACATTGATTAGGAAATAAAATCAAACGAAAATTATTTTACTGTAGTTGAGAAAATATTTTATTAACTCTTAACAAAGTTTTATTTGAATAAAGGTCGCTTCATCGTGGTCGGCTTTTTACCAGACGTCGCTGATGATCTCAAAGCCATCGACTTAACAACACTTCGACTCATTCCAAGTTGTTTTCTTCCCGATCCTTTATCGATGCTGGAATTTTCTTTCTTTTGTGTTGATTTGACTTTTGTTGGGAGGTTCACGGGGAAAATTCTTGAAAAATCTGGCTTAGGAATTGTTGGCTTCTCTTTCGAAACAACTTTGAATTGTTTCATTCTGGTTTTATTTTCCTTATCAATTGACTTGCTCGTTGATTCAATGTCAGCAATTTTATTGATGCACTTGATCATGAATTCAGCGAGATTTCCCCCTGCATTTGTCAATTGTTTCAATCGACTACGCTGACATTCTTTCTGTGGATTTGTGATGAAAATTGTCGTTTCATTGTTAACGAACGCCTGTGGGATAACTTCATGTGCATGCGATTGACGCCATTGAAGGTTTCTCGCAAAGATTGCATGACCTTCGACGATAACATCTTCAAAAGCATAGTCTTTAATGCTCGACCAGAAATTTATGCATAACATGTTTTCATGCTCATCAGCAACGTAAACTTTTTCCAAATTTTTCTCTTGATTTGTTTCGAATTGAATGACAAAGAAAGCGGCATCGAATTCATCATTTGGTGGGGTAAAGTCACAAGTTATGTCACCAATGTTCGTCTCCGTTTTGAAATATTTGCTAAAACGATCGATTGACATCAAGTTTGAAGTCAAAACTTTCAAGCAACTCGACTTTCCAGCTGTGACATGAATTTCTTTGTCATTAATGACGCCCGCAGTTGTGTTGAGAATTTCCACAATTTTTCCTTCTTTGACTGTCTCGAGAAAATCCTCAGTCGGTGACCACCAACTGACAATGCCAGTTTTCTTAGGATTCGATGCATCAACAACACGAAATCTCAACAAATGTGAAATTTTCTTTCCATTTTCTTTAATTTTCTCGCGAATTCTATCAGTGAATTTGATTCTTCTCTCATCGCGAATCTTTTGAACTTTTCTCAGCATTTCTTTAGTCATGAAACTCTTCAATGACGATTTATCATCATTATCATCATCATCATTATTGTCATTAAATTCCAACAAGTCACAAATTGCTTCTGGTGAAAGATCTTCAAATTTATATTTCGAACTTTGCAATTCTTGAATTCTTTCATTCAATTCACTCGCCAACTCCTTCTGAACTTCATGAGCTGCTCGTTCGTAGGTTGCAAAATCATTCATTTCGATTTTATTCTGCACACGATTTTGTTGCCTTTCTGATCGATAAACTGGAAAATTTATAAGAAAGTTAATTAAATATATCGGAAAGTTAATTAAAATTTCTTACTTTTCTTCTCTTCTGATGAATCAACGAAGACAATCGGATAAACATGAACAATGACGACTTTAATCCTTCCAATGACACCACCAGTAGGAAGAATTGAATCCAAAGGGACACAAATTGGCGTAGGCGTTTCACAAAATCCCATTCTAGTATCCCAAGACGTTCTTCGTGTTGAGTTTGCATGAATCTTTAATCGAACATGAGCCGGAAGATCCAAAGGATCGCATTCGTCACATCCAATTAGTTCAGCACATGATGTTATCAACTTTGTTCCAATTTTAATCTTTCCTCGATCAATAACATCGACAAGAGCTGCATCGGTTGACGCTTTAATCAAATACCAACCATCACTTAACATCAATTCATATCCAGTTGGGTTTGGGAAGATGTCAAAGACTTTCAAGACCATTCGTCGACATGGCACGTCGTCATGTTCAACAATCTTCTTAATTGCTGATCTTTCACATCGATCAATTTCTCGTTCGTATCTGTACTTCATTTGAAGCAGAAGATTTTCAGGTGAAAGCAGCTCAAACTTCTTAAATGCTTCAAATGAATTCTCCAGCCATGCCAATTTAAAAATAATCATTTTGAAAGCATTTTCAATCCACTTGTCGGTTGCTAGTCGTGGATCAATGCCTGGTGTGATGAGAAAACTTAGCTTAATTTCTTCGAGTCCTACCAATGATTGATCGTTGAAAATTAATCGAGAATTATCGCCAATGATGATTCCATTAGTGTCTGTAACACAAATTTCTTCGCTCACGTAATTTCGCATTTCAAACATAAATTCGACGACGTTTCGCATCGTGATGTTGTGTCGATTGAGAATTTGAACATTTCCAACGACATTCTTCAGTTTCCTTCGATTTTCTGAAGATTTTTTGCTACGAAGACTTCCCAACATTGGCAAACATTCGCTGTGAGGTTTTTCCTTAATTAAAATTTTCATTTCTTCAATCGCTTTTCGTCGCAAACTTTTCAATTCTTCAGTGATTTTCATTTGCATTTCAAATGATTCAAGTTCGTTCATGTCAAAGCTGCAATTGGAATCAAAACTGCCGTTGAATTTATTTATCAATCGTATGCAAGTTTTCTTCCTTTTTGGTTCAATTTCTTCATCTTCACTTTGATTGTCATCAGAATCGTCAATTGATGCGAATAATTCTTTTGAAATTGAAATCTCTTGACTTTCTGTTATCGTTGATGTCTTCGAACCTCGTGATGTTGTTGCTAATGGCGTGCTGTGCTGTAAAATTCCTTTCCTGAAGCTTTGCATGACAAGTGGGCTTTGAGGCAGAGGCGAAGACGCTTCAAAATTCAAACGATTCTTCTTTAATGGCGGCTTAAGATTTGACTTCATTATCTCTTCATCTTCCTTATCAAAAGCATCAGCAAATCTTTTCAATGTTTCAGCTTTCAGTTGAACATTTCTTCCCGAAGCGATTGAGAATCCACCAACATTTGACTTCGATGTGACTGGCGTTGATGACACGAAAGAAGGAACTTTGAAAGTCACTTCTGGTGTCTTCATTTCCGTCAGTTTATTCTTTTCAATTTCAGCGTCGTGAATTTCATTTTCGTGATCAAACTTTTCCTTCAACTTTCTCATTTTATCTTCATTAAATTGAAAACTTTTACCTGATGCAAATCCAAAGCCACTAAAACTTGGTGTTTTGAATTGTTGTTGATCTTCACATGGTGCATTTGCTTCAAAACCTGACTCGAGTGACATTTTCTGATCTTCTAGATGAAAAACATTCTTGAAACGATTTATTGTATCTTCCTTAAGTTTGTTACATTTCCCCGATGCAAAACCAAATCCATTAAACTTCGGTTGAACTTTATCACTTCCATCTAACATTGAGACAAATCCTGAGCTTAAATTTAATTCATTTTCATCATCTTCATGACTAGAATCCAACAGAAAATTGACTCCTGTCATGTTGTGATCTTCAGGTGACTTTGAAACTAACGAATCTGAATGTTTGACAACTTCAACTGCATTTAATTGAGTTTTTTGTGAGGGACAAATAATAAAATCGCCTTCAAGTTCTTCAGTACATGGCAAATGATTCTTGTCTTCGTCGTCATCTGATAAAGTTTCCAAATCAATCATTGTCGTGTCAAGTTCTTGGCTGTTTCTATTCACACTTTGACTAAGTGTCGCTTCAATAAATTCAGCAGCTTGTGCTGAGCTTTCTAATATTTGTGATAGTGATCCGAGGGATTTGCAAAGAAGTTCTTGCTCTTCAACAACAGCTAGCATCTCACTGTCAACATCTTCAATGTTGTGAAGAACATTTTGTGTGGTTGGCGAACCAAATCGCTGTTTTGCTTCAAGTTCAGCTTGAGTAAGTCCGTAAATTTCATCTTCGTCATCTGTTAAGAAGTTGATTTCATTGTGACGACGGTTGGATGAAGCTTGTGAGAGCATTTCTTGAACTTTGCTTGCTCTTAAAAATCCTTTTTTTATGCAAAAGTTTCGAATTTCTTCTGGCATGTCATCTTTTGGTCTTTGAATGTTTTTTGGAGTACGTAAAGTGTGGTCAATGTCTGGATGAGCAATCATGCATCTTCTAGCATATTCAAGCATTTCTATTTGCTCTTGAGAAATTTCAACTTCGGGAGGTGGCGGCGATTTTTCTTTTTTCTTAAGGCGATGAAATTGTGATAGAAAATGTTGTGAGAATTTCTCACGACTGGGAATTGTTGGGTCGTTAAGAAGTCTTTGGCGTTCTTCATATTGCGTCGGAGGTTGTTGCGTCTCTTCATAATCATCAAAGCATTGTGAGGATGCAATTTGAGATTCCTCACTCGTTTGTGAATTTTCTTGTGTCGCCGCTATTTCAATCTCATCTGAAATGACAAGAATTTAATACCAAAATTTCAAATTTAAGCCTTAACTTTCTTACTTTCATTAAAAAATTCGGCAAAATTTTCTTGCATTGTTTGTGTTGAAAACAATTGTTCGGTGTCAAACTCGGAATTCATTGTTAATTGAGATTACCTATTTCCTTAATTTTCAATAATTATATCTTTAATTAAGTTGAAATATGATTATTTGTTTTAAATTTAATTTACTTAGAGTATTAATTTCATTAAATTAACAGATAAAAGCGTCGATAACAAAAACTGAATATTTTTTGAAAACAAGTCAGAGATGCAAACCGCGGGTTTAGAAAACATCATATTGATGCTGAATCATTTATGTCCGACTGTCAATGTTTCATTAAATCTTTTAAAAGCGCTTCACAAACTCATTTCTTTAATTCTTTCTTTTCTTTCCAAATATTATTCTGGAGAGGTGTGCTTGGTAAGTTTTCCTTAAAAAACAAATGTTTATCGTGAATCAAACCAATTAATTCTATGTATCAATTGTTCTACAGGCACAGAAGATCGTAGTTCGATAAAGGATCTATCAGAATTCACTTCTAAAATAGTGAAGTAAGTTAAAAATATTTTTTCTCTTCTGAATTTTTTAGGTGATGCAAAATTGATTCTCTAAAGGAAATTAATATAAGCAATTAACATTTTCCAAGTTGGATAAAATACTCTACACTATCGTAGCAGTGTTTAAAATATGAAAAAGTTGATGAATTTAACATTTATCAACCTTGCAATTTTAATAACCTACAAAAATTTGTAAACAATTAAAATTCTTCAATAATTCTGATATTTAAAAACTTTTCATTATCATTCACCCGTATTTATTAGCAAATTTGTTTAATTCTAATTTTAGGACAAAATGTCATCACACAAGACATTCAGAATCAAGCAGAAGCTTGCAAAAAAGCTGAAGCAAAATCGTCCCATCCCTCAATGGATTAGAATGCGTACAGGCAACAAGATCAGATACAACGCTAAGAGACGTCATTGGAGACGCACCAAGTTGAAGTTGTAAATGATGTCAGTGCAACTTATTCCTTGTATATCGTTCAACAACCTGTTCATAAATATTTTTTTGTGAAAATGGTTCAATAAACAACAAAATTGAACGAACGATCGCATTTTAGTGAATTTTGTCATTTATTTTCAGTTTTGAATTGCAATCATTCAGGTAGAATCATTCATAACAAAAAAATAAGTTCGCGAATAACTTTTTAGACATTTTTGTCGCTAAACATGTTGCAAGTATTTTTTATCCACAGCTGCATATGAAACATTCATTTACGGATTAATCTTTAAAAACTTTTCAGTTTACAAACAAAAACTCTACAAAAATTTCACATTTTCAAACAAAAAAGCTTACGATAAAAACCTTTTAGAGTAAATACATTTGAATTTTATGAAAATATTTTGAGAAACTTGAATTTCAATTTGAATGCGGCGTTTTAAAGGTTTATTTTTATTTTCTTACCTTTTCCGTATTTCTGATATATCGAATTACGATACGACATCAAGAGAATAATAAAAATGAATGAAATAAGATATAATTTTGTCTGCTCTTATTTCCGATGAAATTTACCAACAAATTATACATAACAATGAGTTCAAAACTTTTTCAGAAGGAAGATCGATTGTCAAGTTGAACAACCTGACTATTGTGACATCATGTTGTGACAAAAAAGTTAAAAGTAGTAATGAAATTAAACGAGAATGTCACTGTTGTTCATCATAAATATTCACCAGTTTAATTGTCGCTAAAATCTATTTTTAATTTCTTAGGAACATTTAATGAACTCATTTGAAAGATAATAATTCAGATTAAATTTTCTTTGAAGAAGAAAAAAAAGAGAAGTGATTGAATCAGAGGGAAAATAGGAGAAGATGTCTCATGGAACTCGACTGTGTCGTCGTGTCGTGACTTCATCGTAGCCGATGGCGAGAAAATATTCATGTTGAGTTTCTTCCTTTTTGTTCAATCGTTAGAGATACGAGACGAGGAAGATATCTTTAATATCTCATATGTGAGGAAAAAGAAAAATAGAAAAATAAATAAAAAAGAAAATTACCAGCAACGACGAAAAAAACATTTTTTCGACTCAATTTTCTTTCTCAGTTCAAATAATTTGCTTAAAGCGTAAAGTTGTAAAATTCTTTCAAAAATTTCATTTTCTACTTTTGCCAAAACATTCGAATTTTCGTAATTACTCTTGTTGAAAAAAAAATTTAATTCACTGAAAGAAGTGAAAATTATTTAATTTAGATTGTAAATTCACATAAATTATTTGTGTTCGTTAGAGTTGTGTTTATTATCATCTGAAAAGTGCAAATTTCGTGTCTCGTGTAGATGTTTGAAATAGAATAAAAAGCGATGACTGATTAGAGGGAAAAAGGAAATTTCACTCGGAAAACTAATTTGAAGTGAAAAACTGCTGGTTTACGTCAACCTCGTATTAAAGTGATCAATTATATTGTTAAATCAACATACGGACTTTTGTGGAAATTTTCCACATCAGCCACAAGGAATAATTGAAATTAATTGACTGATTAATTGCATCAATTCGCAAATTGTTTACCCAACCTCCCACATGAATAATTTTTCACACACTTAATGTGAAACTTAAAACTTTTTGTCGATAAAGTTTGTCAATCACTTTCAACTTAACTGTCACGTCATCGAAAGTGAATAAGAAGACTAAGAGATCATTTCTCGAAGAAACATTAAAGAAATATAAATCGTTTGAGTGAGTGAAAGGAAAAAGAAAAAATTTTTCTTAAGGAATATTAAGTTGAAAAAAGTTGACAAAGATGTTTATTTTCTTGTGAAAAATAAAAAGAAAGAACGTTGACGAGACTATCCGAAAATAAAACGTCGAGTGAGTGTATTGACTCATTAGTTACAGTTTAAACTCTGTGCATAACTAATATCATAAAATAATTTCGAGACTTTTAAATAAACATAAAACATGTCACTTAACACTCCAATTGCCAACTCACGCAATCAAAGGCCGCGTGTAACGTTAAGAATACCGGAACAAAATGCTTATCAGGAAAACATTTTACAAGAAAATCAACAGCAACAGCCGCGACCGCATTCGCCATTCATAATGTCAGCAACAACGAGTGGTGTACCCAGTCAGGGTCAACCAAACTGGCCCAATCCAATTGTGCAACAACTTTATTCACAACGAGCTGGCGATTTCGTGTTCCGACAATTCGAAGGGCTGAATCGCTTTACAAAAGGTGGCTTAAGTGTGGGTGAAAAATCTGTCGTTTACATTTACGCGAAATTTCGAGCTTGGAGTCGTAATTGGTTCACCCACATCTTTCTGTTCATTGTCGTACTTCTCTACAGCATTGCTGGCTCTCTTATATTCATGGCACTCGAAGGTAACTTTAGTTTAAAAAAAGCAGCATAAAATTTATGTCTAGTAATATTTCTTCGCTTGAACATGTATGAGCGTTAGTAAGCAAAGTTATGTGCATTCATCTAAACGAGAAAGACATTCAAGCACGTCGCCAATGTCTGCTGATTCTTCTTCATTCATTCCTTCTGTGAATTGTTTAAGCACAACATGGTTTTTGTTTAAAATTTTAATATCATTAGAATTATTAAATCTCATGCTGTTGTATGCACATAAAAATCGACACGAGACGTTTTGTCTCCTGTGGAATTGACCTTGGAAAGTATCAGCCAGCACAAGCTGTGATGAGAAAAGATTTAAAAATGAACGAAGCATTTCTTTCTCGTTTTTATACTTTTTTTCATCTTCATAAATAGTTTCGGGGTTTTCCATTTTATATATTTATATGTTCATTGTCGAGGAAAGTGTAGACGAGGCAACGAGCACAGATGATGAACATCGTCATGATAATGGATATTAAAGTGCTTTCATGCCCTCTCTCCATCTCTTTCCCCTTCTACGTAATTGAATTACCAGATATTTAGAATGAAAGCTGCGATTGTCGTTCTCATCATTTACTGTTCAAGAATTTTTCGTTTGACTCCCTTAACTCAACTTTAATGTATTTTTTTGGTACAGAATAAATAACATTCCCTTCAACACGTAAAAAAAATTCATCAAAGAATTGTCGAAGCATTTTCTCCTTTTCACTGCCGAATGTTACCAAAGTCACTTTTCGTTTCGTTTTCTTACAACTCCCGTCTTCCTTCCTCGACGTTAAGATGAAAAAGTTTTCTTTTAAACTTTCCCTAGAGCGAAAAAACGAGTCGTTCCATTCATCGATGAGTTTTTAAATGATGTAATTTATGACTCGATATGTGACTTTCTCCATTTCAAAGCTACTTTTATTGGTTTTCCTTCTTTCTCTCGCCTAGGATTTCCGACAATCAATTATCATTCCGGAGAGAGATGTGTGCGTTTGATTTATATTGCTTCCGATTTGGTTTTTTTTCGACTACTTAACAGTGGGTGGAATGAACAAACCGACCGTTCGTTGTGATGGAGCAAGAAGAAGCTTTAAGAGCTTTCTTAAAGATGTCTTTCTATGACTCAATCCAAATATTTTTCTTATCTTTCAAGAACCATAAGCATATCTAAATTTCTTATTTTTCTTCTATTTGTTATATTCCTAACATGTTACATCCAAATGTCGTTCTATTTTCTCATATTTGCTCCACAATTCCCACCCCCCCTACACCTCTCCATTGAACATACGTAATGTATTAAGCTCTTAAGTATCAAAATACATAAAAATGTATGCAAATAAATATAAATGAAGAGAAACGACCGACGTGACATGAATTTAGATTTGACGATTGCTAGGACCTACAAAAAGCACATTTTTCAACCAAAAAAAAAAAATTAATAATTCAAGTCGTTCTCGTTTTCCCGCTTGCAAATAACCGCTACATTGTTTAAGTTGAATAAAATTTCATTTGCAAAACAAACACATAAAAATATCAGACAAAAGCTGAAGAAAGAAAGGAAGAAAAGGGAAGTAAAAAATATTTTTGTGTGTTAATCATTGGCGCACAATGTTACGATGACAACATTTAAAGAAGATTGAGTGAGTTTCAAAGCTCTCATATTTTATGCTGACACAAGTGAAACAGATTATAATAAAATTATTCGTTGCTTTTTCATTGGAAAATGCGGTTGTAAGAGTTACGTTCGTTCATTCGTTTGTTAAAGTTACGGTGAATGAACAAGAAAGGCGAACGAGAAAGGCAAAGCACTTGAAATTCAATTTGCCTAATTAGGCAGGAAAGCAAAAAAGCAAGCAAGGAGTTAAGCAAATATGAAACGTTAACGAGGGCAAAAATCTCGTACGACTAAGAATCCATCGATTTGCGGATGTTGAAAAATGGCTGATTAAGAGGTTTTTAAATCATAATTAAATAATTAAGTTAATAATGAAAAACTTTAAATCCGAAACTTTTCACTCTTTAATATTGATGTTTAATATGCAAACCACGGAAACAACCAAAGCATCCCAAAATAAAAACAATTACAGAGCCATAAAAGAAGCTTTTCAGTTCGTGTTAAAAAAGCTCAACGAAAAGTCATAAAATCTACATTCATTTCACCGCCTTTGTAAAAAAATAATTTTTATGACTTTTGTTGAAGTTTACATTTTTAATGCCTTCACGTCTATCCACCTCTCTTAGGGAAGCTTCCATTCAATCAGCTTCTCTTACCCATTAAGCGATTAATGTAAATAAATATAATTGGTTTTATGTGTTTTCGCCCTCTTTCTTCACATTTTCATTCCTCCCCATTCTCATCTCCCGAATGGGTCAAATTGAAGTGAACAAATAAAACAAGACGAAAATTAAATAAACACATTAAACGAAGAAATTCGATAAAAGAGAAAAAATTGAGTCATAAAACGTCCATCACGTTCCAATGAATCGAGAATCGAAATAAACATTGTAACTCGAAAATTTTTGTCTTTTTAGTGCCTCGACACGTTCAATGTTGGGCCTTTCACAATGTTTACACATTCCAATCGATTGCTCTGCTTCCGAAACAAGATTTTCCTCTGCCGAAAATGTTGCGTGAGTTGAGTTGAGTTGCGAAAATGTTGATCGCATCATGTATACCAAATCAATCTAATTTCAATCCTCTAAACATAAAATTGCGGTCAATCACCTTATGAAATCAGCTGCATTGCTGTTAATCAATAAAATTTACTATAAATGTCAATACATGTTCAATCGATAAATAAATTGCTAAGAGATTCAAAGAAACTTTCATTTGAGGTCCCCCTGAAACACAATTTCTCGAGAACGTGAAGGCAGGACGAGTAAAGTTGGCTAACATAGCCCGAGAGATGGCAAATGACAAGGAGAAATTACAGGCAAGTCATTCGCCAAATTGATTTTTATATTATTTAAGTATGTGACAATCTCTTGGATGTATCTTGGAAAGATTTTCTTCTCGAGAGTTTCTCTACAGCATAAAAAATCTTTCATTTTCAATTGAATTTTTCAGGATAACGAACTTTGGCTAGGAAGCTTTCGGAAGGAGTTAGGCGAGTATGAGAAGCTTCTGTATGATGCATACGCGAAGGGACAGTTCGACAATGCTGAATTAAAGAAGACGTGGACGTTCTTTAATTCAATGTTCTTTTGCGGAACAATCTACACAACAATTGGTAAGTTGAATTATGATTTGATTTGAAATGGATTTCATTCATTGTGGCAGAACTCTTACCGAGAACCTTCGAAGAACTCATTCAACTGAAAAAGGATTTTCCTTTCACAAATCTCTAAAATGAATTTCCCATAAACACAATTTTCTTATTTATGTTCGTGTACCAGCAGTGACCAAGCGTTAAGTGTCAAACTCACTTCAATGTGACCATGAAAACATGAGATTTCAATTCATAGTCATTAATAACGAAATGCCAGCCCAATAGCGATTTATCATTCAACGATACACGAATAAATGAATGAACGAATGGTGGTGACCCACAAAAAGAGAAAATAAATTATTCGGGAGAATTTTACAGCATGTGAATGTTGTTGTTCTTGTTAGATTTTGGATTCATTGCTTGATGACAAATTAAACCACGTTCGCAACGATTTTTTATTGATAATTGCTATATAATTAATTAAGCTGTGACTTCTAACGAGATTATCAATTTTAAGTAATTTTCTAAACTTGAAATTCATTTAAAAGTAAAGCACAACCTTTTGACCTTTCATCAACCTGAATGGATCTTTGTTTCCCTACTTATTCCAACTCGCAATTATTCATGAAGTTTGTGAATTATGCAACATCTTCTTCTTGATGTAAAAACAATGAATCAGCAACCTTTTAATAATATAATTACTTTCCTCGAGTTCGAATAATTAAACTTTTCATGATGCCTCGAGAATCCTATTTAAATTTAGCTTTACAAACAACGTCGACTGTAGGAAGCAACTTTAAGTAGAAAGAAAAGCTCAGAATGTTTACTTTTATTAAGAATATACTGAAAAGTTAAACTTTTTCGTCATATTTTGATGTAATTTGTAACACATGAAATAAATATGTTGGGGAGTTTGTTGAACAAGAAGTGAATGTAAAGTAATTTGATTCTTATTTTTATCCTACAAGAAGTCGTAGGTGTACTAAAAAGTCGGAAACTTTCTTTGGATCTTCAAAAAACTTTTCAGTGAAAGTGCAATTAGCAAAGAAATTCATATTCAGATTCTTCCATGAGTTTACAGGGAAGCATAAAGTTTCATTTAAATAATAAATCATGAAATGTTATGAAAAATTGCATTTTATGTTGAAAGAAAAAAGCTCGTCTTGAAGGGAGTGCTCGTTGAATGTTTGTTTATGATCCCACTGGAGGGAAAACGAATTTTCTGAGGCAACGATTTAATTGGATGGTTTGTTATTTAATTATAATTATATTTTATGGATGAAAAAAATTAATAATAACGGTACAAGAGGAGAAGGGAGAAAGAGGCAAGCGGGCATGTGCGATATGCTGGAACAGCAACAAACTTCATGTAAGAGAGTAAAAAAAATTGAAATGTTAACGGCGGTGGTAACAGAGAAATGGTTCACTGGCCGTTTTTAAGTAGAAATTAGCATATTAAAAAAAGGTTCTAGGCCTTGATAAAACCAACCCAGTTGGAAATAAGTGGCTCTGGGCATTGTTAGTATTCATTGCAGTCATGAGTTAGCAAGAAAATAACGTTATTTGCTTTTCATTCCCTTCTTTACTCGAAATAACCGGCGAGGAAAGAAGAAAATTGAAATGATGGAAGGGAAATCTTTAAAGCTGTGGAAATGTTGCACAAATATATTAAATTACAAAGTAAAACTTTTTTTTTCGTTCCTTTTTCTTCCTCAAATAAATGTCTAAAGCTGTAGTATTTAAATTCAGCAGATTTTCTGGTCGAAAAGGCTTTCGCTTTATTCTTCATTATTTAATGTAAATTGAAAGGGAGCCTCGTTGATCGATTACATTTAATATGGTAATGAAAAATAACATCAAAAACAACAACAATAATAGGAAAAAGGGAATCATAATGGGAAAATTGAAACGAACAGCCTTTGGTGAAGAAATTCATAAAATTATAATTTAATTATTCATTGAACATCGAGTGTTTCTCATTTATTTTGAACTTTGAAATTCTCGGAATGAAATTGAAAATAATTATTTCGGAGAGGATTAAAATCGAATAATTTTGTAATCGTTGAAACGAGCGACACTTTCGTTCAGAAATTTTAATTAACAATTCATGCACGATCATAAAAGTTATTCTTTTGTCAATTTGACTCAAATGATGTGAAGAACATTTATGCAAACACAAAGTTAAAGTTTCGCTATCATAAATCAGTAAAACTTTAATCATATGTCGAAAAGTTCTTTGTGTGAATCATAAATTATTAGCTAGAAGAATGAAAACGAATGTTAACATCGTCAGTTTATAGCTATGTTAATTAATGCTTATAAAATTTAATGGAAAATTATGAGCCCCATGTGGGTTATTTAGGAGAAACAGATTAAGAGAAAGTTCTTAAGTTAAGAGCTTGAATATCTTCGACCGGGTTGGATTAATAATACGGAAGGAGCGAGGAAAAAAATTCCAGTCTGATTCATGAGCCTTAAATTGCTTGTGTTAACAGCATGTTCAAAACATATTTCACTCTTGAATGTTTCTATTTATTTTATAAAAAATTCCCCTCAACACAAAAGCCGCGTTAGGTAGCGGAAAAAAATGTAATCAAAGTCGTGGAGTGACAAAAACATTATTTAAATGATACTTAATTGTGTGGCAAAACAACATTTAATATCAAGGAATGTGCGTGGATGTTTGTTACTCAAATGTCATCCGAGTTTCTTTGAATGTTTGTATCAACCTTGACTACTCTTACAATGGGCTTGCTTTAAAGCAAGCTCATCATCATCATAAACGCTTTCACTAAATATTTCTTTGTTAAAAATAGAATCGAGAAAATATTTTTGTCTTGTCTCAAAATACCGCTGCGGTTAATTAAAAAGTGAAAAACATTCTGTCGTAATAAATTTGTGAATTTCTTTTCGAAACTTTCAACGCGTCAGGTTGTGAGGTCATGAAGATCAGCGGCTAAGCTAAGTCATAGAAGAAAATAACTCTCACAAGAGAGTTGATCACAAGTGTTTGATGAAGAAAATCTCTTCAATATTACTCATGATGATGGAAATCAAGCGATGAGAAAAAAGTTTTTTCATTCTATTTTTAATTTGAAGGAAAAGTGGAAAACTCGGCAAGAAAATTTTCTCACATTCTCAGTATTTCTCGTTCGATTGTGGACCGCAAACTAAAAAATATTTTTTGGTATCGAGAAGAAACTAAAAAAGAAAAGTTTTTCATCTCGCCCTTCATCAAAAACCAAAAGAAATTTTCCAATAATTTTCCGCTTTTCAAATCGAGTTCTTCACCGCAATCTATTCATTTCTACCGCAGCTGCAATAATAAGAAAAAGAAAAACTTGTGCAAAGTGCAGATTTTCTTGAAAATAGAAAAAAAGGGAAAGAAAAGAAAACTTATTGTATTAAGTAAAATTTATGGTGGAAAATTGAGTTTCGGAAAATTTTCAATCTTCTAGCATATCAAGAGAAAGTAGTGGAAAACGAAAGAAAAAAGTGAAAACCACTTTAGTTAGGTGAAGAGTTGAAGACGAAAAAGAAAGAAAATTAAAAGAAAATGGAAAAGGAAGGAGGTTCACCCTCACTTCGTCGTCGTGTAACTCGAAACACTCGCGAATCGACACCCGAGCCATTACACAAAGATATTAAGATTAAAACCAAATCAAAGGAAAACAATAAAGCGAATGATTCAAAATATATTGTCAGAGGAATCTTAAATGTGGGACCGCCTTCGCCAGCAGGCTCAGTATCGTCATCATCATCGAGTTCGGGTGGAAATGCTGGAAAAAATGGTGGAAGTGGTTCACAAGCATATCGTGCCAAGATTTTGAGGTAGTTTTTAGGTTGTTGAAGTTTGTGATAACTTTTTAAGTAGATAATTGATGGTTGTGGTTGAAAGAGAGATTAATGTTATTAAATTACGAGATGTTTTCATCAAAGCACTAATAATCACTTAAAACTTTCTATTAAAATCTAAGCAAAAAGGAGAAAAGCATGGCACAATCCATTCACCGAAGTCAGTCAACATCAAGGCAAACAGCATCATGTCAGACAAATAGCGACATTTTCAGCTACTTGCGGCGTGCAAAACGATCGTTATCAGCACCACGGTAACGAGTTTGCAATGTCAACCACATGAATTAAAGCGAATGATTGAATTAAATTTCCTTGTAGGAAGCGAGAAGGTTCCACAGATAGTGGAAAGAGTCTTACGCCACAAATGCAAGAGATGAAAATTTCTATGTTGGAGCGAGAAAATTACACTCTTTCAAATAAAACCGACGACAATGATGAGAAGAATGTGCTGTTAGATCAGAACCTGAGGCGTTTTGAGGAAGAAAGGCGTCAGTTCGAACGCGAGAAGCTCAAGTTTCTTGAAGATAAGCGCGAACTTGATAGACTTCGTTTACAACGTTTTGAACGATATAAAAGAGAACTTGAAGCGAAACGTATTGGATTGAAACCCAATTATGACATTGATAATCCCTATGATTATATGATTGCGAGGAAGGTTGTAATCGATTATAAAATGAATGAGAAATTAATGGCAGCAGCAGCAGCGACACAAGATTCTGGTTCAGAAAGTGAACCGGACATTACTGTCGTTGAAAATGTGCCAAAAGATGAGACAATTGAAGAAGATCTTTCTACTTGCAAAGTGATACTAACAGATGATAACGGTCAGAGTAACAGTAACACAATAACATTGCCTGAAGTTTCAGATCAGTCAACGTTATCAAAAAATCATTTAAATGGCAAAGATTTACCCAACGGCACAGAAAAATCATCCGACCAAAAATCGTCAACAGATGGTAACGAAGTGAAAATGGACGAAATGAAATTAGAAAGGGTTGAGTTTGATGAGAAAAGTCCGATGAAGCTTTGGCCTTTCATCAAACTACTTGCACGTGAATCACGACAAATTTGGTCAATTCATAAACGTCTACATCCTTCAGAATGGCGATGCATCAAGTCTGAAATTTCCAAATGCTTATCAGAGCTTGTGTTGCTGATGACATTTTGTGGAATGGGCGGCTTAGTGTTTCGCTATTATGAAGGAAACTATGAAATGATGAACAAAACGGGAGTTAAACGCGTCAAACGTGATTTTATCGATCAGTTGTGGTTGTCCAGCCATAATCTGAGGTAAAGTTTTGTCTCATTCATCACCAGAATAATATAAAAAAAAAGAGTTTCAATCTTTCTTCTTTCTTCATGTAAAGTCATTCACATGTGTACAACGTTTACAGATCATTTGTGACTCATGTCATGCATGTGTGAACAAGGAAAAATGGGCGTTTATGCAAAACTCTCCTTATCAATCACTCGAACCGTGCCTTTATATCCTTTCTATGCCTCTGTCACTGAATTTTAACATTATTCAATGTTATTAATGAACCACCCACTCAAAACTAATTCACACCGCAATAGCTTCTGTGTTCATTCGATCGGCAAGAAACATCACCCCCGCCATCCATTCGAATGTGAAAAGAATCATAAAAATGTTAAGCGTTTAATATTCATCGCTCATTGAATAAACTTTATGTGAACTCAACATCACCGTAGGATGATGTGAAAAACATTAAGCGCTTTTCTGATAGCGATATCTTCTTATTGAAGAAGCTCCCAAAATCATTTTCTCATAATTTTCTTCTTCTTCTATCATTTTCATTTTTCTCTTTCGACATAAAAGCAAAGTATATCAATTTTTTTATCTTACATGTACATAATTTTCTTCAGAGAATAGCTGCTGTTCGCATAAAGAGGTTTTACTTATGATTGAATGCGTCAGGGGAAATGTTAAAAAGCAATCGTTTTTTTTTTTGGGGAAATTCTAAGTATCTGTGGAAACATTTTGGGACAAACAGAGCTAGTTTATTCAATGCTTTCAATCAATTCGTTTACGCCTTCATGAGTTGACTTGAATATAAAAATATGTTGCCGCACTTAATCTGTGTTCAATTTAGCATATAAAAATATGCTCGCTTTCATGAATTTTGTTTTTAGCAAGAAGTTTCATCGTGACATAAAATCGACGCTCATTCATTTTCATTGCTTCACATGAAAAGCAGAAGAAAAACGAAAGAAAAAAGTTACAACAAAAACGTCATGTATCTGATATGTTGCGAATTTGTTTTCACATTATTAATGTGTTCTGATGAAATGTTTTTCTTATTTGTCTCCCACATTTTCCATGACTTTTCAACATAAATCCAATAAATATGTTTTTTATTGTCACTATTCAAACAAACAACAACAAACGACAATGACATTAACAGAGAAGAAGATTGGAAGTCGATGGCTCGCACGAGATTAAGGAAATTTGAAGAAGAATTACAGTCAGCGATTGAGAGTGGCATGAAATCCTACAGTGGTCACAGGACATGGAATTTTGTTAATGGTGTTTTATATTGTCTCGATCTTAGTACCACAATCGGTGAGAGTCAAACCACAATGTATCGATGCGATGATTTCTCATCCCATTTCGAATGAAATTATCTTTTTTTTCCTTGCTAACTTCATTCGCTTATCCCCTTTAATGACGTTCAATTTATTGGAAATCGTTTTGGCTTTAGGCTATGGACATATAAGTCCCGTAACAGTCGAAGGGCGAATATTCACGATGGTCTACGCAATTATAGGAATTCCAGTCTTTCTCATCCTTCTTGCTGATTTCGGTAAACTCTTCACTCGGGTTATCAAATTTGTTTGGGTGAGTTGACACAACGAATGCATCATCATTTAATGATTATTATCGTTTAAGCTCCTTAATAATTTGTGATTTCATTTTCAGGTATTTGTTAGGCGTCTTTACTACACCGGCTCTTGCCGAAAAGTGCGAAAAACTGTACCAACTCAAGTATGTGTGTCGGGTGTCGAGACAAGGCGAGAGATTGATAATAATTCCTATAATCTGATTCTATTTCATTGTAGGACGTAATGCGAGGATTAAATGTGATGTATGACTTCATGCGACGTCCAAGCTTGGCATTTATGGATCCAAGCGTGATGGCAAATCTCCAACAACAACATCCACTTGATCCTACATCGCCATCGTTATCAATACCGAAGCCAAACGAGAGTCCAATGACACCGCTTCCTGAAAATCTTCAAAACTACGAAATTGATGACGAATTCAATCTACCAATTTCGGTTGCTATCATCATGCTGTTAACGTACATGTTGTTTGGTGCTGCAATTTATTGTTCCTGGGAAGATTGGAACTTTTTCGAAGCTTTTTATTTCGTGTTTGTTTCAATTAGTACAATCGGTGAGAGTTTGAAATAAAAGTTTTATTTCTATTATGACATTTTTTTAATTAAAGGTTTTGGAGATTTAGTTCCGACACATCCAATTTACATGATGGCATCAATCATTTATTTGATTTTCGGTCTTGCACTTACATCGATGTGCATCAATGTGGTGCAAGTGAAACTGAGCGATCATTTTAGACAAGCAAGTTCGAAAATTATTGGAGCGCACATAGCTGAAGCTGTATCACAAAGCAGTGCACCACATTCGCCAACTGAATTGCAATCAGTTCATTCGAACAACTCATTTGATAATAATGGAACATCGCTTCCAACGAATGACACTTCGACGATGACTGCTGACAAAAACACTGTAAATACAAACTCGAGAATGCTGTGAAAACATGAAATGAAAAAAGATTTTTAACAACGCAGTGAAAAAATGTAGAAAAGAGGAAAGGAAAAAACAAAAAAATTGTGATGTGCTTTTTTTTATTGTTGACAAGCATCGCACAAAATAAAAGTTTGAACAATCAGTGAAATGTCTATCAATAAAAATTGCAGGGAAAAAGGGAATTGGGAAGCTCAGTTAAGTGTTTTTAGCGCAATTTCAAGACAAGTGGTGGCTTCTGCTGATTTGAAAAGTTTTTATGGGGCTCGAGCAGTAACAAGGAGAAATGAGACGTAGCGACATTCCATCAAGCTCAAGTACTTGAACCAAATGACTTTTTGTTGGTTTAACAATTCCCTTTCTATCTCTTACGACACCTTTCATAACCTTTCATTCACATTATTTGCTATAACTCTTCCTTCTTTAACTTTCGTTGTTATTTCTGCTCAACACATTTCAAACCCTCTTCATTATCTCTCGTAATCGAATGGAAACAATTTTCAATCCGCCTTAAGGTGTTTAAACTTCTTCATATTTCGATTGATTCTCATTAAAATGAAATGGAAGTGAATTTTCCAAGAACGTCTTCCTTCCTTACTTTCCGTTTGTTCACAATGCAACTTCTTCAATGATGGAAGATAAAAAATTTAAAAACTTCATCGGAAAAGAAAACTTTTTCATTTGTTTCATTACTTAAGTTTTCGTCAGGTTAATTGTGCATCTTATCGTCTTATTTCCTTCTTACCTTAAATAGTCGTTCAAGAAAACTTTGCTTAAGTCCAATTAAGGAGGATGTCAAGGAAAGAAGTTTCTTCTATTCGGCATCGTCATCATCAAGTGCAGCGTTCGTATAAAACATTCATAAATGGGCTTGCGGTGAATGTGATTCACATCTGCAATTATTTTCATTCTGTGTGTTTCTAAAAGTCTCTTTGAAATAATTAAAAAAAATTCATTTCAGGTGAACAAAATCAAAAAGTTTTTGCATATATTTGCATTGCAGTTTTCATACAAAAGAAGTGAAGAACGTTCGCTGATTCAACAGAACTCTTTGAAATTTGTTCAAACAACTTTTAAAACCACTGAAAATGGTCAAAAGAATTCTTTTGTTTCAATAATACAAATCTTTTGATGGTACGTGAAAGCCCACAAAAAAAGGAAGCTAAACAACCTCCATCGACCGAATGATTTATTGTTATGATTGCCACGAGATGAAACTCTTCAACCAAAAAGAGAATCTTTTCCAAAACTTTTCCCCTTGATAATTTACGATTTCATGAAACTGTTTCCCGATTGCGAAAAAGGAAAATGTCAAAATTAAAGGAGTAAAATTCATTTTAAATTGTTTTTCTTCTCACATTTGAAAGAGGAGAGAAATTTTACTTGCTTTCTCATTCGTACCGTTCATTCATCGTCAAAAATATTTTGAAAGTTTATGACAAAAACATATTTTCGAGGCATCAAAATCTTGATGTTGTAAGTAAGAAGAATGAGAAGGTGAGGAGGGCAAAGGAAAATGTTAAAACTTTCTTCTTTAACAGCAGACACTGAAGCAGTGAAAATAAGATTTTCTCATGAGAAATTTAAACATGTTATAAATTTTCATTAATTCACGCCTGAATTAGGAAACGAATGTGAACTGGTTGGGTTGGAATGAGTGAAAAATGCGGCTGGTTGCTCTGAAACGGGTATCTATAAATTTATATAAAGTGAAGAAACGCAAATATATTCTCATTCGCAGGCAGATTTCTTTTTATGGGTTTGATGAAAAATTTTAACATTTACGACATGAGGCATAATAAAAGTAATGATTATTACTTATCTATTTACATGTTAACATACGTAAACTAATCAACAGCATCAAAGAGTTTGCCAATAATGACAGTTAACATTAACTTATTTATATCATGTCATAAATTTCTACAAATTTTTATGGTTATTGAAAGTGTGATTGATAATTAATTTAAATTTAATTACAGTACATGAAACGGTGATACAGGCTTTCCAGCTCTGTTTCCTGAACGAAGCAAGGAAAAATTGTTTTTCAAATTAAAGTATAAAGTGAACCCAAAAGAAGCTTTTTAATAAAGTTTCTCGATATTCAAATATAACCCTGAATTGTTTCATCTTTAGAAGACAAGAATATCCGCTTGAGCTTTCCATCATATCTTTACCTAAGAGAAAAAAACATGAAAAGACATTTTTCTGCAACATCAAACATAATTTTCGTTTTTTGCTTTCTTCTTTTTCTCCATTAAATGTGAAATTTATTTGAATTCAATTCCTCAAAGGAATAAAATTTGAATTTTTCTTTAATGTTCTTTTTGATGGCTCATGCTTTGTGAGATTTACGTGAGTGTGTGTATGACGCAATAGAATGATCAAAGGAAAAAAGAAATATTACAATTGAATAGCATCACGACATGTTATTGCGCTTTGATTGTTGAAAGAGTGATTTCATTTTTACTGTGACATAAATATCTGAGTATGTTAAAAAGCATTTTATATTCACACCACAACCATCTTTTGGTGGAGAATGAAAAAGTTTAAAATATCTCCAAGAACATGCTCATACACATCATAGTGAGTGAGTATTGCAATGCTTGAAAACTTCCTGGGGGTTTAAAAGATTTTTTTAACTAACTTTTTTAAATTGCCTAAAAATTTGATTTTTGTTAATTTACTCAGATTTGCTCAACTTTATAACTAATAATGATGACACTTTTTGTTCTGGAAATTAATATATGTATCTACTGACGTTTCGCGCCCAATAGTCTTTTGAAATGCTGTAAGATGCTCAGTTTCGGTACGCACAGAATGATCGTCACAATAGTTACAAGCTACAAGTTGGACTTGAAAGATGGCTAAAGGAAACTTTATAATTTTCTTTACAATTTTTATCAACTTGTAAGTTAAGTTAAATGAGGAAATTAAATTGAACGAAATTAAACTTTAACTCTTTCTCAGTGTATTAGGGTACAGAGTACCCATAAAAAGTGGTAAGATAAATTAAAATATTAAATAGAATTTCTAGTATTAGATATTTAAATCTTATGAGGCTGAATTCTTATGCTTGAAATTGTCGATATTTGAATTTTTTTAACCTAGTTTAACAGATACCTTAAGCGTCATGAGAAGCCAACTGTTCAAACTTTTCACATTGCCTCCGATCATGATCAAGCAAAACATCACATTCGAACTCTTTAAAGCTTTTGCTTTGATTTAAAATTTTTTTTCCTATCGCTGCTTTTAAGATTTTTACGATTAAATTGACGCTTTTGAACAAATAATTACAACAATAACGATTTCTTTAGTTCTCCTGGCAAAAATAAGAATAAACTGCAGAATATAAAAGAAATATTGAACAGTGAAGAATTAAAAGAAGATGAAATTGATTACAAATCTGATGACGAAGATGACAAGACCGGGTTCCATCCTGTAAGCTTTTTCACTTTAGTGTACTAGCTGGTACTCTTCCTACTTTGATGAACATGATGATTTTCATTTTTTAATGTAAATATTATTTTAAGTATTAAACAAATATGCGTATGTTAATTGTAAGCAAAAAGAGAGAAAAAAAACTTCCGCACAGATGTTTGGGAAAACCTGAATTAATAAAATGAAAGATCCATGAACGTCACTGTCGTCAATAGCAAATGTTTCAGTTTTTTCTGATAAAAGAATAAATATAGAACAGAAAGGAATTTACAGATAGAAAAATCGAAGTATTTTGTAGACGTAGTGAAAATGAGATACGACGGACTGTGTCCATCATTCTGATGATCAAAGGAAAAAAGAAATATTACAATTGAATAGCATCACGACATGTCATTGCGCTTTGATTGTTGAAAGAGTGATTTCATTTTTACTGTGACATAAATATCTGAGTATGTTAAAAAGCATTTTATATTCACACCACAACCATCTTTTGGTGGAGAATGAAAACGTTTAAAATATCTCCAAGAACATGCTCATACACATCATAGTGAGTGAGTATTGCAATGCTTGAAAACTTCCTGGGGGTTTAAAAGATTTTTTTAAATAACTTTTTTGAATTGCCTAAAAATTTGATTTTTGTTAATTTACTCAGATTTGCTCAACTTTATAACTAATAATGATGACACTTTTTGTTCTGGAAATTAATATATCTACTGACGTTTTGCGCCCAATAGTCTTTTGAAATGTTGTAAGATGCAAACATTTTTCAATATTTCTTCTCAGTTTCNAATGAAAACGTTTAAAATATCTCCAAGAACATGCTCATACACATCATAGTGAGTGAGTATTGCAATGCTTGAAAACTTCCTGGGGGTTTAAAAGACAACAAGAAAATGTTTTCCGCATATTTTATCATCATCCTTGCATGTTTCAAATTTTACTCAACATACATTGCGATCTATTATCGAAGGAACAAAAAAAGGATGAACATTGAAAATTCTTTGAGAGAAGAATGAACAAAAAGCAGAAAACATGAATGGAACGTCAACTCGAAGACGAGTTCATGAAGAGCTTTTGAGTTAAAGTTTTTCCTACAAGAGATTAAGCTTCAAAAACATAGAAGATTATTATTTTAGAACAAGCAATATTTTCGAAATCTATGATGGAACATGGATTTAAACTTTATTAAGCTTAGCTCTGCTCTTTCTCTTTCTCCTTTAACAAAAAATAAAATAAAAAAACCCTCAAACAAATCATCTTTTACTGTATCTGTTCGTACAATAAGCAGTTTTGTTTTTTCCATGAAAATCAATTGAGACATTCAAGAAGATCCTGTTATACGTTGTAAAAGCTCCATCGACTCAGTGAAGGGGCAAATCGAATCTTTATTGAATTGTTTCAAAATCGCTCGTACATGCTTTTAAAACTTTACTAAATATGCTGCAATCTCCATAAATGAGCAAGCAATAGACATCTAAATTGGACAGTTTGTAGATTGCGAAGCCTAAAAAGTTAAGCCATCATCTAAGAATATAAAACATTAAAACTACTACTTGCCATTAAAGACTCGACATGCTCTGAGGGAGTTGAATGACCCTAAATGTCCCTCATGCTCCTAATTCAAGTTTAATTGAATCTCAGAATTATGTGAATTACATAAAGGAACAATTATGTTGAATGAATAAACAGAAATTCACATAAATATCTGCAGAAGTGAGAAGGTAGAAGTCAAACGAGCAACAACATTTTGTTTTTATTTTTTATATAAATATTCAGTTGCGAAAAGATACAATTTCAGTGGAAATAAAACGACAATGAAAATGGATTTTCAATCCTCATAAAATCATCCTTCTTCATAAAAATCAATATCGGATAAATGAGGGCTGAGAAATATGTCAAAATATTTCACAAGCTGAATGTTTATTTGTTTCTCTTCATTTCTTGTTTGGGTTTAAAGGCAATTTATATTGTCACAATGCCATTGAGAACAGATCAGATTTTCAATTTATGTTTAGCTTCAAGAGAATAAAGCACAAAGCTAATTGTAATAATCATCATGGTGATATATTTTTATGGTGAAACAGCGACTGACTGTGTTTGTGTCTCTTGCTCACGTCGCTGTGGAAATTTCATTTTCTGCTGCTTTGATATAAGTATCATTACTAAAAACTCGAGAACTGATGGTGAGGAAGTGTCGGGTGACTAGCAAGTATAATAAATGACTTGATTTTTATTGAAGCCGACAACACAAGACGAAGAAATCTGGCAGATCTCTTACACAACATCACAGCATCACAACATCACAGCATAGTCAGCAAGCTAAATTCAAGCCATGAAAAGATTTGGATTTTTCTTCTATCTCCTCTTTTTTTCTATTACGACGAATCAGTTTTTTTTTGCCAAATACGTGCGCTGAAATACTTAGTCGTGTTGGCATTTATTCCATCCCATTTCCATCAGCCATCAACCTTCCTAAAGTGACATTTCACATACAAAGCTCGCTCATAAATTTGTCCGCACTTAGACTGAATGTTATCTTTTCATGAAGAATCATCTTTTCTTGTCTTCCAGCAACATCAAAAATTGAGTTGAATTTATACAATTACGTGAAGTGCCTAAGTGCTTCATCATGTTGAAGGAATCAACAGTTACTTCAGGAACATGATATTAAAAAACAAGGAAGCGATCTTTATAAGTTTGTTTTCACTTTAAGACGAGACCTTCAAGGTGAAACATTACCATAACTTGCTAACTTTACTATTAAAGCAATAAATTATGAATAAAACATTTAAAATCATCAAATTAATAAAACATTTTCTCCTTGTGATATTAAAATGTGAGAGAGAAAACTTTACATAGATCTAAGTTCTTCTCGTTTTGAATGAAAACTCTTTATCGAGATATAAATTTTGTGAATATTATAATGCTTTTCATAAAAACATCGTCATGAATTTCGCAATGCAGGAAATTGTTTTTAAAATTTAATATTCAACAGCTTTAACTCACCTCACCCTACTCAAGTGAAGAAAGCATTTAAGCAAAGAACCGTCCAACACACAAAACCATTAACCGAAGTTAAATCATTTTTATGCCCAAAAACCGACAATAACTTTCATATTATCATAAAAATTATGACGCTTTAGTGAGCTTTGCGATAGTGTTTGAATGAATGACAGAAGGGTAAGTAAAGTGAGCCAATAATTTTCACATATTCATTCTCCAGCTGTTATTGATGTCTATTTCATGCAAATTGCCTTCAACTTTACTTTCATTTTATTATTATTTCTCCTTCGTATTGATGAGTTCATCGTATCATCACATAAATACTTAAATATATTTATTTAAGCAGCATGCCATCTTTTTACATCCTTCACAATTCTGTTCTTATGAATTGTAACAATAGCAAGCAGATTAAAGAATAAAAAGCTGACAAGCTGCCAATATACTTTAATGCTTATTCTCGTTCTCATTGAATTATAGCTTACACTGATGCCACGCTTCTTCTGGTTAGAACAACAAGAAACAAACAACTTTTTTATTATCTTAAAACTCGTTGAGATTATGCAGAAACTTTTACGTTAAACCATAATCAACTTTCGTTGTTGTTTTCGTATTTTTTTCTTTCGGTTTTTTATTTTGTTACTTTCGGGGCCAAACAGAAGACAGATGCACATTAAATTTTTATTTCTCGCTAAGGCGATATTACAATTTCTTTGTTTCACAATATTATTCTCTTTGAAGGAGCAGCAGCAGGCAGTTTTGATGTTGTCGTTTTAAGCAAAATTTGCCTCTTGATAATCTAATTCAATTTCTTTGAGGATTTTGTTTTCAAATGTTAGAGAACGACAAACAGACAGGTGCAACAATCACAAACATTGTTTTGATAATCGATTCTAAGCACATGTTATTGCCGTCATTTAACATATTTGCCAAGTCGAAGCTTCTCCCAAATTTATATTTGACCTTGTGCTTCATCATCTTAAAATCAACAATTCAGAAGAAGCTTTTATAAATAATATAAATCTAGATACTTCAAACAAAAACATAAGCAAGAGATGATGAAATCGATCCATAATAAAATCTCTCTCCATTATGAAAACATTAATTTTAGATGAAGTTTAGGGCTATGCTTTACAACTCATTTTGTTCTAAATTTATTTGTTAAGTCTACACCGAAAAAAATATCTTAAATCTTAAAGCACAACAATTCTCGAGTTTTGGACGAAGTTGAAGTCATAAGAACTTTACTTGGCGAGATGTCTCAGGTGACATCTTTAAAAAGGTGAATGTTTGCTTGGTTTCTTTCCGAAGTTGCAACCTAACAAGATTCTCTTCCTTTCCTTTTGACCTTTTTTTAAATGTTTACATCTTAATACTTGTGTTCTTTGTCGAATTTATATTTGCTTCAAGATACATTGAGCGAACAGACAATGAGAAAAGGTAGGATAAAGCTTGTAAAATTATATTTGAAGTGCCTGGAAGAAGGTCAAAAAGATTTCTTCAAAAAAATCTTAAGAAATGTAATATAAACAACAAAGAAATCTTCCTTTTCATGTCGGACGCTAAAGTCTTCATAGAATTTCCTTTTTCATTTAAACAAAAGATAAACAACATCCCATAAAATCCCTTCAACAAAAATGACAAAAGTTCTGTTTGCTTTCTAGGAGGGAGGGAAGTAACGATGAAAATAAATCTCGTCAAAAGGAAATTAAGATATCTTCATGAAAGCAGTAAATGTGCTGAAATGTGTGCGTGTAGTATCGTTTAAGATGCAATTAACTGAACTCTTCATATATCTAAGATTTCCCTTCCTTCTCCATCTCATATGTTAACATTTACAACAGTAAAACAAACTGTGAGCTTAGATGTTGCTTTCATTCAACATAAAAGAATAAAAGAGAAGTTGGAGTGATTTTTATCAAAGATAACAGTTTTGTTTCATTCTTATAAAAAAGAATCTTTTGAATTATGCAAACACTTGGCGTAGGGAAGTAAACGAATATCTGTGTGCTTATCTAACTTCTGGATGTCTTAAGGATGAAGCCTAACATGATTTCTTGAGATAAAAGGGCATGCTATGGATAGCTTATGACAGCGAATTTTAAGTAAGATATAAGCTCACATTTGACTTACTCAAATGACTTGTATGGCAAAGCGAAGCTCTGTTTTATTCAAAATTGAGCTTCGTTCTCAAAAAAAAAGGAAGAAAAGTAAACGAAAGAGAATCTGACAACATCAGCATAACACAAGAATGGAAAATGAGATTCGTTTCTAACCGAAAACGAAAGCTGAAAATCTCCAACATACACATATCGCACATGGAATATCTAAAGACGGAAAACAGAAAGTATCGAAGGAAAACATACGGATCGAGGTGGTGGAAGGATATGCAGCAAGGAATCTATTGAACATAAATAATAATCTGTTTCAAAAAATTGTGCTGGAATACGGAATTCTTTTTTTTATATTTTTCTTTGGGCCTTTCTTCTCGCATCCACCTGGAGCAGGTGAAAACCAAATGAATATGTCGAATGAAAGAAGGTGATTTTATTTTTTTTTCTCGTCTGAATTGTCGAAGAGTCTTTCAAAGGCCTAAATTTTGAATGAATACGAAATTCATTTCATCGATGATGGTGATGGGAATATTTAAGTTAGATATCTAAAAGATTGAAAAAGATATAAAGATCTGAACTGGATTTATTTTCCTATGAATAATTTTTATAAACTCATAAATTATTTTCAACCGCAATCAACTTTCGTAATTTTTTTCTTTTTTCAGATACTTTATTTAAATATTCAAATAGATTAAACCTTTTCCTCTATCTTAAAAGGGTTGTAAGTAAATATTTAGGTGTTGAAAATCGATTTAAATTCATTAGATTTTCGGCAGACAAACAGAACCGAACGACAATCTGAGAGCGAAATTTCTTATCGATAGGCATCGAAGTGAAGGAGGGTTTTAATTAAACACCAATTACGCATCTTCTCCCATCCTATTACCAACATTTCTCTTCTCTTTTTCCTAACTTTGTTAGCCTCGTGCAATTAACTTTCCGACTCGATTTCAAAGCATTAATGAAGAAAATATGACAAAGCGAAAGTAAGAGTCGAATCATCCCCGAAAATTTAATTATCGATAAAAAAAGAGAAGATGAGAACGAAAATTGTTTACCCACACAGTATAATTAAATAACCAAGAAGGTTATCAAAACTCGGATAAAACGTGGGATGGATAAAAGATGAAATTTATCAGTGACAAACTCTTTTCGTTTCTTTCTTTCTTCGCCGTCTCGTCTAAGGCCGACAACATAAATAAATGTGGAGTTGATCATAAAATGATTGGGGGCGCTATAGCGCTAATGAACGAAAACGAGAATGAAGAAGGCAAGTCGAATATAAAGTTATAGCGAGCACCAGCTGTCTATTAGAACAAAATTCTTATTTCACTTCAACCTTTTCCCCGGCACAGATCCAACTTTACTCATACATTTTGACATCTTTAAGACTGTTTTTTTCGTTCTTCATGGAGGGACTTTTGTTTGTTGTAAGAAGGAAAGAAATAATAAAAAAAAGGAAACTTCGTCCTCTCTCTCACTCACTTTGCTTCACTTCTTAACTCGATTCTCTTTAGTTCGTAGACAAACATAAAAGCTAATTTATTGTTATAATTTTAAAGAAATAAAAGGTTGTAAAAACGTCAGGTGGTGGTACGGTTATAGTTGGGATATAGTGCCGTCATCTCATTCAAACATTGTAACATGATGCTCTGCTTTACTTGCTATAGAATTAAACGGAGAAAACGTTAGAACGAATGTCTTCATCACCCAGATGGTGCAAGATGCTGTCGAAGTTGTTATTAAATTTACTATTATTTGATTTCATTTTTACACTCTCTGGGAGATTTATCAGTATGTACATCGTATTTAGTTAGGCATTGTATTGCAGCCAAGCATACATAAGTCGTGTCATGATGGCAAAGTTTAACAACAAAAACAAGCTTTTACTACAATTACATCGTCTTGACGACTACGACGATGACAACGACAACTGAAGCTGGCATTAATATTTTATATCATCTGGTGAGCTCGCGGGAAAAAAAAGCATTGAAAAGAAAGGTTTCAAGTTGTAATTTCGAAATGGATTGCTATCAAGCATATAATTTGCACTTCTGTAGAACTCAACAAGCACAGCATATGAATGTATGTTGCTGAGTCTCTTTGGTTGGGGTTAATGTGGGATGAGAAAATTAAATTTATTTGTTTGCCTGCTTGCACGTTTTTGTTATTTGTTTGGTAAAGATGGTATTTCAACCTCTCGGTGAATAATTGCTTCTTCACTTGACCCGTACGTATTTCCACCCTCGCAATAGATTCTAAATGGTTTCACAATTTTTACACTCAGTTTACATTCGAATTTATTACTTCTAGAAGGACTTTAATTTACTAAACTTATGATTTGTGCAGATGAAAAACACGAGATTTCGTTAGCCGGTTGTTAATTCAGACCAACATTAATTAAGAATTTCCAACTGCAAATGCCGTTAAGAAACGTAGAAGTTAAAGCACGGTGTTTAAATATGTACTTGCCAACCAACCAGCACTTTACTTTGCAGATGATTTGTTATCCCGACAACGAATGATTTAAATTTTAATTACACCAGATGCAATCATATTTGACGATCCAAAAAGAAAAAAACAAACCCGACACATTTAAACCAGCATAAGTAATCAGCGACGTTGATATTCATTATTTTTTTCTGTCGAATTGCTTTGCATCATTTTTTGTTTTACGTTCCTGTTGCTCGATCGGCAGCCGAGACTTTCATCGTTATATTAAAAGATGGATCATGGCAAGATGCACACAGAATGTAAATAAATTGGACAACAAAAAGAAATAAGAGACGAAAGAGAATGGAAGTTCGTTGGGAACACGAGTAAACGTGTGCGTAAAACACCTGCCGTTGTTATGCTTCGGGCATTTCATTTGGACAAAAATATTCAGCAGTCATTTGAGGCTTTCATGTGTGTATCTACTCCAATTATGGGTTTTTATATTTGATGACTTTGTAAGAATTTGCAGCGCATTTTTGCGGAATTGAAATCACAACGTAGAATTTTTTTCACATTGCTTCATTGCCATCTGTACGATTCTTCTAAAGAAAAAATTAATCCACAATTCAAAGGATTTTAACAAGTTTTTCAGTTCCGCATTTTGATATCATCTTCTTAATTCGCTACACTTTCTATCTCGAAAAGCCTTGTCAAGATTTGACGTTAAAGGTTTAGAGATAAATTAATTTATCGTCGTCGTTTCATCCCGTCTCGTCGAGAAGTATGAAAGTAAAAAAAATGAATGAAAGGAAGGAATCATTCTCAGTGGATTCACAGACAGATCTAGACCATGTTTTCATCAAACATTATGAAGGAAAATGAGTGAATGAAGGAAAGAAAGAAGAAAAAGGCTTTCCATGTCTACACCAGATCAACAACAAAAGCAATAGCAACACGTTAGAACATCAGGCAGACAGAGTATGAAATTTATTTTATTTCTTGTTTCATATCATCAGGAGACGAACACAAAAATTGCTCAACCGCATTATAGCCGTGAAAAGCCTTCAAAGAAAAAGAAAGAAAATAAGTTTTCGCTCGTCATTTGTCTAACATCATCACATGTGCCACCAACTGTTCTCGTCATCTTTCTGTAAGCTGCTTGTTGTTGATATACAGACACAGCAAACATAAATATATAGCACGGAAGGCATTTCATCCTAATAGCATTGACGAAGCCCATTTTCTATACCTTAAAAACAACATTTATGCTTTTTCTTCTGATCAACTTTGCAAATGTTGCTGTTTTCTATTCGAATGAATTTCCTCCTTTTGTTGTTGCTTCAAACATCTTTTAATCTCGCTTTTAGTCTAAATGCGGGAGAGTCGTGTGGCTCGCTTCGGTTACTTCTCAATTTTTATTTTCTTCGTTTCTTTTTCGGCACATTTTGCACATGCGATGTTGGAGGATTCGAATAAAGTGCGACTGTGATGTTGATTGTTTGCATGGAAGTTTCGTCTGTCTGTCTCTAATGTTCAGCAGCACCTGCTCGTCTCTTCTCATGCGCCTTTCAAAACTTGTTTTACGAACTTCCTTTCACTCTTCTTCTACCCCTCAATTCTCGCTCGTTTTGTTATAAAATATTATTCGTGGAACATATTTACATTCAGATTGATCGTGTCGTTCACTTAGAACGGATGTGCTTTTGATTAAAGTTTAAAAGAATATTAAAAGACAAGAAGGGAATCGTGAAACATTGTTTTGGATTATTTAATATTGTTTTCGGAGAAGAATAAAATTAAAATTTTTAAACGAATTTTCTCCGGTTTTTTCGGAAAAATTGTAGGGAAAACAAGGCAGTCAAGCTGTGTTTTTCAAATTTTTTGTATTTTTTTGCACGCTTCACTGAGGAAACGAATTTAAATTGCAAAACAGTAAAAATATAAAAAAAGACGAAAAATTTTCATTCAACATAAAAAAAAATTGAAATTTTATGTCGACGAGAGAGCGAATGTTGAATTAAATTGTGAATGTCGAAGCAATTATTACAAAATTTCCGTTGCATATTTTTTTAACCCTTCACTTCATAACTACATTTATTTTTAATAAAAACATAAAAAAATATAAATAAAAGGCAGTTAAGGAAGGAGTGAAAGAATTGAATTGCATCATATGTGGTTGCTTCCTTGCATTGACTCACAGTTTTGTTATTGATGTTGATACAGAACGGACTATAAGTAAAAACAAGAAACAAGAAAAAAGCTAAGAGTGGAAAAGTTATTTTCATTTTCCGTGAACATTCCTCAACACCAGAACGAAAATATTTATTCAGTGTTAGCGTTCATAAATATTTTATTAAGAACAGCGAGTAAAGCGAGACTGAAGAGAGAACATTTTCCAGCACTGAAAGTTTTAATCGGAAGAACAACAAGCAGTTTACCTTGCATTGCAGCAGTTAGAAGCGTCATGCAATTTTCATAAGTTTTTGAAGTGAATAACTGCTCCGGTGAGGAAAATTTACACTTTTCAAAGTGAGAAACAAAAGAAAATTTCATTCAGGAAAAGATATTTGCTGTTCGTGGAAAGTTTTATTACGATTTCGTGCAAGGTAAATCTCACGCTATTGAAGAAAAAAAATATAAAAATAAAACAAACTCGATAAAGTGTCCAAAGCAGAAAATTTCCCACGAATAACTGTCGCAGTGAAATGAAGAAAAATCCAATTAAAATCAAATTGTGAATATTATTCTGAAAGTAATTAAATAAGTTTGGTGGCAGTAAATTGAACCATCAGTGTGTCGTTGAATATTTGATATCAAAAGAAAACAAAAATATTGGACCGTAAATTGTGTAAATTGAAAAACGAGTTAATTATGTTTTAATGAGAAATTAAGTGCAACACTCACATCGTTTATAATTAATTTCACCAACCATAAAGTTTATTAGAATCAACTTGTGAAAACAGGATGCGATTGTTGTGAATGACAATTAAATAAAATTAATAAAAAAGAGAAACAGAAGCTCGTGGTTGAAATAAATAAATAAATAAATAATTCAAGAAGCATTTGGATTAATCGAAAACCGGAAATATTCAGAATTGTTAAATTAATTAATTATTCCAAACAGCATTCGTTGAGATTATTTTCATTATATTTATCTCGTCCAACAATTAAAATACAAAATTTTTGTAACAACCTACAAAGTAAAGCCGATCAATTCGCTTTTTTCCTAAATAAAACACGAACAGGAAAAAACAACACGGAAAGTTGTATTAAATATTTAATAAAATAATCTCATCCTCCTGTCGGTGAATTGAAAATTTACTTTAAATTGAACATTTCAACCCAAAAATTGACGATTGAAATTGGTGTTGTAAAGAAAGAACATGGGGAAAACAATGGAGCGATTAACAAACAATACCGTTCTGATGTTGATTACGGGATTAGTTTTCGTAGCGGCAATTCATGCCGTAAAGCAACCGTCAATCGATAGAAGTGAAATGAACAACAACGAGTATGAAGATGATGATAATATTGATGATAAAAGAATTAATAATAATCAAAACAGTGATGAACGAATGCCTGTTAACGATCAAATTAGTTTGCTGACGAGGCAGCTCAAGATGTTAACCGAGCAGCGTCAAGAGGATTACCGAATGTTAGAGCATAGTTTACACTCCTACGTACAGAAGCACTTCGATGAATACATAAATGGAGACATAAAAAAGGAATTAAAGGATTTAAGGTGAGCAATCGAGGGGCGAATTTGAAATGGAAATTGTTGTTTCGTGTAATGAAACGTTTGAAGCGGCAAGCAAAAGCTTAGTTGTTGTTTAAATCCTTTTTTTTTTGGGTTTAATGTTTGGAAGTTGACGATAAGATTCGAAGGTTGGTTACAAAAAGCGACTTGGAAAGGGGAGGAAGGGTTGATGGCGGTGGGAAGTCTATAAAACATCGTCTTAGCGTAGCTTAAAATAATCGTTAAAAATTAGTTTTTTGTTTCTTTCATTTAAGTCTTAAAGAAATTCAACCGAAGCATGAAAGGAAATCACGAAAAGTATTCAAGAGACCCACAGCAGTGAGTCTTCTTCTACTTATTTACAACTTTTACCTTTCATGTAACTCAACAAAGTACGGAATAAAGTTAATTCGATCGATTCATGTTACGAGATTTTTTTTTATTTTCATATTATTTCTTTTACGATTTCAAATTGAGGAAAATTGCTACTTTTTTACACGAGCCTAGATTTACAATTTCGCTTGCCTCTTATTTCGCATGACAGGAGGACAAGGAAAAGAACAAGAAGAACCAACAAAAAAATGAGAGAATTAAAGTAAAGCAAAGCAACATTGAACTGAAAGACCTTTTTCAATCATAATCATTGAAGCCTGTCCATTAAACAAACGAGCGTTCGAAACTAGTGACTAGTCAAACACGAGAAAGAAGAATAAAGTCATTTAAGCCTTGTTTAACATGTTGTTTTTCCTTCTGCTCGCTTTGGTAAACTCGCAACAGATTTAAGCATTGCGATAACACGCTTCGGCATAAAAATTAACACGAGATTTTTCCGCTTTATTTTCTGGACATTTTCCGTTTCTTTCTCCTTTTTTTTGGACAAATTTCAAGCATGAGTTTGCGTTCATTTGATGAAGTCACCAATCCATAAATCACCGCACACACACGCGTAATATTAGTCGTGCCAACTATAAAGTTGACTAGTTTTTTATTATTGCAAATTTACTTTTGTTGACCTTTTTTCTTTGTCACACCTTGCTCGTAAAGCAAATGGCCTTTAGGCCCTAACGTGGACGCTTATTCTCATCGTCATCATTCGATAAAATAAAAAGTAAATTGTAACGACACACACACACGAAAGGACTAAAAAGGAAAATTTTCCTTCATGAATTATTGAAATTTTTCATGATTTTACTGTAATCTTCCAAAAAACATTTTCCACTCAATTGATTACATTTTTCCGGTGGTATTTGTCTCAGACTCCTTTGTTGAGTTGTTGAAATAGAGACAAAGAGAGATGGAGAGAGAGTTACAATGGTGGAGAAATTAATGAAATTTTCCTTCTCATTCCTTCGCTGCTGCAAGAAAATACCGCAGATATCGAAGAACATTTCTCTATTTATCGTCTAACAGTGAGTCGAAAGAATTCTTAGAAATGTGGCTTGAAAGATTTCGAAATCTTATTAATTTATAGCTTTCATTTCATTTTACAATAGCAAGTTCATGTCGTCAGTGGGAAAAACTATTTCTATTTAAAAAGTTTTTGGAAACAAACCACCACCACTTCACTAATCCTTAATTTATGACCACAGAGTTCAATTTGCAAGTTAAGAACTTTCATGTAATCACTCGAATAAGTGGAGAGAAAAAAGTTTTGGTGTGATGTGGTTGAAAGCAATGTTTGTGGCATGAAAAAGGCTTCATGGAACCTTCACAAGTCATCACTTTCTCAACCTTTTGCGGCTGACGTTTTCACGTTCTTCAATCATGATTCATGAACCTTTTCTTTCTCCCTTTCTCCTTCTGTTTGTAATGAAGTTCAAATAAATGGACTCTCGGGTGAAATATTTACGACTATTTATTTAAGCCTCAATCATAAGCTGCTTCTCTTCCTTCGTTCTCTTCAAACTTTCATAGCTCAACTGATGATGAATTATCGTATTTTGCAATTTTTGTTCTTTACGGTACTTTTACCTTATCCATGAAATTTGCTTATGAACCTAACGAGTGCTATAAAAAGCTTTCCAAATTTAAACTCAGTGAAGGAGTTCGAAGGAAAGTTTGTGAAAGGTTAAAGAAAAAAAAGTTTTAAACTTCCTTGAAATGTCGCGTCAAATTTCCGTTTAGGGATAAAAATTACAAACTTATCGAAAGAGAAAGAAAAAACTTTTCCATTAGTTACAGACGACAATTTGAAACAGTTTTATAGTTTTCTCATATTATCTTATGATCATGCTGATGATGAATCATGTTTGAATCTTAATAATAAATTGAAGGGAACTTTTATGAATTCCCCTTCAACGAGTTTTGCTAAGAACTTCACTTGTGGCCCACAAGTTGTGGGTTCATTCCACAATTTTACGATCAGAAAATTCTTTCATTTTTTATTGAAAAGTTGGGTCAACTTAATATGGTTTATGCTTCATAAATATTGATATCAGATCTAAGAATTCTAAGAACAAAAGTTTTCGAAAGCAATATTGAAATATTGGTGATGATGATGAGTTATTTATAAGTTTTCATCATAAAATTCCTAAGTACTTTAGAATTGGAATTTATTCATTCATCTTTTCGATGTAAATGAGAGTACAGTGGGTGCTTAAATAAAGTCTACCCAGCTTACTGTGCAAATTCTGTAACCCAAGCTCTCAACTCTCTGATGTGGTCGAAGTTACTCTATTCAAACAATAAGTAGAATACAGAAAAGCAACAAAATTAATGATCAAATTCTATTCAAAATAATGTTTTTGTGCCTCTGCCGCCGTTTACACAAATGAACTTGGAAACAATCCCACAGAAGCCCTCCTGACAACACCACAAAGTATAAAAACATCAACAGGAGTAGTACAAACAGTTTTTCTCCGCTCCCAAAAATCGTTCTTAATTAACCGCTTTCGTTAGCGAACTGAGTAACATTTTCCTTCTTCTTCCGCTGGATATTCACATTCATGAATAAAATTTTCTACTTCATGTTTCAAATTACTTCATTTATTAATAATGAATTTAAAAAGCTTCACTCGAGTAAAGTTTGAGATGATTATTTCGACAATAAAAAACGCAAAAATATTTTTAATCGTTGTCTACATAGAAACTTCAACATTACCGAAAGAAATGTTTTCGTTTCTTCTCCCATTTGGCAGCTTCTGGCTTGTTTTGTATTTTTCTTCCTCCTGTTTCATCCCTCGTGAAAACTAAAAAATCTCATTTGTTCGGATATATTTCATATCCAATCAGTCCTTGCCATCCGTCATGTCATTGAATGTAAGCAGAAATGAAAGAGAAAAGGAAAAGCTTTTTGCAAACAAAACCAAAACTTTTCCAAATAGCATAACGAACGATACAGAAGAAGGAAAAAAATTATAAATACTCATGAGTCAAGAAACGAAGGAAAACTTTCAAATTAGATGAAGCTAAGTTATTTGTTTTATTTACTGCTTCAATATTTTCCTTACAGTCCACAGCCACCCTCACAGCTTGTTCTCTCGTCTCTCATCTCTAGTGTTCTCGGTCTTAAAACAACTACCTTTCGAGAAAAATTTGATCTCTCGTTCATTTGCAGACCGAGGAAAGTTTGAGAACAAGAAAAAAAAACTTTCGTCTTGTTGCTTTCGTCTCTAACCTCCTGCAGCATTCAATAATTACCTTTTTAGATATTCACGAGAGAGAGTGAAACGGAGAGTCTTTACAACGTGATAGTTTTATTAACAAAATGAAACGAAGAAGAAAGTTTAACTCATCCTCACATTTCTTCTTTTTATCATTCTGGTTGTTGGTGTCAAAACCCGAATTCACTTCTTGTTCGTCTATACTTATTATCACGGTATTACCAACAAAAGTAGGAGAAGACGAAGGAGAATACTTAAAGATCAACTCATCCCATTCAATATTGCTGAGCTTAAAAAGATTCTTTCATTTCTTATTGTTGCTATTCAAAGATTGAGAAAAGATTGAAGTGATTTCCATCCTGAGTGGATTTATTCTCTTGGGAAATATTAAAAGCAGATCCAAAATTCTTCTTTTTTTGAAACTTGACGTATCAGTTTCTTTCTTGTATTCTTTAACATTTCATGGATGTCTAAATTTAAATTTCTTTTCCGCGAATAATTTTCTTTTCAATAAATTCATAAAAGAAAATTGTTTCTATGAACGTAACAAGCAAAACTCTGGAAACTTCAAAAAGAATTCAATAAACACGAGTGAAATAAATTAGAAGGAAAAAGCTTGTGGTCAGATACTCATCAGTCGAGCTTGAAAGGAAGTTATCGAGGGTTTTATTTTTATCTCAGCTAATTAGTGAGTTGTTTCGAATCGAAAACATGAAGTTGTTTATCTATTCATTAACTGTTTGTTTTATTTTCTCTTGCCTACTGATTCACATTCTATTTTATGGAGAAAAACAAGCTAAACATTTGATCTCGTAAATCTTCTGTTCTGAACTTATCAAATTGATTTTGACTTATCAACGAATTTCGACTGATGTTCTTTCCTTTAACCAAAAAGCAAATACATCACAACAGATATGTAAACAAACTTCATAATTGTCAATTCATTAATCCAAAGCTCAACTTAATCCTCAACATAATTACTGAAGCTTTTAATTTGCTTCAATTTCGCATTTCTCAAATAAATTAGTAGGAAAATTTGTGTCAAAAAAAAATTACAACCGCAAACATTATTTTTAGAAATGCAATGTTTGTTCTTGAATAACAAACATCAAACCAGTTGAATCTCTAATAAAATTTCATTTTATACTTCATTCAATATTTGATTTGATAAGTCACATCAACAACATTTTTTATTTCATTTTATTTAATTTGACGTCATTCAGAGTGAAATTTCTCAGACAAACATCCAGAGTTGTTGAACCTTTTTTTGTTAGACATTTTAAATATTCTTAAGCAAATATTTGTTCGTTATGGTAATTAAGTAACTAATTGACTGTCGGGTAGTGAAATTCACTTAAATAACTTTTCACTTTAACTAATTTTAGAACTTTTCAATGATAATCAATTATTCAATTATGAATGATGTGGCCAAAGTGAAGCTCATAATAATTCAACATAAATTTAAGCTGATTGAAGTTCTTTATAGAGCTCACCAAACATAAAAGAGAGCATGAATTTTATTGCAAAAATTATTCGGAACAATTTGCTGAATTGAAATGCCCTGTGCATTGGAAAAAGCTCACCAAAGCAATTTCCACCGGAGGGAAATTAAACGTAACATTTTTCCTCGATAATTTACTGTGTTATGAAAAATATTCTTTCTCTCTCATTCTTCTTTTATTCATTCTTTGATGTAGATTGTATAAAAGAATATTATATATCAATGCTATGTGCTTACTCAACGGCATAAAAATTTGCAACAAAAGTCCATTAGAAATGTATTAAAAAATAATTTATTGTCTGCAACAGTTCGTGTGTGTTCTCAAATCCATATGAAAACATTGTCTGTTGGAATCACTTCCTGTTAGCTTTCAAATTCATTTTCCGCTTTATAGATTTCATTGAAAAAAAAAGTTGAGCGATAATTAAAGGAAAGCCAATCAAATTGATATGAGTCTAATAAAATGAAATTCATAAAACATTTCACTTCAATTCATTCTGTCACATACGAACATAACTGCAAAAGTTGTGAACTTTGATTTTTGCAAATTTGATTACATTGTAAAACAAAGTTATTAGCAAACCATAAAAATTCATCTCATTTCCTTAAATGTCAATGCTTGAATTAATTTTCCATCAGTTGAAGCGTATGGCATATTGAATGCAAAAATTCTGAATACATGCTAGAGCTCATTCTTAAGGGAATTTCAAGAATCAACAACCTCCGTCATGTGTGGTTTAAATTATGAAAATTGAAGTTTATACTTAAATATATGAGCTGACTTTTTAATATTTTATTTCTCCTTCAGACTTATGCGAAGCACTTCTATGCAGTGTAATAAAAAGCACTCTAACGATTTTATACTGCTAAGCATTCATGTAATGCAACCCTTGTTCAATAATTATCGTGTCAATGACTATACTCCGTCATGTTGTTCGTCTCACAAGAAGGTAGAAAAAGGGAATAAAAAATGATGTTTAAATAAATGGAAGTCAATTTAGCAAACTTCAAATGCATAAAGAAAGTCTGGTTTATGACTTCATTTTGTCGACAATTCTTCACTTTCTCGACACAAACATTGAGAATATTAATTAAAGCTCATACAAGTATTTGTCATAAACCTTTCTTGTCAAAAACCACCGCCACCCTCTCCATTTATGTTTTTCTACACTTAAAGCTCTTGAACAAACAAAATCAACGCATCTGTAGCTACTAAGAGAATTATGAGATAATGAAGAGTTTCTAAACAAATTTCAATTAAGAAAATAAAATTTAATTGAAAAGGCAAACTGCCTTAAGTAATTTCCATTTTAACGTGTGAAAGACAAAACAGCGGCATAGAAAAGTTCAAAATTTCAGGTTTAAAAGAAAACTTTTGCTTCACAATGCTGAATTAAGGGGCGTGGGAGTTTGAAAGCTCAAACGTGTAATTATTCACGATAACGCGTAAATGTCTTTCGTTGGAACCTTTAGCATTTTCACTTATCATCTTTATTTTAATGCTAATTCAACTTCCACTCTGATCTTTGTCATTCCCTCATCGAGCTTTTTTTATGTCGCGTTCAAGCAAGCAAAACGTCAAATTAGAATTGTCAGCTTCCTCAAGCATTAACATTTTTCAACGTTTATAATTCAATTCTGAGGTGGTTAAGTGTTGTGGAATGAGAAAGAAACGAACAGAAGAATTCAAATTCTTATCTAGCATAAAGAATATAATGTGAACAGCATTAAACGTTAACCCCGTTCTCATTTTTGTTCGGAAAACTCTCCAAAGAAAACATTAGAATGAAGATGAAGAAAATTTGTGTCTCAAAAAGTTCTGTCACATTAATCTAACTCGATCTGCTTTATGAGACGAGAAAGAGTTTTTAAGCAAGAAACATAAAAGAAAAAGAAAAATGAAATCTAATTTGCAAATTATTCCATCGTTTCTGCTCTTGGGGGAGAATGACATAAAGATTACTTAGTTGTGAGAAGAGAAACTTTCTTTCTTCTATTTACTTTTCTCCTCACGATAAATGAGTAAAAATGACACAAAGAGAACAGTTCAAATTCACAATTAGCCTGGAAAATGGAATATTAGCTTAGCAATTAACATTTAAAAGCACTTTTAACGAATCACATTGTTGACGGAAACGTTTACGCTTCGACTGAGCTTGTACTTCTTCTGATATTTTAAATGGAAGCATTTTTCATTTCATTTTAAATATTACAATCAATAGGTTTTCTACTTGCTTAAGCTTCAAAGATTTCTGAATGACTGAACAACATCATAAGTTAAATATTTTTGCTTTGTATTGCAAGTTCTTAGAATTGCTTTTGTATAATAACAAGTGGGAGGATGATGACGAAATGCGATATCCATTGTGAGTTTCCATAAACATCGTTAAACTGTAAAGAAAATCTGTGATCAACGATATTATGTTTAATGATGTTGACTTGTTGAAGACACCTATTTCAAGAAAATAACAAGCTAGGCAAGAATTCTAGAATTTCTGAGCTCAACTAAGCGTAGGCGAATAATTTATCAAACTTTGTATTCTTTTTTCTTCCCTTCATTCATTAAAGGATCAGAGCCTAGCAATTAAATAGTTGAAGAAGTCTCATTAATAATCCGTTGTCACGATCAAACAATATGAAATGATTAAGATATTTATTTATGCATGAACAAATTTTCATTCTCCAATGTGACTAAATATTTATTCAGGGATTTTCAATGAGAAATAAATATTTATCGTAAGAAGCAAGGTAACAATTAACAAAACATTTTCCTTCTTATCTCTTGGGAAATTTTCGTCTATTTTGTAAGTCAAGATAAGCAAACGATGAACCAAATGGACCCATGAAAGAAATGGTCAACAAATTCATGTCGGTTATTATATCTGTAGGAGTTTCTTAGTTTCTTATTCTTATTCTTATTTATATTTTGTTGCTTTTGCTTCTTGTGAGAAAGTTTCTGGTTCAACTTTGCAATTACTTCTCAGCAGTGATGATATTAAATATTTCTAAAGAAAAGGCAAATAAGAAAGTTTTGTTGTTAGAAATTATTCACTTTCGTTCATCATAACCTTTCCACCTTCTTCATTAAATCTTCTTGTGTTCCAGACAAAGCTGTTCCTAATGAATCACTGAGATAAACATGATTTAGGAACATATCCAAAAATGTTTCTCAACATTTGGATTAAATAAAAACTTCTGTATTGTCTTGTGAAACGAAATCTTCTGAATTATAAATGAAACCACTAAATTATGCAAATCGACGCTTTTTTCCCAAACTTTTTACCTTCTTTTATATTATTTAGTTAAGGTACACGTGTTTCATATGAATATGTTGTATGTAAAAAGGTTATTTTAAATAAGTGTTGGACATGCTTTGATTTGAAAGTTTTTAATTAAATTCTTTGAAAAACTTTCCTTTTTCTGTTGTTTTGTTTTTCTTGCGAGGCTTAAATTTCTTTCTCGCTTACATTTATATTGATTTTAAGGGAAAGGTCCGAAAGATTGCAAAAAGCATAACAACATCAACAACAATAGAAGCAAAGTAAAAACTGTTTTCCTTTAATTAAAGTAAGAAAACACAATTTAGGCTTTTTCATTAGTGAAAAGACGAAATTAACAAACGTTCTTTTGCTTGAACGATTCTAAAATTTTTCTCTTTCTTTTGTTTATTCTCATTACAGAGCAGAAATCAAGACGCTTCGCCAAGGTGTGCCATCCAAAAAGGAGAAATTAACAGAATGGCTGTCGAGTTCAATTGCGGAATTACGCTCAGAAATTTCTGAACTACAATCGAGTGCAAGCAATCTTACAAAAATTTGCCACCAAAGGAATATGTTTAATGAAGATATTCGAAGTTTACGCGATGAATTGAACACTTACAAACTTGAAATAAGCGCAATTAAAATGAGACAAGATAAAAGCGATGCTTTGATTCATGAAATTCGAGAGGAAATCATTCAAAACTCAGAGGATCACGGGAAAAGTTTCACTGTAAATCACTTAATGGTAAGGATAATAAATTAATCGATCGATGGATACGTCAATCTTAAGATTAAGTACACGGAGAACTTTTTTCCCTTCTCGCCTAAAAGTTCATAAATATCTAAAACAACCTGACGCGTTTTCACTTTTCATTCTTCCCATCCCATTCAATTTGCGGCCTATAAACTTCATCCGAAACAAATTCCCGATACTGCTCAGCTCAATTTTCAATTAAATGTAAAGAAAAAAGAAGAAAAAAAATGTTAGGGTGGAGATTTGGTTGAGTTTGTTTTCTCTGAAATGCTTCGATAGGTAATTGATTTCCTTCTTATTCGCGATGGTTTCAATTTCCTTCTCTTTCTCCGAACTTTCTTTAGATTGATCTGTTGGCATGGACAGAAAGCTTTTAGCTTTGATTTGTTCGAAAAGGTTTCATGTTTCACTTTTTCAATCACTTCCCTTCACCACAACCATGTCAACGATGAATTTAAATCTCAGGATTGTTTAGTTTTAACAAGTTGAAAAACATTCGTGTCAAAAATCTCATAAAACATCTGAAATGTTCAACATGCGAACAGATCCATGAATATTATTAGTAAGCAACAAACTTGTGCATGTAAATTACCACCAATGCGGATTTTTGGTCAATGCTTGAAAACATACATAAATCGTCGCTTGAAATGTAAATGCCTTGTGAAGATTTTCAGTTCCCTTAAATAATTCTAAGCATTAAGGATAACGACAATGAATACCGCATTGCCACACAACAAGAGATGACGACAGAAAAGAGAACAGTTAACAACGTTGATCCCTGATTGTATTTTAAAAGCAAACGATGCAAATCAAGAGTAAAAAATGTCTCCTTCTCTCTCCCTTCCCATCTTGTTTCAATTCAATTTATGTTAAAATTGTTTTTAGTTTTCATGCATTTGCCTTGTTGTCCATCCATCCATCCATTCATCCATCCTTCTAGTTTTTTGTGATTCATCGTTGAGCAACCACAGTAGCAACAATCAAAATTGAGTTGTTTATGCTGCTGTTTGTAATTTATCACATGGTGTAGCAGTTTTAATGGTGACAGATGTGATGGAGAAATAAAAAGAGATAGAGAGATTTAACGAAGAGTTTATGAAAATTCCCTAGTTGTGGGCATCTTTCTTTCTTCCTTTTTTTGTTCATTCAACTCTCTTTCAACCACTGGTTTTGCTTTCATAAATTGTTTCGCCAAATCAGAGACCACACGGGACCGAAGTTTTTGTGGCTTGAATAACAATGTTTAATGATGTTACAACCACGTTTAAATCTGTTTTTGCCATCATCATCAGCATTTAATTTTTTTAAATTGAATTTCTAAAGTTTTTAATGAGCACTTTCACTCTCTAAACTTAACAATGTTTACCTTGAATATATTTGAAGAGAATTGAGTGGGCGTATGATATTCACTTCAGAGTTTAAAGCGAAATATCGATTTCATATGATGATATGAATATGATTTCCATCTATAAATGTTTGCGTTGTTTTTGAAATGTTGAAGTATCAGCATCTGATTGACTTATTTATTCGAAGTTGAAGCTTTAAAGCTTTCTCTGAAGGAGATCGTTTAATTAAATTTTGTAGAACCATCGAGACTTTGTAAGACGCCAAGAAACGAGAAAATATTATTTGTATTTGTCAAAAAATAAGAAGCAACGAATAATTGTCAGAAATTCTTTACGCGAAGTTGAAATTTGCGTGAATATGTTAAGGACATGCGAACGAGAAAGCAAAAAACTTTTTTTTGACTCTCTTTTATGTTCGTTCATGCTGCGTTTGTTTCATGTCCCTGAGAAATAATTTTGTGCAAAGAGAAACTTTTTCTAAAGTCAATTAGAGCACATAGCAGAATAAAATATTTTTTTTCTTTTTCGTAACATCGCAACATAAAATATTTAGTAACAAAAATAAAAGCAGAAAAGTTTTAGAAATTTTCTTCTTCTTATTATTTTTCATCTCCTTAACTTTTGATGAAGCAAATAAATAATTCCTGCTTATTGCTTTTATTTTAAAACTGAAATGTTTGTTTAATTGCTAAACAAGCTAAATGAAGAGGAAAAATATTGCTGCGGAAATTTTTCTCGGCGTCGCCTTTTTGAAGGCTTTTTAAGAACTTAATTAAGAGGAAAGAAATAAGACTATAAGGTGGGCGGGGGTGGTTCTTGGAAAGTTAAATTGAAATTGTCACTAAAAAGTGTGTCTAATATTTGAGCTCACCATCTACTTGCAAAATAATCAAAAGACTTTTGATTAAATAATTTATCAATCAACTCACATTATTTAAGTAGAATTTTTATCGATTTCAAAGCTGTTGGCTTCATTAATATTTCTTTCGTCTTATTAAATGTTTGTCATTCAACTGTCTGATATTCGTTTTAAGCTAATGAATTATTAAAAGATAAAGTTTATAATGTTGAAAGTTTTGTAAAGAAGTAAAGTCGAGAAGTGAGTTATGAATGAAGTCGGAAAACTGACCTGACTACTTACAACTTATAACAATGAGAAGAATAAAAAAATCAGATCTGAAAATGTTGCCAAAAAAAGAAAAGAAATATGAAAAATCATAAAAAGAAATTACTTCTCTCTTGGTATCTCGACTCGTCGAGTTTTGTACATCTGAATCAGTTGTTCATGCAGTGAAATTGCTCTCCCGTTTCTTCAACTTTAGCGCCAAAAGATGTGAACGAATGAAAATATGCGATAAATTTTTTTTTTTTTCCTTCTGGCTGAAGTAACCGAGCGACATGATGTTCCTGAGATCAGTGAGATGAGTTTCTAAGGCATTTCTTATTTTTTTGTTTTGCACCTGTCAGTTTCGTTTCTCTTGTTTTATTATATGTTTCTCAACATCAAACAGTTCAGCTAATTCTAACACACGCAGAGTTTATCATTAAAGAGAACAAGAGAAAGGAACAAGAATGAATGATGGCTGGAAATAAAAATGCGAAGGTCTACACATTCATCCATGTGTTTGCATGGAAAAGGCGTTTTGGGACAGAACAAGACGGAAACGTGTCAAAAATCTCTATCAGCAACAGTACAAACGTTTTAGGAATCATTTATCAACGGGAGTAGATGAAAAATCGGCCAAGTTTTCATTTCGAATGTTGCGATTCCATTGAATCAGATTTATCTCTCGAATGAACGATTCTTTCTGTCAAAAGTTACGCAGCAACAATTCAAGCGTAACTTACATTTCTTATCATCACCAATTTCTTCTTGTTATCACAGAAGAACGATTTCATTCATTCACGTAAATAAATTCCAAAAATTTCTCTGGTTATCTTTCTCCGCTCTGGTGACTACTGACTTTTCTGTCTAAATAATTGATTAAAGTTTTTTTTTTCTCAGTCATTTCAACAACGTTGATTATTTACCTTAAATGTGCTTTTCTTTTATGAAAAGAATTTTTTTTGTAAAACAAAAGAAATCTTTAAGACGCTCATTGAACGTGATGGCAATTTTGGCTAACTACACATCAAGGAATTGAAGCCTCAAGCAAAAGTTTTCTCTCAGAATGAAAATTACGAAAAAATCATGTCCATTGAGAGAAATTTACATCAATTAGAAATTAGCATCTTCATTTATATTATAATTTGTAATCTGTTTTAATTCATGATTTGCTTGAATCTTTTCCATTTTCATCGTTTGAAGTCACGAAATTTTTTTCTTCCTTTTCTTTCTTCATCTCAATGATACGATAAGCTCCATTAATGATTTTTATTGTCGCAACTTTACTGATACTTTGATAGCAGATGCTTTGAAATCTTAGATTTAGGGTCGACGAATGAGAGAAATATTTTCTAATGATAATTCCCTTCAAATTATGTTAATTTTCTCATGAAAAAGTTTTCTTGCTGCTTCTATTTTTAGGATTCACCAAAATCGAAAGATTTCCAAACGATTGCCGATAAGAAAATGCGCCATTATCGACTTTTGAGGCAACAAGTCCATGAAATTGAGCTCGATCAAAGATCATTGAAGAGAAACTTTATCGAAATGCAGAATCATAAATTATCTGAACGAGTTAGGAATTTAGAGATTGAGCAGAAGAGAATGGCAAGTTCAAACTTCAATTTAAGTCGTCAGGTCAGTGATTTTGACAAATTGCACACATCACTTTTGGAACTACTCGAAGATGTTGAAGAAATTGAAACGAAAATCGATAAAACTGTTCCGGAAATCCGACGTGAAATATCAAAAGTTGAAATCGATTCAGCGCAACTGTCATCGGATCAAAACATTTTGAAAGAAGAAGATCATAACATGGCAAGAACCATTCAAGCCCTTGCTGTTAGTATAAGCACTTTACAAAATGAACGTTCGAATCGTTACCTAGACAGTGAAGTAAATAAACTTAAATTGGAAATTGAAATGTTGAAAGCAGCTGCCATAGTTCGCAATCAAAATAAGGTGAGTATCGGTTGTAGATACATAAATATTTCAATCTTTCACAATATTTGATTCCCTCGTCTTCTCGTCTTTACCTTTCAAAATCACAAATGTTTTGAGTTGAACTGTGTATTAGTAGTTTTGCAATTTAGGAGCTAAAAGCATTTTATTATCAGAAGTAAGATTGAAATCTCGGAAGTTCAAATGAAATATTCTCCCCACATTGCCGCAAGAATCAAGCAAATAGAAACATTTTCAATCAACATACACATTTGTTCTAATGCTTTGCAATGTGCATCAATTAAGCTTACAATGTCTACCTCCTTCATCCTTCGATTCTAAATATTATTCATTTGAATCACTCACATTATATTCCCAGGGAATAATTCGAGCATTAAAATATCTTTACAATTTAATTGTTGCTCATGTGTTATTTAAACTAGATAAGATTATTTAACTATTATTATGCACATTTAACATAAATAATATCTTAGAGAGATGGATCAGGCTGAGTGAATAAACATTTTCCATCTTATCATCTAATATCACCATAGATTAATTAATTAAATTTAAGTAAATATTTTTTCAAGCATCAATAGGAGATTAAAATTGAAGCTTAACAATCTTGGACACAACATTTAAAAGACTTTAATTTTAGAAGTTGTTAAGGGTGACTTAATGGTTATAAATTAATTAAAGTTTCTAATTAACTTTAGTAGCAAGCTTTGTCTATGTTCATTTTGAGGAAGAAAGTTTACTTTTGTAACATCTACCAACGACCGAAATCCATAATAATGACGAGGATTCGTTTGAATTTGAAACGAGAAACTTTTCTTTCCACTTTGAGCATGAATTCATTTTGGAAATCGTATTCACACTGAATAGTGTTCATTTCTTTCCTACTTGAGTAACATAAATTAGGTTTTGAATTCATTTATCTGATGATATTCACTTCTGCTTGCTGCTGCATTAAGTTGATTTCCCCCAGAATCCACTTCATACAGAAGAAGTCAAAGTTTGCATTCGAAATTAATATAATTTATCATGTTATTTCGGGAAATATATTCTGCCACAAAAAGAGGAATGAAACTTAATGTTAAGCTTTCATTTGAATCTCGTCTCGCATTATATCAGAAAGAATTCTTGAATTCTTGAGTATTTCCCAGACAAACTGTTGAGAATCTTTCTCGGAGATTGTTCATTGGCAATTTATAAGAAACAAAACAAATTTTGCTTAGCCTCAAGAGAAAAAAAATGCAGTCGAGGGTAACTTTGATTAATTCAACGACAATATTGATGATTTTGTGTCTCTGTAGCATCATAAATCAATCTTATAATTTAATTTCGTATTCTTCTCCACGACGATTTTCCCTTCCCTCTTAATTTTCTTCTTTATAGTTCTCTTGCTCATTTTTGTTGCAATTTCTTTTCTTTTCTTTTCAAATTAGGATTGAATACATAATAAGCTTAAGTATTTCAAAAGAATTTCTTTTCTACCGCATTAAGATTCCAAGTTTCATATTAAAAATATAAAAAGTTTCTTCAAATAATCCATTGAAGATTTGATTCAATGAGAAAGCAAATCTCTTTTGTGATGAATTTTATTTAAAAAAATTCAACTTTAAGCACGGCAGCAAAATACAAAATTTCTTTTTGTCATATTTATTGAACCATAACGCTTGTCTACCTTTTCCATTGAGATTATCATACACAAAGCTATTTTTAACATCATTCTCATATAGAAAGTACTTCGATTGCGATATGTAATCACTTTGAGAATGCATTGAAAAATTTCCATCCACTGTGATTTAATTTCATTCACTTCGTGAAGCGTAAAGTTCAAAATTGTATATAAAATATTTTTGATTCTTATAAAAACCGAAAGAAAAGCTTCAATTTCTTCTTTTTGCGGCGCTTTATTTCTTTCAAAGAAATGATGAAAAATAATACCTGAAGAAGAAAGCGAAATAGACGAGACAAAAGCCGGGAAGAACCCTGTCATGTTGTAATCGTAATTAAATTTCCATTTTTCTTCTCCTCGTTTTAATCATAGGGTGAGGAAAAGAAGGAAGAAACTGCAGAGAAGTTGAGTTCGAGACAAGATGAAAGCATTTCATCAGAACAACTTAAGGTACTTGAAGAACTTGAAAGTGTTGAGTTACAGTACGAGAGCATTGTTAAGACTCTCCCAAACGATTGTTCTGAAATCGATTCATCAGATAAAAGCTTGCACATGATTGCGCCATCAAATCAAAGACATCCGTTGATGGTGAAATGTAATGGTCCATGGACAATTATTCAAAAGCGAGAAGATGGATCTGTGGATTTTAATCGCTCTTGGGAAGAATACGCAAAAGGCTTTGGAGATCCCGACGGTGAATTATGGATAGGCAACGAAATTTTACATCATTTGACAAGCGACAACTGCACAAAGCTTCGAATTATTATTCAAGATCTGCAAAATAATTCATGGTACGCAGATTATGATACATTCACCATCGCATCACGCGCTGAAGGCTATCGAATCGATTTTTCTGGTTACACAGGCAACGCATCAAATACTCTCGAGTATCAAAACCACATGAAATTCTCGTCCATTGACGTCGACCTTGATATTTCTAAAGGCCACTGTGCTGACGAATATGAAGGAGGATGGTGAGTTTGATCTTATTTTTGTCACAAAAACAAACATAAATAAATAAAGCTTTTTTGCTTTGTTACATTTAAAAAAACCATGTGGAATCTCAATGAGATTGTAAACGTTTCTGACTTTTTTTTTTGTTTTTTCCATCTCATGAGTTAGAGAAATCTTTTCTCTAAATTTTCACAAATATCTACATAGATGTGAATCTGTAAAGTAAATTAATGCGTTCTGCATTATGTATTCGCAGGTGGTTCTCGCACTGTCTCCATGCAAATCTCAATGGTCGTTACAACTTGGGTCTAACGTGGTATGACTTGTCACGTAACGAATGGGTAGCAGTAAAGAATTCGGTAATGATGATCACAAAGCGCCAAGAATGCCTTAATCCAAAGGAAGATTTGCTGGATGTGTTATCAAGTGAGACGAACAGTGATAGCAGTGAAACATCAGAAACATCGTTGAATTGAGTTCCAACATCAAATTCTTCTTCTTCTTTCTGATTAGATATAAAAACGCTTGAATCAACGTTGCACAATAATATATCTAGAAGTTAATTATTTTGAGCTTAAAAATGAAACCATCAAAAAAGATTTTTTTATAAATGTACAATGGAGATAACGTACAAATATCATACACACACCCACACATAAAGTAAAGCTTTTTAAACATCTACGGTTTCATCCCTCGTTTTAATTTCTCAATTTGCTACATATCACCCAGCATTGTTCAAAACATTTGATACAGCTCGAAGGAGAACACAGTGATAATAAATTTCTAATTAATTTTCAATTTAAAAACAATCCTCGCTTTCTTCTTAACTTTTTTTTAATGACCACATCTTGTTGCTGCTATATGATCATGAAATTGAGATAAAAGGAATCAATTTAATTATTTAACATAGCTGAACGGTCATGAAGAAAGCATTTTTAGTAACGACTATAGAAATATTGATTAAAATCTGCATCATGTTTAAAATGTTTTAGAAACAATCGTTTGAGATTCAGAGTACGCTCGACAACTTTTCCACTTAAAATAAAATGTTTGTCATCTTTGAGCTCCTAAGGAGTCATAAACTTTAACAGAAGAAGCATTTTAGTTTGGTAAGAATTTAAGAAGCAAAAAGAAGTTAAGATAAATAGAGAAAAAAAGCGATTGGATGGAAGCTGCATGTTAGGAGAATAACAAACAACAATAATATTTAATCTAATAATATCGAGAAATGATAACTTTTCAAGCGCTTCATCATCTCGAAAAACTTTCAGGAACATTTAAAGGTTAACATCGATGTTTTTCGAAACATTTCTCAAGAGATTTTCTCATTTGATTCGATGTGATGATGATCGAAGTTTGTTTTCTGAGATAAACCCAATGTATTGTTGTTGATGATTGCGATTGAAACTATTTAATAATAATATAATAACAGCAATTGAGAAAATTTCATTTATAATTTGATTATCTCGATACAACTTTGTGATCCCGTAATGTTTCGTATCAAATATCATTCTAAGGTGAAGAAGAAAAAAAACTAGAATTGTAAGACATCGTTGTAATGCTAATATTAAAATAATTCGATTTTCGTTATGATGACAAAATGAGATGTCATGACTTGTCATCACTCAATCATTCTCATTCCCAAAAAACGACTGTGGATGTGTGTGTTTGTGTATGTGGTTTGAAATATGATGACTCCAAACGTTCGATTAAGATGGCATGTTATCAAATAGGAAAAGACAATGTACCATGTAGAAAATTAAGTGATAGATATATGCTGATATATGTAAGGGGAAGAATGAAGAATTTTCCTTTCTCACAAATCTCAAGATTCTTGTACAGAAGAAATTATAATGAAATTATATTTAATGTCATACCAAAGGAAAGATTATAGTATCATTTAGCTTAGAACGTATTTGTATTCATAAGTTTTACGTCTATTATAATAACAAGTTTCTCACAAAACGGCTTAGTTACATAATCGGATAAGTTTCGCATAATGTTTCAATTACTTTAATTATTTATAAACTATTTTATTGCATTTCTCAACAGTAAATATCTGTACATAAATACATACCAAGATGAACAAGTCAAATAAAGTGTCGTACTTTCTTGCTTTGCAGATTGCAACTTGATTTTTGCTGATTTAACAAAACTAGAATTATATTAAGTTTTTATAAGAGAACTTATCGAGATTTCGAGAGCTTCTTCAATCAATAGTGTAAGTTAAGATCATACATTTTAAGAGCTTTTGATGATATTTGTTAAGAAAAATCTGTTGTATAAAACAATCTTTCAAAATAGCACTGAATAAATGATATTGAAAATCGAATTACTTAACATTTGAGAGTTTTTATTTGCTGAAAAAGGTTTCAAACTTTTAGATTTATTGAAGCATCAAAGAGGTAAAACCCATGACAAGGAAATGATTAATTATCTAGATTTTTGACATATAATCTAATATCTTCAACATCTGGAGATAATAACTTTAAAGTAGTATTTCATTTTAAGCTTTCACAATTTTAAGTGCTTAAATTAATATCATCATGAATCGAGCTATTTTTAAAAGCTCGATCTAAGCTTACTCATCATTGATTAATAAAATTTTCCGTTAAAATTTAAATTTGAATTGAGTTTGTCGAAATTTGTCGAAACTAAGAGTTTTATAATGTTCGTGGTCTGTTCATTCACCATCAATTCCAAACAAACATCAGGAGCAAAAATGCTAGTTTCGTATTGAAAATCAAAACATAAGCAATTGCAGATTTTAAAAAAGTTTAAAATCCTGTGAAAGTACCTTTAATTGAACGTTTAACCATCTTCGACGTGATATAAACTGAAAAGATGAGTGCAAAGAATCGATATTTGGGAAAAATGACTGCGGAACAACAGTAAATTTACTTCCATTAATTTTTCAATAATATTTTTCTAATTTCTTATTTTTCTTCTCTTAATTAGACATCAGCAAAATGAGAAAAAACTTGCAGAAGACAAACTTTTCATTTCTTTAAAACGGCACATAATTAAAGAACGTGAACACAAAAAACAACTTGAAGCAGAAACAGCTAAAGAAGAACAACTCAGGAATGAACGTGAAATGAAGCTTAAACAAGATAAACAGACTTTGGGGAAGACTCAACAAGAGATTGCACAAGTTGAAGAGCAATTAATTCAACTTAAAAATAAGAAACATCAACTATTTTTACAGCTAAAAGCTCTAATTACTAAAGAAGTTCACATGGAAAAGATGAGAAAAGAAAGGTGAGTTAAGAATTATTTCCATGAAAAAACCGTTTGAATTTACATTTTTTTCTCCAGTGATATTGCAATGAATGTGAGAAATGATGTTGGTCCGCCTTATGCACCTTATGGACCCAATGACAAAGGAATAAAGCGAGGACGTTCGCCAGTTCCCCAAGCTGATTATTACAAACATGCTGGACAATCTCAAGGCATATATTTGCCTTCAAAGAACAACGAAACTGGTCGGCATGAAACACGAAGAGCTGTTTTATGGTGTAATCCAGCTAAATATGGAACATCACCACATCAAGGCTGGCCCATGACAAGCAATATCGTCAACAACCGATATCCATTACCACAAACAGTACCAGCGCCACATATTTTACACTTAAATAGTGAACATCAGCAGCCACCGCCACCACAATTAAAACAAGCTCAATCTGCTCCGACTCCGACACAAAAAACTGGATCGATTTCAATTGAGAAAATCGGTGACAATATGAGATCCAAAATCACACCGCAACAACAAGATTTCACTATTCATCGTCGAATTGGAAACGTCAATCCACCTAATCAAACGCAACAAGAAGCTGAATTTCAGAATGGTCCATATCATGGAAATCTCTTACGATAAGCAAATTAATTAAACATTTTGTTTAAAACTTTTATTATTAAATTGATTGCAAACTATGTTTTGCTTATTTCATTACTTATTAATTATAATAAACATTGTCACACACACACAATAAAATAAACTATTAAGACAAATTTAAAGTGTTGCAAGTTCCTTAAGTCGAGGAGCAATTTGAAGTTTCTCATCAATTTTGAATTCACTTAAATGTTTTTTCAATGTTTCAGAACGTTGCAAGGACTTCACAAGTGTGTTGAGATTTTCAACAATTTCGTTTGTTGTTCTTTCCATGTCCGACATTCTTTGAATGAAGTCAACCAGAGTTTGTCCAATGTTGGATTTCAAAAGATTTTCATGAAGCTTCGTGTCATCATTGAGAAATGCAGCAATGATTGTTAAAGCAATGAGAGCTTCATTTTGCATTACGAGATGCGCTGAAAGTAACATTTTCACGAGAACATCGACAGTATTGTTTATGTTGATAAAAGTCTTAAGTGGATCAACGGAAATCTTTTTATCAGATGATAGTTCACGTGTTCTGTAACTATTTTTAACCATCCATGCCATTAATCGTGACGCTTCACTGTTAACTCCAACCATGTCTGGTGTTTTTGTGGCCCAATCGACGAGACGTTCAACAATTTTCTCATCTTGAAGAAATCTCAACGCCAGAGAATCTTGACCATCAACAAGCATTCGAAGTGTTCCAAGAATCTTAAACACAACTGGCGGCTGATGAATATCAAGCATTGGAAGAACAGTTTCAACTAATCCAGCAGAAATCACAGCAATCTTGTTCGGTTTTGGAATGACTAGATTTCTGATAGCGCTGAGCTGCAATTATCGTAATTAATTTTCAATTTCTCAAAAAAAAAATTCCACCAATTCTTACCAAAGCATGTTGAAGTCGGACATCTGATTCCGGTGAAGTGTTTTTCTTTAATATTTCAATCATTTTAAAATGCATATCGTGTTCGACCATTCGCAAGCAATGTTCATCAGTTCGAGCAAAATTTCCCAATGCAAGAACACTTGTTGTCATCAAATAAATATCATCAGACTCAAGCCAAGTTTTCATATAAGACAGTAAAGGTGTTTTGTCCAAAAAATGCATTGCTTCATCTAGGAAAAGAGAAAATATTGAAAATTCACGTTTTCAAGTTAATTTAAGCAACTCACCTCCCGTTAATATCAATACAATCAGATCACAAGAAAGCTTCACCAGCTCTTTAGTGTCAACATTGCCATGGTAGGTTTTGTAACTTTCAAGTGATTTAAAAATATGTTCACACAATCCTTCCCGTGCTAGTAATAATTTAACTTCATCACTTTCTGCTTGACACAACAACAATTCAAGACATGCTTCAACAATATCGGAATTTGTTGAGGTTTTAAGAGTTTTTGAGATTAAGATGAGAATTTCAGGCTTAAATATTAAATCTGATACTTGTTCGGTAAGAATACTTAAAAGAGGTAAAAGATGTTCCACACCTTCTGTTGTTTCCTCAATTCTACTTTTAACTTTTTCAATAATTTCCAACTCGATTGCTTTTTGACTTAATTCTTCATTGCCAAGGAGATAATTCGACATGACACCGCTGCGAACTTTAACAAATGTTTCACGATCATCAGAATTTTCAATTAGAATTGATGAAATATTGAAAAGTTCTATCAACACTTTTCCACCATCAATATGAAATATAACGTTTCTTGCGTCGTCATTTGAGTAAAAAATATTGCCGAGTGCACGACATAATTGAATGATTAATTCTAAGCCATCTTGTTTCCTTTTCTCAACTGCTATGCTAAGAAGATCATTGAGCTTTTCCAGAACATCATTACTTGAAAATTTCATTCGTTGTTCTGGTGATTTCGTTACTTCAGCAATAGTTTTCGATACAAGAAGGTTTATGTTGGGCGTGTTGCTATTGATGAGTAATTCAAGTAATGTTTCCTTAACTTCAATATTCTGAAGATTTTCTATGCCTTGTAATTTAGTAAGAGCACTTTCAATTCCAGATGTGTCTTTTTTCAATGATAATTTCTTAAGCTCTTCAACTAGAGCTTCCGCTGTGAAATTTAAACAAAAGAAAAAATGTTGTTTTAGTTATTGATTTCCCATAAAAATGTGTTTTCATCTAACTATCTAGGATAATTGATAGAGAGCTTATTTATTTTACTCACAATCCATTTTTGTATAAAAGATTTACAATAATTAATGTGTTGCAGTAGTAATATACGAGTTCTTTCCGAAAAAGAGGTAAAATAATTATCAAGACGAGGTTGGTAAACAAAACAGAAGTTTACGGAATAGCATCTAGTATACTAAAAGCACAAACAATTTAAATCAGGCAACTCTCATAATTTTCAAATTTAAAATTTGATCGTTTCTTAAGTTTTAAAAGTCTTGAAGTTTTCTTTTGAAATTGATTTCTTGAAACTGATCCGTCGAAATAAGAACTTAGCTCAACTTCCACCTCATTTATTATGCACGTTATAAGCTTTCAATTTCTTTTTCCAGCGATGAACACAAAAATGATTCACTTTTAATTGTTATTCATTTTTTTAGCGGAATTATTTTTAAGCAAAACAAATAATTGTTGTGTAAATTCATTCAATGTGTAAAAAATGTGTAAATTGTTTTGTTGTAGCGAATTCAGTTATCCTTTTTGATACGTCATTTGTATCGATCCCTCTCATTTCGAATTTTGACTCATTTTAATCACGATCGAGCAAGATGCGAGATCAAAAGAAATTGTCGTCGTAGAATCAAATTAGTTTCAAGTCGTTCGAAGTCGTTTAAAGTTGCTAAATTACATTCTAATCCTTCAGTTAATTCGAATAAGTATTAATTCAAGAGAATTAATTATGAATTGTCGTTATCAAGAAGTCGAAACATTAAAACTTGATTATTCTGTTCGCATGTGAGAAAATCGTCAGGATCATTGCACGTGGAAAGACACATCTTATTGTAAGTTATTGTTCTTTAGTCTTTGTACTATTTAACGTTTCATAAAAACATTTCACAGAAATAAAATCCAATTAACAGTGAAAAATTCAGTCTCAGAATTGATGTCAATGCACATGTGATAAGATCAAACTTGCGTTTTTGAGATTCAATATGATGTTAACCTCGACGTTTTAAGCTATGCTGCTTCGGTAAGTAATGATTCTCTAAAAACACACCTAATAGCAAATAAATAGTTAATAAATTTTGTAGATACCCAGCAATACATTTTCAAGAAATTCGAAATGCTATAAATGACATCTGAACATTATTGGCCAGATTTAAAAAAAAGGTAGGGTAGTTGGCTAGTAGTGACACCACCCGAAAACGCGTCCAGTAGTGACACCACTTTATTTCGATTTAATTTTATCTGCGATTAGGGCTTACCGGAAAAGGCGATTTGTTAATTATTTATCCTTGAACCTTCCTCTACCGTTATGTATTAACACATTCCTCCGGTAAGCTCTAAGAGCTGTTAAAATTAAACTAAGTAATAGAGTGGTGTCACTACTGGACGCGTTTTCGGGGGTGGTGTCACTACTAGCCAACTACCCTATAATTATTGTAATGATTTTTTTGCTTNAAAAGATTCCATGAATTGAAAATTTGTCTGGAGACGATCAGTAGAGGACCAGAAACTGTATAAGTTTGTTGAAGACATCCTAGAAAAAAGTAGGGTAGTTGGCTAGTAGTGACACCACCCGAAAACGCGTCCAGTAGTGACACCACTTTATTTCGATTTAATTTTATCTGCGATTAGGGCTTACCGGAAAAGGCGATTTGTTAATTATTTATCCTTGAACCTTCCTCTACCGTTATGTATTAACACATTCCTCCGGTAAGCTCTAAGAGCTGTTAAAATTAAACTAATAGAGTGGTGTCACTACTGGACGCGTTTTCGGGGGTGGTGTCACTACTAGCCAACTACCCTATAATAATTTATAACTTCAATTCTATATTTTGTATAATTTTAAATAAATTTTTAGGTCAGAAAATGGACACTAATCACTTTAATCCCATTAAATATTCTCGAGAAATCGAATTATTTTTGATTTCTTATATTTCTTTGTTCCAGTTAAAGTTGTACGAGAAGAATAAATTTTTCCAACTGAAAGCATTGCGAAAAAAAAATTCCACATCTATGATATTGCGACCAGAAAATTGCGAATCGATTTTTAAAATTTTAACCGTTAAAAATATGAATGCGTAAAAATATTTTCTAAGTTGAAATTTTAAAAATCGATTAATAAAGAAATAAAAATATAAGGTTTAGTACCATAATAAGTGAACTTTATTAAATTTAATGAGCAAAATTTAGTGAGTGAAAATTATATTTAATCTTAGAATTAAATTCTTACATTCATATTTTTAACGGAAATAAATTCAAAAAAAATCTGCAATCTTATGTTGGGAATAATTTTTTCGCAATTTTCTGGATTTGGAATAGTTTAGTCGAGGAAAAATTTATTCTTCTCAGTTGTACAAATTTGATCATAATATAATGCCTTGTCGCAAATTCATTTCAAATTTTAACTGACGTCATATTCAAACACGATAGCATACGTAAAGGGTAATCAACTACATTACAATTTTAGGACGTGGAATTGATAGTTTTTTAATAAAATTTCTCTAAATAACCCAACATAGCTTGTAAAAAGAATATGTAAAATAGTCCTCAACATCATAAAGAATCTGAGTCATATCGAGGATTAATCAAAAGTAAGGTGAATTCCTCTAAACATTAAGAAAGTATTTTTCTTCACTTTAATCATAAGGCAAAGTGTTTTGATATAAACAGTCAAGCGAAGGTCCAATAATTTTTTTTCCTCGAATTTTAATGAATTTATGATTGAGATGGTATTGCTTTTAGTGAGTGACCCTGAATTAATCGAGAAAACGATAAGCTTCGCTATTAGTCTTCCGACTTTTCTATTTTATTTATCTCTTCGTTTTTTCGTTCCAACATCATCACTCATAGGAAGGAAAAAATTTAGCCTTCAATGATTTAGGTCATTAACATAGAAAATAATGTAGAAATGTGAATTGAAAAAGTGTTAATTATCTACTTTCAATATCATTTTTCCATGTTTAATGTTTAGAAATGATCACAGTGAAAGTGATCCTTCAACGTCACATAAAAGGAAGAAAAAAAAAAGTTAAAATGCCAACTAAGAATGTTTTCTTTGTATTTGAGAAAAGAAAATGAAAATTAAAAGTGTCATCACACATCTTTAAGATTATTCTTTTATTTACATAGCATTAAGTGTTTGTGCAACTGATATGATTATATATATATCATTTTTGACTTTAATTTTAGAAAAACATAAAAACCATAACAAGAAATGGCTCAACAACCGCCTCCTGCTAATTATCCAAATTATGGTTATACACAACAACAACAATCGCCTGTAGGACATCAAAATGGAAATCAACAACAGAATTTGTCGAATGGTTATCCCTCGAATTTACCTCCGATGAAACTTCCTGCAGCACAACAACCCGTCATCAACTATCAAAACTTTCAAACTAAAGCGATTCAACCTAATCCTGGAGTAAATGGAAGTAACAACAGTAATCTATCATCAAGAACATCATCACCTGGTATCATCCAACAAAATGTTATTCCACAATCTCAATTACCACCATCGAGGAGTTATCCAAGTTATCAAAATTTACATCAACAGCAGCCACAGCAGCCGATATCACCACCTTCTAGTCAATTATCATCAACGTCAATGAATAATAACAACAACATTGATGAACTTAAATCTGGATTTGTTCCAAGTCCACTTCCTAATTCAGGTTCGATTATGACAACTCCCAATCAACAACAGCAGCAACAGATATTAAGTTCGAGTATGAAAAATCTTTCAATCAATCAAGGATATGGACAAGCAGGAAATTTCCAAACTCCTAAAATGCCTTCATCGAAAAGTGAACAGAATTTCTTGAATAATAACAACAACAATAATAATATTAATAGCAATGCTCCTGGAATGATAAGCAATCCAATGATAAATAGTCCAATAATGCCTCCAATTCCCTCAAAATCTAACACAATAAATAAACGTCCGATGTATCCAACACAACAGCCTTTGCCAAATGTTCAGCCACAGCAAATGTCAAATCCACAGACTCAGCAGTTTCAAACTCAGCCTCAACATCAATTTCCAGCTCAACCACAGCAGCAACAACAGCAGCAGCAACCAAGAAGCAACCTTCAATACCAAAACTTCCAACAACAACAGCAGCAACAACAATTTCCAGGAGGCATCGTCAATCAAGGCTTCAATCGAATGTGGGGTAATGAAAGCGTTGACTTAATGCAACATCGTCACATTTTACCAACAACGAAAGTTCTTCCACCACCAATCAAACTGAATCATCAGTTCCATGAAGCAACCAATTGCAGTTCTGATATTTTCCGTTGCACTCTTACAAAGATTCCGGAATCAAATGGATTATTACAAAAGTCACGGTTGCCATTAGGTGTTCTCATTCATCCATATCGAGATTTAAGCAACTTGCCTGTCATCAGTTGCACAACAATTGTGCGATGTCGTGTTTGTCGTACATACATCAATCCTTTCGTGTTCTTCGTAGATAGCAAGAAATGGAAATGCAATTTATGTTATCGAGTGAATGAATGTAAGTTAATTAATTTCTGTTAATTGTTCATATTTTTAATTAAAAATTCTCTTTATCAGTACCGGAAGAGTTTCAATATGATCCCGTGAGTAAAACTTATGGCGATCCAACACGAAGGCCTGAAGTTCGTTCAAGTACGATAGAATTCATTGCACCAGCTGAATATATGCTTCGTCCACCACAACCAGCAATGTATCTCTTCCTACTTGATGTGTCATCGCTTGCACAGCAAAGTGGATACTTGGAAACTGCATGTCAAACGATACAAGATCAACTCGATAACTTACCAGGCGATGCTCGTGCTCAAGTTGGATTCATTGCTTACAATAGCGCTGTTCACTTTTATAATATTGCTGATGGCTTTAATCAACCGCATGAAATTACTGTGCTTGAAGTTGATGGTAAAATTAAACTTTCTTCTCTCACATTCATTAAATTTTAATTAATTTATTTCTTTGTTAGATGTTTTTCTACCTTGTCCTGATAATTTGCTGGTCAATTTAAAGGAATGTCGTGAACTTATCAATGATTTGCTTCAACAGTTGCCAAAACGTTTCGCAACTGAACATGACAATAAAAGTGCGCTCGGTGCTGCTCTTCAAGCCGCTTTTAAACTCATGGTAAGAATAAAATTCATGATTATGATGATGAAAATGATTTTAATGAATTTTCTTAGAGCCCAACAGGTGGTCGTGTTTCAGTCTTTCAAACATGTTTGCCCAACTTTGGACCAGGCGCACTTCAACCACGGTAAATTCTTTTCTTCTTTTTTATAATAAAACATTTAAAAATATTTTATTTTTCTTTTATAACAAACAGAGAAGATCCAAATAATCGCTCATCAAAAGATGTTCAACATCTTGGACCAGCAACTGACTTTTATAAACGTCTTGCGCTTGATTGCTCAGGTCAACAAATTGCTGTTGATCTCTTTCTTCTTAATAGTCAATACAGTGATTTGGCGACACTTTGTGAGTTTATTTTCTATTTAAAATAATTAGGTAATTTGATTTTAACTTTCTTATTTATTTATGAAAAGCTGGAATAAGTAAATTCAGTGGCGGAACTGTTCATCATTTCCCATTATTCAATGTCAGTAAACAGCAACAAGTGACTGAATTTCAACGCGTTCTTACACGTTATTTAACACGAAAGATTGGCTTTGAGTCGGTTATGCGTGTCAGATGTACACGCGGCCTCAGTATTCATACATTCCATGGAAACTTCTTTGTTCGCTCAACAGATTTGCTTTCATTACCAAATGTCAATCCCGATTCAGGTTTTGGCATGCAAATAACATACGATGAGAGTTTAGCTGATGTGAAAACGGTTTGCTTTCAAGCTGCACTTCTCTACACAAGCAGCAAAGCTGAAAGACGAATTCGTGTCCATACAATTTGCTTACCGGTCACTGAAAGCTTATCGGAAGTTATGCATTCAGCTGATCAACAATGCATTGTTGGATTGCTTAGTAAAATGGCTGTTGATCGTTCATTAAGTTCGAATTTGAGTGATGCACGTGATGCCTTCATAAATGCAACTGTTGATGTGTTTACTGCTTTTAAAATTGCACAAAATTTACCATCAGGTGCGAGTGGATTAGTTGCACCACAAAATCTTGCGCTCTTTCCTTTGTACATTTTATCTTTGTTGAAGCAAGTAAGTAGTCAAATTAAAGTATTTATAAGAAAGAGAAATTTAATGAGAAAGAAAATTTAATTAGACGGCATTTCGAACTGGAACGAGTACACGTTTGGACGATCGTGTTTATGCAATGTGTCAGATGAAGTCGCTACCTTTAGACCAACTCATTCGCGTCATTTATCCTGATTTCTTCTTTTTGGATCCATTGTTTGTTGATGACGGTGACAAGGTTGATCCACCCAGACTGCAATTGTCATCTGAGAGGTAAGACAAAGATTTATTTTCATGATTAAATTATCGCTTATCAAACGTCAAATAATTCTTCATAGACTCGACTCACGTTCAATGTTCTTGATGGATACTGGAACTAACATTTTCATTTATGTTGGATCTAACACAAATCCTAGCACGATAAAGAATGTCTTCGGTACGTATTTTATTTTTAACATCAGCTGTCATGTTACTTGATCGATTGATTTGTTATTGAAAAGAAGGAGAAAGTGAGTGAGATGAATTTATTTATTTATTTTACGACAACTTTAGGAAAAAGTTCTGTGAATGAAATTCCCGATGTTTGTTACAATCTCCCGAAACTTGAAACGCCATCAAATGAAGCGCTTCATGAATTTATTGATGGTCTCAATGAAGACAAACCTTATAGTGCAACGATTCAGGTCATCAGGTGAGTTGTCTCATGTTTTATCTCATGATTTATTATCATTTTGTTTACTTTTGTTTTATTTTTCACAGAGACTCCAGCCCAAGTCGAAATCTTATTGTTCAATATCTCGTTGACGATCGTAATGAGAATAGTCTGAGCTATTACGAATTCCTACAGCACCTGAGGACGCAAGTGTCAAAATAAATTAAAAATGAAAAATAAGAAAAGAAATTTTGTATATATCTACATGAAGCGAAAATGAAGATTTTTCTTTAGTTTGTTATTTTTTTTTGAGAAAAGGAAAAAAGAAGTCTTGTAATAATAATCATCTAAATAGAAAAAAAGAAAAAATTAATAATCAATATTTATAAAAAAAAGAAAAAAAATTGTGACGTAAATTGCGGGAATCGGAAAATTCGAGGAATTTTCATTTAAAGTTTAGTTGCTGATGATTCCTGAATTTGCCAATCTCTGTCATAAATGTAGTTGAGACGAATCTTCATATTTTGACCTTTAATCCTATTTAATTGCACTTGAGTCGGTTGACCTTCTTTTCATAAATACATAAAACATTAAAACTGATATCATTTTTATTTTGAAGAAAGCATAAATGCTTCAAAACTGGGAATAGATAAATAAATAAAAAAGCATAAAAATCATTTTATTTCAACTGGTGAATCATTAATGGATTGTATGAAATGTTGTAAGGAGAAGAAATAGAAAAAAAACACAAGAAATCAATAAAAGGAAATATTACATGAGAAAGTTTTAGTTGAGGAATGACCGTTGGGATAAAAATAATAAAAAGAAAATTGTGTAATTTAGGAAATGATTTTCATTTTTCATTTCTTACTTTTCTTTTACAGCATGACATTGGTTAGCTTTATGCTTTCATGTTCTTCGGATATTGTTCAATATTCTCCAACATTTCTTTGATTACAAGATTAATTTGCTTACCAACGTCACATTTGTTTTATTTATTTCTATTTTCCATTTATCAGCTTGTTTTTCTAGCATTTTATTCAAAGGCAGGCAGATGAACGGGCAAACCGACGAAAGGGAGGAATTAAAATCCAATTGAAGATTGTACTTAAGTTCATCAATTGTAAGGAAGAAAAAGCTTTTCGCAGTTAAGCCTTGAGCACTTATAATAATATATGAGCGGTTTAAATGAATATGCATGAAAGATATCTTTTTTTGTAAGAAGATTTAAGAGGGAATGAAACGAAATATAAGAAGAGCTTCTTATTTAAAGGGAACAAGAAATGAAAACAGCAAAATTACTGTCGACAAGAATTGAATTTACAATTTAAATATCACATCAAAGAATTCGAAGCAATCCTTTCATTAATTTTCTTTTCTTTTCCTTTTCTTCTTCGGCAATAAAGAGCTTTTAAATTTTTATTAAATATTTTTCATTTTGAAATTAAATTGCCAGATAATTTGCTTATCTCGGGAAAAAGCTTATTTATTATTTCAACAATAATCATTTGGGAGTTGTTATAAAAGCTCTCTAGGGTTTTTAATTGAAAATATGATATTTTGATGATGATGGCTTCATTTGCGTGTTGCTGAGTTATTTACCGAAAATATGTTGGTTTTTCTTTGTTATCTCATTTGAGATGATTTAAAATTTATATAAAATTTCAGCTGGTTGAGTTTTTAGCAGCACTTAAATTTGAAATGAATTAAACTTTTGAATGAAAATTGCAATATTCATTTTCAAAACTTTTAAATGAAAAGTTCCGGAGGCATCACATTTAGCAATTCCTGAGCTCATCATAAACCTCTAGGAGGGAGTCCGAAACCCTGCCTTTAATACTACGCAACTATAATAGTTGTAAAGTGAAAAAATTCATTCCAGACAAAGTTTGCAAAAACTTCTCCAATTTAATTATCTGCATTTGTGATCTCTTCTAAATTTCATTTGAAAAAGATGAAAGTTTTCCTCTAAAGATACTTTAACTTTCATTATTCTTAATAGCATTCCATCAACTTTCCTTTTATCGTTATTTGCATTTTGTAATATAGAAACTTTTTGAAAATTTATTAATTTCATTATATAAGAGTCTTGGATTGAAACAAGAATTAACGCATAAAGCTTTGATTTGATGGAAAGCTTCCTTTCATGCCAGTGAATTTTCTTTTTCATTGCGAACACCTACAGCGGCGGAATGATTGATGATGATGATGATGACGATGATGTGTGTGTATGTGTGTTTATATTATTAATTAAAGTGGATGGCGTTTATGGATGAAGTTTTCTTCACTTCCGCAGGGATAACATTCAACAGCCTATATACATGTAGGTATTTACAGAACATTGTAAACAATAACAATGAAAATTTTTCTAATCCAACCGTGTCGTTAAACTCACATTTCCATACTTTAAAATGTATGTAGAATACATATAAATGTACGTACTAAGCATGATTAATATCTTTGAGTGGGAAACTATGTACGAGAGATGAAATCCAGAAATTTCGACGCTACTAACATCATAAATAAATTTTCTTTTCCACTTGGCCGCGTCCGCTCCCAAATGCAGTTAATTGTCGACGAAGGGAAAAACATCGTAAATAAAATTTGCTATTAAGACGTTGGAGATTCAATTGTAGGATAATGTCATAATGGGAATTTACGGATATTTTATTATCCTGAACCTATTAAAGATTGTATTCTTTGCTAGTTGTTCACTCACTCATTGTTCAACTTTCAAAAACATTTTTATATGAATTGCCATAAATAATTTTTCTTATTATTTTCCATTGTACAAAAAGGCAATATGAATTAAAGGAATGCTAAAAGCATGCATATTTTTAAGTTGAATAAAATCAAAAAAAATTCATATGAAAAAGCCTTGGAAAAAGCTTCATAAAGAGAAAGAGAAGGAGACATTAAAAATGAAAAGATGGGAAACATTAAGGTGTCAGTGAGTTTAAGTAAAAATAAAATGTTTAATTAAAAAAAACAGCACTTCGTAATTTTAATAAAAAAAAGTCTTTTAGGAAAGATAACAAAAATGTTTATGTTTATCGTTCTTATTGTTATCATTTTAACGAAACCACGAGAACTTGAAGAGAGCTTTCGTTAAAAAGCGCATTCTCTGAGAGAATTTTTCTTGCTGTCGGAAAAATTCTCGTTCTCTCTCAGTTTTTCATTACATTCGTTTACCTTGCCATTGTCTGTTCATTAGGGAAGCACAGCAAAAAAGTTCATTCGGAGATTGTTCGTGGTGAAAGCTTGTCGTGCGTGTTTTGTTATCCTGAAATTATTGTGTGAGAAAATAAATAACAAATGGAAAATTGAAAAATAATTCATAGGAAATAGATAAATGTTAATAGAATTTCTTCAAATTTTTGAAATATTTAAAACAACCACAAGCAGTGTTTTGAAACTCGATTGAAGAAGTTGAACTATTAAATTGTAGAGTTAGGTATCAACTTATGTGTATAAAGCAATTATCTAAGATTAAAGTGCAGAAAGGATTTAATATCCGTTTCTAACGAGAGAAAATAAATTTCAAACCAGAGAAAGTTTTGTTAAAATATTTCAAGTTTCCTTCACCTCTAATCTGTTTGATATATAAAATAAAATATTCTTTCAACTCAAGCTATCGAAGGAGTGTTTAAGGATAAATAGAACCATCAGGTGTGATGTGATCTGAAGCGAATATCTTGTGTAAAAAGATAAAAAAGAAAATGTGGTGTAAAAGAGAAGAACAAACAAGTAAAATAATTAAATTTATTTCACCTTCCCATCAGTAAAAATAGGTTCAGTAATTAAAAGGGGAAAAAATTACGAGAAAAGAAGAAAAAGTTTCTGTGAAGATTATTCCATGTCTTTTTTCTGTTTCTTCCGTAAATGAATTGTGTACAGTGTTAAAATAAATAAGTAAGCAGCGATAAGATAAGAAAATCATGCTGTGAATTAACATACGTTGAAGAAAGCCCGTTTGGATATATTTGCATAGATTACAGTCTTAATTTGCCACACTAAAACATCCCATCTTTGCTCTTGGGAAAAATTAAGGTAATTCTTTCACCTTTTTTTATTTTTCTTCTCCTTCCGCTTTTCAAGCCGCATACTTGCTTATGGTATGCAACGTTTTGCAATTTCAATTCAGTAAGGATTCTTTAACGTCGCTCGAGTGCGATTTGTTAAGAATTTTTATTTTTCCTAGGGAATGAGTGAAAAAAAATTTACATTCTAACAATTTACAAACTCAAATTACGAAAATGTTCTTTCTCACAACAAAAGAAAAGTTTTTTATTACAATTCTTATTGCGACACATGGTAAGCTGGAAGAATAAATAAATAAAATAGAAAACATGACTTAATAAGAAATTTTCCATCCTTTCTTTCCTGACGGAATGATTCAAACATTTTATTACTCAAGAATGAATCTAGCTGAGTATATTGTTAAGCATCAACAGGTGAAAGGAAGAATTTCATGTGGATAAAGCGAATGATTTTTATTCTTTCCATTTCCTTAATCCGAATTATAGTTTTCAGCTTATGCATGTCAACTCACATGCATTGGATAGAAATGAGTATTATTACATTATCCAATAATAACAAAACAATATAAAGTCAAGCGTAATAAAAGTCCAAAAAGCTTCTGTAACACGAGTGCCCTTCACTTATTTGTTAATCTCTACCATAGATCTTTAGATCTAATGTAACGCTGCCTTTTTTCCATTGATTTCTCTGAAAGTAAAAGTCTAAAAGAAAGAATAAGAAGGAAGACACGACACGCAATATAAAATGACACCATCACGTTTCCTTCCACATTATAACAAAGAATGGAAGAAACTTTATCGCTATTATGGCGTTAAGATTTTCTTTTTTTTATTGAATGAAATGTGATTTGGGGATTTCTCTATGAATAAGAAAAAATTAGTATCATTCTCTGCATGAGCAGTTCTCGAATGAATGTTGACGTGTTGGAATGTGAGACGAGACCAATTAACCTGGAAGTTCTCTTTTTTCCATCGATTCTTTCAGGTCTTGAACTTTTTATTTTCTTTCTTCACTTTGCAATTTGAAAAAGTTTTATTTTGTTTCTTCATCGTCTGGTCTTTATCAACAAGATTCAGTATGAATTCACTTCTCCAATAGCTTAAAACAAATAATGTTATTCAACAATCGCTTCCTTGGCAAACATTATTTTTAAAAACTTTAAACAATATACAATGAAGCAGAAAATTTCTTATAATAAGATTTAAACTTTCTTTTTTGTATTTCACATAAATATTTACTCTTTGAAAGTGGAAACTCAACAGCATGTTTCGACTTTCATGATAAAAAACAAATACTGAATGGAGTGTTTGGTATTTCAACTTCGTTTTCATCAAAGCGTCACATAAAAAATTGGGAGAAAATATTTTTTTAAATTTATGGCTTTGATGATTTGTGTTGTGTGTTAAAAATTGACGATGTCGAAATCTCAATTTCTACGGCTTTGTGTGAGAAATCGTAAATAAAATTATGTGAGTCTCCAGTTTGGGGCATTTTTTGTTGAGATATTTATGTTTGGATGAATTGCATTGAATCACAATTACTTAATTCGGATTGGAAAAGTAATTATTCTATTGGATGACTTCACATTATCGTTAGGAGGAATCCACTTAATGTGTCACATGAAATTAGCTTTAATAAAAGGATTGTCAGACAAAGTTCTTTTTATCTCGATGAATAATTTGTTTGAATGATGAATGTTGGTCTTCAGATCATTCATGCAACCAATAAATAAAAAGTTTTTTAAATTGTTATGTTTATTTTTCATCCCATCCAAACCCACAGAAAATTCAAAAAAAAAGAATCCGCTAGTAAGTGACTTTGCCTTTCAGCAGATCCCAAGCCAAGTCATCCATCAACAGAGAGAAGTAAGAAAGAAAAATAATTTCAAATGAAGAAAAAAAGGCAAATGAAAACATTCAATCAATAAAGTGATAACGGGAGAGGAAAGCCAAGGGAAACCTTTTCTTCAATTTCTGCCTTCTCATCCAAATTGATTTCATTAAAGCCCTACTAGCTTTTCCCGCAAATCTATCTGTTTATCATTCTTTTAGGAACAAAACCATTCGCAGAATGAATTATCGGTTCATTTTTCTTTTACTTACTTTTCCTTCCACCATCCACTCGGGAATGTACACATAAATTTATTTCAACAATTGCGTTCCGAACATAAAAAGATTATTTAACTAAAAGATGAATTACGAAATCGAAATTGTTTGATATTTAATTAAAAGCTCAATATTGTCAGTTATTTATTTACCATGATAGAATGTTTAAGAAATGAAACAGCATTAAGAGATATTGATAACTTCAAAAGCTCTCAATTACGTATTTTCTTTTGACATCAGAGTGACCTTTATCTCCGAAGGTCTCCTTCTGTTTCTTATATTCGATTAATAATATATTTACATTGAACGAGAGCAAACATTTCATCTAGAGAATTCCAAACTTCGATAAACCTCAAATTGCCAAAAACTATTTTCATTCAATCATTTTACGGAATGTTACAAGATATTTTATGCAATGACACAAAGTCAATCAATGCAGTAACAAAAGAAAAACAACATTAAAAAAGAAATAAAGGAAAATTGGAAAAGTTTTCCCTCATTCGACTTTGATGTTTAATATTTTATCGGGAAAATTATCTAGTTCATACAAGCAATTTGCCATTGCCACAATCATCAATCGAATGAGAATTAGTAATTGTCGATTAAGTAACTTACTCGAGTAGGGAAAACTTTTCGTTTCATTATCTTGAAGCTGCCTTTTTTTTCTTTTTCTTATGAAACTTGTTTGTTTCAGATCATTTAATGTCGAAGTTTATAAAATGGAGAAGCTTTTTAAACTCATAAGCAGAACGAGAGAAAAAAAGCTTCCAATCTGAATGTTATACGTAGAAAGCTATTTCAACAAGTTTAAAACTTTTTTGTATGATCTGCTTAAATGTTAATCTCTTGAATATAAAAAACCATGGAAATTAAGTTTAAAATCTGAAAATGAAATTTTCTTCGCCTTTCCGTTTAGCATTCTGTTACTTCATCCGGGATTCAAACATTAAATATATTATTAAATCTCGGAGAACGAAACATTTGTCCCTTCTGGCCTTTCTGATCTTTAAAACTCGCCTTCAGAGGTTTGCTATCGTTTTTGATGATGCCTTTATGAGCCCTCAAACGCAAACTTCCGAAGAACAAGAAACATAAGAAAGAAAATTTGATGGCTCAGTGTGGTGCTTGCGTATGCTTATTTATGATTATTTATGATCATCTTTGTACGCACATAAAAGCTGTAAAATACACATTTTACTTACATTCTACATATGTGAGAACGAACGAAAGCAAGCTATAAAAATGAAATTTTCACATATTTTTTCTTTCATCTTTCGATGATTCGCAGTAGAAACCTGTTAGCATTATCGATTATATTTTATGTGCCTACATGTAGTGTATTCAGGTGCGTGCGTGTGAGTAACGTTGAATCAGCTGTGGTGGGAAAAGCCGGGATCAAATATTTATTCGTGCCACAAGTGAGGATTTTTCTTTCTTTATTCATTTTTTTTGTTTGACTCAAGCAACTCTTTCCATTTCTGTCTGGGACGTGGTGTGAGTTCCTTTTCTTCTTTCCTTGCTTTTCTAACCAGGAAAGACAATTTCTATTGTTAATATCCTGTCAATGTTATCACGATTCCAAGTTATTCTTCTTAAACATCATAGTCGAATGCTAACGTTCACTATTTTTACAAAAATATTTCAAAGTTTCTCTCATGTTTCCTATTTTGTTGTTTTCCTACTCTATCACAATGAAAATAATTTTTGTTTACTATTTCTAACAAGACTGCAGTTTGACGTTTGGTAACTCAACAATATGTTGAAAAACAAACGAGCTCAGAATTTAAAACTTTACATTCGAAGACAAAAAGTTGAAATGAACAAACATCGAAGTAAATGCACAACTTAACATAAATGATGGAAGTTAATGAAGAAAAGTCTTGCAATTAACAAAATGCCACAAAAAGTAATGCATGCAGCACGTCATGTGATGTTAAGGAATAGATAAATTAAGTGAAATGTCGGGAAAATGTGAGGCAATCAAGTCATTTATGTTATTATGTTTTCATTGTGTTGCTTTTCGTATCAAGGAAATGTTTGTTGGGCGGTTCCTCAGGCGATATTATGTCTAGGACGTCTATCATTTTACAGCTAAAGTCTATATTTAAAATACTTATTCTGAGCATATTCAAGTGTTTTGTTCAAATGTGGAGAATTATTCACAACTCAACAGTAAGAAATTGCTTGTAATTTAGCTTTAATTATACTTGTCGACTTATGTGAACGGTGCAAGCAGTTAATTCTTTTTTTTAACGTGGCAATTATAAAACTTTAAAAATTAAAGCTGTGAATTCAAAAATTGAACGTTTGGGTAGAATGAACAAACATTTCATCTAGTGACAATGTGAATGTATCAACAGAAGTAATTTCCATATTTGTCATTCATTTTACCTCTGCATCAATGAAATTTGAAGTCAAAAGCTTTTCGAGAAAATGAACAAAAACGAAATTGAAAAGAAGGAAAAAATAATAAAAATCAACAAAGGGCACGATGATGAATGAATGGAAGCTTGAATTCTTTTTGTTTCGGTTTTAATTGGAGTTTCCATAAGCACCAAATACTTGAAAACGTCTCTTGTTTACTTAAGCCGCTAATTTGAGGGTGGATAACTCGATTTTATCGACACTTTTCTGTCATCACTGACTTAATTATGAATTTTTTGGAGTTCAAATCATTAACCTTGACCTTCCTCTTCACGAAAATCATTTGAGAAAATGTATTTGTTGAACGATAAATATTTTTAAGTGTAAAAGTATGAAATTAAAAACAGTTTGAGAAGAAAAATCTTATAAATAAATATTTTACTAAACTGGCAAGTAAACAATCACGTTTTGAACAAAAATTTTCTCATCTCTCGCTTACTGAAGATCTAGTGAAAAGTTTTATCGCTCTCACATTGAAAATAAAAATAAATCATTTAATGAAGTCTTTGGCGGATTTTCCTAGGATTGAATATTTATCAGAAATGTCACCGTCAAAAGAGAGAAATAAAAGAACAAGAAATTTAATAAAGTTGGAATTAAAAAGTTTTGACGCGTAAGCTATTTCAAGAAAATTTGATTCCATTTCCAACTGATGACTCGACTCAACTTTTCAATCTTTCCCTTGTGGTGATGTTTTCGTGCATTAAATAAAATAAAGCAAAAATTTGTATAAATTAACAAACCGCTGAACCAAAAATACCAAAATTCTTTTCTTACAACAATATTCCACTCCAACTCGAATAAAGTTCATTTGAAATTTTAATTTGCTTTCTAGAAGATTCTTTACGTTTATCATCAAAAAGATTCTCATCGCTATTAGCGAATTAATTTCATTGATTCTTCTTTTCCTTTTATTTTCAACAAATTTGTGTTATCATCTGAAATTGTTGGTTGGAAGTTACCTTTTAATAATCAACATAAATGAATTACAGCCAGCATATTATTTCACTGAGCTTCTCACTGTGGTGGGTATGATGATAAGAACTCATATTTCGATATTGCAAAAATAATTGGGGATTAATGTTATCAGCATTATTCATAATCGTTGCTAATTGCTGACGCTTTTTAATTATAGCGAGGATAATATTCAAAATATTTCCCTTGGCTTCGTGAACAATGGAAATTGAATTTATTTTTGCGATTATAAATTGAGGATTTTCAAATACGGATCAATTTTTATGGTCAGATTTCATATTTTAAATACAGATTGGTAGTCAAAATATGAATAAGCTTTCATTATTATAACCTTTACGACATTTGCCTTTCAAACTAACATCGCTCGTTCATTAATCTTCACTAAGCTTAGGTTCATTCATGTGAAAGGCGAAGGTGAAATGTACATCGCATTCACTTAAACTTTCTTTATGTATCTATCATATTCTAGATCTAGTTCTAGATCATTTACTTCGATACATTTATTAAATATTTAAGAACGAATTTATTTCTCTTTTTTGTATTATTCTTCACATCAAATAATAATAACAAGTCAATTTATGTTCTTCGTATATATATTTTTTGTGATTGATATCAACTGTTTAATGAAACTGTAATTTATTGCTTTCAAATCAAATCAAACAATGTGAGGTTAACAAAAGATATAAAGAAAAATAATCGAACGAAACTGCTCAACATTATTTAATTGCATTTCGTTAAAACGATATGAATGGGTTGGAGAAGATATGATGAAGTTGTTTACTTTAGAAATTCTATCATGGATTTTGTGTTTGTCTTTTACCTTTATAAATAAATTATAGTCAGGCATTGTTCGATGATTACGTTACTTGAATTCTTGTTTAACGAAACAATATTGTTAAGAGTCTTAAATAATTTCTGTCTAAGTGTAGTTAAATAAGGCATCGAAAAGTAAGAAATTACGTTTTCTACTCTTTCCTCACAAGTAAATACAGAAAATTAGAGCCTTCGCCTTCTATTAATGATTTCTACTACCTCGTTTAACATTACACGATCAATTTCCTTCTCAAACGATTCAACGATTCAACGATTCAAATTCATTTCACCAGGAAATAAGAAGTTTTTGTGAAATTTTCTTCACACTCATCTTAACCTTAAAAGAACAAACGAAGCAGACAGAAAATAAATATTTGATTCGATTTGACGGAAATTTCATCAATAATTTCTTTTCTGTTCTTTTCCGTCACCGTTCAAATGCGAGACGGGTTGATAAAGTGTGTGGAAGAAATTAAAGTTTATTTTGGAAAAGTCATGGGTGGGAAAGAGAATCGAAAAGAGAAAAGCACAAGCAGTCGATGTTTTATCCGTGGAAATGCCAGGTATGAGTTAATGTAATTTATTTTCTTTCGAAAAAAGAAGCACGGATCGATATAATACTAAGCGGAACCGAAATATTCAAGGAAATATTCATGACAGAGTCATAAAGAAATTTTCCCGATAAAGGAAATCAAGTGAAAGCTTTACTTAGAGGTTTAGAATTTACATTGAATGTAAGAGAAAAAAAGAACACGGTGTAAGTCTCAAATCAAGTAAAATTGGGAACATTTTGAAGCTTTGGATGAAAGCTTAATAAACAAATTGCTTTGAGCTTCTCGTGAGAATATTCTCCTGAATCATCCCTTTGATGCTGTTTTAGGAGGAAAAGTTTTATTGAAACGATTTAGCTGGTTAAAGATCTGCTTCATAATCTTTTCCTCTAGAAACCCATTTTATAAATTTAATTAAATTTTCAGCATAAACAAAGAACAAAAGAAAATGCAAATTCTCTTGTCAGGTTTTTCTTGGGTTTGGTTTTTGTTGAAATTTCTAATTGTTCATTCACAAAATTTGTGAAAAATCAAAATTGAATTCTCTCATCTTTTTTAAGCTGAATAAATTACATAAACATACATGAAAGCGACAAGATTTTTCATTAGAGTTGAAAGAAATTAGATTTGAGCTTCATTTATAAGAAAAGCTTTTACATTAAATGATTCTTGAACATTTTGAAATTCAATTTTGAATTTTCTCACTTCCGAGGGTAAAGTTTTTATTAAATTGACAATTTGCAATTTGCATTTGTCATCAGTAGAAAATTAAATGGATTTCCCTCGATTGAAAATACTTAAAGTAATTTGAGGCTTCAAACAACTTGAAAACGTCTTAAACACTTGAAAACATGGCTTATTGTTTTAACAACAGCAATTAACTATACAAGTATAAAAATATCTTATTCAAAGTTTGCTAATCTGCCATAAACGGAATGTGAAGCAATAAATTTTATGTGCTTTTAAGCAGAGTGTTAAGTTTGAATTCCATTAATTTAATTATGCCAAAAATATTTATTTAAACTTTCATGAAAAGATTTTCAACTTTACAATATTATTTCTGAGTTTGTGAGTTTTCAAGTTCTCGACGAAATGATGATGCGATTAATGTCAATGAAAATTTTCTCATTATTTTGATCTGCTTAAAAGTTCTATCACGAAACTTAAATATATATTGTTTCATCTTGTCTTGTCGTGTCTTTTAAGCTTTTTATCTTTACTAATTGATAATATAAATTCAATTCTTCATAACTCTCAGAAATCATCAAAGAAGAAAAGAGATGAAATTTTATTCAATTAACTTTGTACAGAAAGCATCTTTGCAATCTTTGCTTTGCCATATAAAACAGTGAATTATGAACAGTTGAAGAACTTTCTTCTCATTAATTAAACAATCACGAAACTAATTGAATTAATTAAAGAGAGCTATGTTCAATCGTCGTGTAAAAAGACTTGAAGCATTTTAATTGAGTGCAGATTTTGAATTCAAACCAACAATTTCATGAACTTTGAGAACGATGAGTTTTCGAAGAATTGTTAATTATATTGAGTGTGTAGTGAAAAAGATAAAAAGCTGAGCTGCAATGTTGTCTTTCTCCTTCAGATTTATTAGAATCCATTTTCTTATTCATGACAAGATTTACGACCAAGCTTTGAATAAAGTTTCGATTTAAAATCAAACAACAAAAATCTCCATAGTTTTGCAAAGACATCGAGATACACGAAAAACCGCAATAATTCTCTCATAATTTGTGTCATTAGATACTTTCATCCCTTTTGAATCACTTCTTTCCACCCTAAAGCACAATTTTCCATTAGAGTACATTTTTCGATCGATATCGATAAAAATATTTTTCCAATCCTATAATAAAATATCATTCATTTGCATACATAAACAGCCTATGTAGGCATGAAGTTGGGTCGAAGACACTCCTTGTGCTAAACTACCTAACGATGAATATTTTCTATGCTCAAAAACATAATCATTGGTAAGTTTTATTTCTCAAAATTCACTTGCCGTGAAATGTAAGTTTTTATAGACTTCGAGTCCATTTTTAGTCGCATTCTCTGCCGATAAAAGTGTTGGGTCCTAGAATTGGTTTCCAATAGCAGCTGAAAAGGGTTAAAATTGAAATTTCTTTTATATCCATGACATGAATAAGCCAAAGAATGAAAAAGCGATCTTAAAAAACAGAAAAAAAAGAAAGAAAATGTCGACACAATGAGCTTAAGTCATTCGATGTGTCTTTGTGAGAAGTCTTTCAAATTTTTCTTTTAACATTTTTATTGAGAATATAACTCTATAAAGGAAAAGAATTTTTATACCTTATTACCAACATTACAAAACGATTCGTTATAGATGTTCGTGAGACATGTCTAAGCATATATTTAGAGTTTATATTAAAATAAAATTGAGGTAAATTTTCTCCTTGAAAGCTTTTGGCAATTTAACATTGAATGTGAATGTTACAAGATTTTTTTTCCACAGGAATCTCGTTAACTTCTCTTCCCTGCCAACTTTGCCCCTTCATTCGTTCCAATATTTTTTCACTCGCTCCCTGCTTTCTTTCATGAAAAAGACACGGAAATTTCTGTTTTATTATTTTTTCTCTCTTCTTTCAATGCTTTATAATTTAAAATAAACGCTAAGAGGCAATAGCTTTTAAGCGAAGAGGAAACTTGTAGATTATTCAAAATGCTTCATCAAAAAAGAATTTTTTTTTCCTTTCTAAGCTTTCCATCAAACTCACATTGTCCCGTTTGACGCTTTAAAGAAATTTTTAGGATGAAAGAGAAAAAAGAGGAAATTCCAGGTTCCATTTGTTTATGAAATTTGTGCCTCGATGATGAACCCTTTTTCACTGTTCATTGCTTTTAAATAACGTAGACTGTGTAATTTTGGATACTTCGGCATTAGTTCACTTCAAGTTCTTCTGTATCTCAATCGATTTTGACGCAAGGGGAGAAAAATTGTCTCTTCTGTTGCCTTCATCTACACTTTGAATAATGTATAAACACGAAAACATCGCGAATAAATTCACTGACAAGGGAAAAAGGAAAAAAAAGAAAGAAAGAATGTTGTGAAGGAAAATTTTATTTTCTACACATTTATCTATTTTTTCTGCTTCCTTTGTGTCCTTTTTCGATTAGAAATAATGTAACAAAATTGGGAGATGAAAGAAAGTTTTCGAAAGCATTGTAAGTGCTGTTACGTCTTACCTTTTGTTTCACGAGAGAAGAAATTATTAAGATTCAAGGAGCAAAGCTTTCTGTTTTAATTACTTCAATTCCCTCTGAAATGATTTTCACCCGAAAACACAATGAAAAGCTTTTAATTTTAGACATTTATTTCTCCATTTTAAATACTTCTTCAAATGATGATGAAAATAAGCTTTTGAAATCATATTTTTCTTCTTCTTTTATTTTTCATGAACATTAATTTATGTTGCTTATAATTATGCTAATAACAATACAAACAGTTTACTCGCCAAATTAGATTCACAAAGGCTTCTGAGATATCTCACAAGAAAAAAATATTAATGTGATTTATGAAGACATGACAGAGAACGGAAGTGACATGAGATAAAGGAAGGAGAGTTTGACGACGCATACGCATGATTGTGTATCATGTTATGTTTGAACATAATTCAATCTGTCGTGTGCTTAACTACATGCTTTATATTGTATCCTAGCTTAGCATCTCGTATCGTCTCGTCTCTTGCATCAAAGAATAGGATAATGTAATAAATATAAATATTTTCTGATAAATCTTCGGTGGATTTTCATTAAAGGGTATGTTGTGAATGAAACTTTTTCATTTGGCTGCTGATGCACAAACTGGTTAACTCATCAACTTGATGTTGCAGATGTTTATTTAACCAAATATTGTGTTAACAATGCTTGACAATCCGGTTGACAGAGATGAGAAAATGCCGTCATTGGTGCCAGCTGGGGCAGGAACCTGTTGAGGTCGATACTGTGATTGTAAGCCGATAATCGGTCGAGAGATGGGACGATCACCAGGCTAATGGAAAATTGTCATATTATTTACCATGATTCGAATAATCCATTGTGAATTGCAATGATATTCCTCACACCATTTCTATCCTTTTCGCCGAACATAAATGTTTCTAAACTCTCTGACAGTCTCATGTGTGATTTTATACAATTGGAAAATCAGATTTTCACATATAAATAACCGAAAATGTACAAATATTTGAATATGCGTCAATTAGGAAATGTACGTTCGCAATGTGGACTTAAATTGAAATCTAACGATGATAATAATAATTGAAAGCCTCTAACTATTTGATAATCTATCTACTCAATTTAACTGACGAACATTTCCCACTTCAGCGCAACAGAACAACAACACAATTCTTTATCCACTAGTTAAGGGTCCTATAATTTACATTTTAAGAACATTATAATAAAATTATTCATGTATGTGATTTCTTGTTATTATTTACAAAGTTTTAATTGGGACATTTGAGGAAAATTTGCAAAACTTTCGTATATAGAAAAAAGGAAAGAGAGAGAGAGAGAGATAGAAATGGGAACAATGACATAATATCATGTGAGTGGGTGGAGGATTTAAAAGGTTTTAGCAATTAGCAATCACTATTCGTTCTGATATTCATGAATAGGAAAGAGAGAAGTAGGAGTGAGAGAGAGAGGAAGAGTATAATATCAAAATTTTATGTTTTCATTTAACTATTTAATATTCTTATATGATATCACGAAATAAGATATTTTGAGTTCTAAATTCATCGGTAGATGAATTCACTTAAATATGTAATTGAAAAGCAACAGCAAGAAATGAAATTAATCTCGAAATACGATGCGATCATTGGAGAGTTGATCATTTACAGAAGCATTGCACGTTGCACAAGGTTGAGAGGTCACATCGAGAGGTGATGCAGCAATGTTGAAGTTCGTGCTTTGAGTTTGATTTGGTGCAGGAATTTTGACAAATTCATATGCTCCTGGTTTCGTTTTATGAAGCTGTGATTGAGTTTTAGGTTTTTTTAGATGATAGTATAACTGTTTTCAGTTGAGTTAGGTTATTGTTCAAAGTAAGATTATTAAATGGAAGACATGAAAGAGAAAGGAATAAAAAGAAGAAGATAAGAAGCTTTCAGTTGTTAGTAAAACAATATCATCGTCTCGAAATCCCTTACGACCGAAATAAACGCGCTTCAAGCTTCAAGGACGTGGTGCCTTGATACCAACAGAATATAAAAAGCCTTTAAGATGATAACTTTCTCGTCTTAGGTATGTACACAAAATAAAAAAAGAAAAAAAGGAAACAAAAGACAAAATAAAATGCAAAATTAAATAAAAAACTTCTCACCAAACTCCCCAAGCAAAGCCAATTTTTGTTATCAGTTTTATTCATTTAATTTTATATTTTTTGTAGCAATCTCAAAATAAAAATTAAAAAGGAAAAAGCGGAGTTTTCTTTTCTTTTTTTTTGTTCGTATCTTTAGTTTGAATCTTACTTTCCAAAGGAAATTTCAAGCAAGACATGATATTTAATTAAATTTCTTCTTGTGATTTGAACGTACCTTGGCAGGAGTTAAAGTCACATTCAACAATGTCGGATGTTGATCAACCTACAAAAATAAACAAAGAAAATGAGCTCAGAAATTTTCTTTCTCCTTCTCTTTAAACTTTGAATAAATTTAAATAAATTGTGAAAACTTACCACCATGAATTCAATTTCGCGTGGGGAGAAACCTTCGGCATAAACCTGTGCAGAGAAATGACAGGAAGGGTATTAGTTGGAATGATAAAATAATTCTTAGGGGAATTAAGACAAAGTCATTCATGAAGATTTTCAGTCTAGATTTCTTCCATTAAAACATTTATTACAAAATTTAATCAAAGATAGATGATGAACTCTAGACCAAAGTATATTAATGATGCCATCATCAACATAAAACATTAAAGATGAAACATTGAACAAACCTCAAGTTTGTAGACGCCAGGGAGAAGAATTCTCCAAAATTCTCCATATTTGGTTGTTTGAAAACCAACATCACGACCCTTAATCTTTAAGGAAGCTTTCTCAATCGGAACACCATTCTGATCAGTTACAAAACCTTGAACTCCACGATGTGCTTCAGCTAAAAACTTCACCATTGACAGTTGATTATCGGTCCAATACTTTTTGAGTTCATGTGCTGGCGGGAATTTACAGCATGATATTTCTAGAGTGACTTCGTAACATCCGTACCACACGTAGTTAAAGTCTTGCATGCCACCAGTCAACGGATACCAAGCAGCGCCATTAGTTATTCCGTTCATAAATGAAGGAGTGCTTGCAGTGTTTTTACACGCAACACCACGAGACATCTTAGCATGGTTGCTAGCATAAACCAGTGAGAGATGTTTAAAGACGTCGTCATCGGGTGTTAAAGATGGAGTCGAAGCAAACGATTGGAAAACTAATCCCAGAGAAAATTTTTAATGAAAAAGGAAAATACATTAAATTTCTCTTTAATGCCAATAAAAGCATTTTTTTTGCAAAGATTTCACCACAAAGACAGTACTCACTGGCACAAGTCGATGAAGATCGACAAATCTCTTGAGTTCAATGTTAAGCATTTAATGGAAAATAAATGGAAATTCTTAAGTAACAAAAATATGATTTGTTAAAGAGAAAAATCTTTTTCATGGTGGAAAATAGAAAATCGTGAAAGATTGAGATTGAATTGTCTTGTCTTGATATTTCTAGAAGATCAAGTCAGTGTCTATACACTTCACTCTCGCTTTTTTCTTTCGCTGCTTATTTAGGATTTGTATCTGAATACGTTTGTAGCGAAGATGAAATTATGAATGAGTCTCTTGAGAAAAAGAGTCAGAATATCTCAATTGGCAAATGATGGTGTAAGGAAGGATACTCAATGTCAATTTACATGTCACAAGAAATTCGATTTAAGAGACTTAATAACTTCCTTGAGGATGATGATGCCGAAGCTCTAAGGAGGCGGAAGTTTGAAGTGATATTTACGATGTCATTTATATATGCTGGTAATCGAAGTACATATGCTCATCACATTATGTTTGCATTTCTGCAAAACATAAAAATAATTTTAACGATTGACGTCAACCTTCGGATTTTATTGATTTAAACAAGATTTTCGTCTGCTGCCCGCATGTCGACAGCGATAAAAATGAGAAAAAAAGAGCTCGATTTTATGGAAATTGAAATTTAATCGTAATTGATTTTCCTACTCACTGCCATCATTGAATTTCTTTTGAATTTTTCCTGAGTGTTTTTTTAAAGCGAGTTGAGTAAATTTGACTTTTGCTGTTGATGAAAAACCTTTCGATGCTCTCATAGTAGATAAATAGAAATGACACCATTGAGCGAGTTTAAGGCTTGGAAAATATTTTCAATTACAGCTCATTGATGGAAATTGACGTTTTCGATCTTGATACAATTCAAATTGAGTTTCAATTACTTCATTGAACGTATTTAAAAAAATTGTTTTGATTTCATTTTATAAACAAAAGAAACTCTCGCTAATCACGGTGGTCACATCAGGGATCAGAATGAAACACAATTCGACAATCAACGTTCAATTTATCACAAGAAGTTCAATTTCGTAAATTAAATTCAATGGGTTTTCATAAGCAAACCACTTAAGGTCTACATGGAACATGTGTGCGATTGATGATGTACGAGTGGATACTTACTGGCATTTGGAGTGTTATCGTAAGGGTAGCTGGCGACCTAGAGCATATCAAACAAAAATTAGGATGGATGTTAATGGCGTAAATAATTCAATTTCAATAGCAATCTTCTCAACATCGCACATTCTTGAATGTCGAAGTATTGAGAAATAAAAGTAATATCAAAATGATAATAATAATAACGTATGACAATAAAATCATACCAAAGCACCGCCATGTAATGATCCACTCAACAAAAATTGAATTTTCGAAATCCAATCTTTAACCGCTTCAGTTTCTGGTTGAGTTCGCTTTGCATTCTGCTTGAAGACGTCTGGAAAATTTCTATTCAAGTCATAGCCTTTGGAGTTAGCTCTGGATGGAAGAATGGAAAATGATAAGAGAGAAATTATGTGAAAGGTCATCACGCACTCGGAGTTAATTGAATTTTCTTAAAAAATTCCATCACGGTTGTGAAACACAAAGATTTTACCTTCCTTTTCCACCCTCACATTCACCTTCTCTCGAAGCAGCATAGCCGTCGGGATTCATGGATGGCATTATATGAATACGTGTGTTATCTAAAAGCCATTTGATATAAGGATCGCTTTCGTAGCTTGTGACAAAATACTGAATTAAATGAAGTAGCATTTCACGTCCAACGGGCTCGTTACCATGAATGTTGCCAATGTATTTGACATCGGGTTTACCCAACATGTGTTCATAAGGCGATGCAGAAACCTGTGAAACATTTAAACTTCTACTTAGATGAAAGTTTTCTAATTTGCATTTATGCTTACCACCATGACCCATAAATCTCGTCCTTGCACAGATTTTCCTGAACGAGCATAAAACATTTTAATATTGAAAGCGTAAAGTACACAAAAAAAATATCTAATAAAACGACAAGTTCGCAAATTTTCATGATTTCAAATGAAAACAAAGTAGGAAGTTATTCTTATTATCATGAAATGAAATCTTCCTTCATCGTTTCGAAATCATTCACTTACCTATTGAGTAGAGAGCGGTAAGATTAGGATAACGAAAAGCTGTTTGTCTAATGGAAACAAGAAAAGTTTTAAATTATTTTTTGTTGTTTTCTTCGGTAAAGAAAAAACTAATTAATTTAATTAAAAAAAATTGTTTGTGATTCACTCACCGAAGATAATTTGTCATCTCTTCATGATTATGATAGACAAAGTCGAGCGGCATTGAATCAGCATCATAGGATCGGGAAAAATCAGATAATTGGCCATAAATCAAGTGAACACATGAGAAGACTATCACAGATAACGAACGTAATGAAAGCATCTGTAAAGAAATAAATAACAAAAGCACACACACAAACAATAAACAATTATAGAATTTTCAATAGCCTGCTTAGTTTAATATTTTTGTTTATATTTTGTGGTAAAGTTAATTAAGTCGAACGATTTTTAAGATGAGAGAGAAAACACTTTCGATAATTTTCTTATCTACAGCAACGGAGAGAGAGAGAGTGAGCGAGCGAGTTGTTATGATGATTATAGAGTTTTGGGTTAATAGATTAATGTCATCAGACAGTAATTAGTCGCTATGAAAGTTACGACTTCTTCTCCTTTTTCGGATGATAATTAACATCCCAAGAGAATCATAATCGTCAGAGATTTTTCCAAGTGTCGTCGTTAACCTGTTAGCGTATTTTCTTCAGATTACATTTCTTTGTACGAAAGGAAAAGTTGGCAAGATTTTTGTTTGTTGTTACGTGACAACGTGAAAAGAAAAACATTTCAACAGTAAAAGTTGCTGTTTTAGCACAAAGCTAAAAGAAAGACGATGAAATAAAGTCGTATTCGCTTCCAGCAAAAAGCAAGCGTAAAATACGTTAAATGAAGGTGGAAACGCTTAAAAAATCTGATGAGCTTGACGAAATATGACATAAGTCGTAAAAATCCTTTTTTCTTCGATTTTTTTTATTTCTTTCCGTTTTCTGTTTCCGTTTTCACGACATCGTCTTTAACGAGATTTCACATACACAATCAAATATGCATGAAAGCGAGAAAAAGAAGGTTTAAGAAGGATGAAACGACAAATATTTTTATCGCTTTGTAATATTGTGTTAAGAAAGTTTGCACAGCGGAAAATTGGAAAAGTGCTTTTTACCCTTCAATCATCATTGTGGTGAAAATTTAACAAATTTGATTTCCAAACACTTTTTCTTTTCACAATTGATTTATTTAATGACAGCTCTCATAAGTACAAAGCCATAACTGTCAGTTTTATGTTACTTCCATGAAATATGTACATAAACTTAGTTACGTTAGAAGTTAGTTTTTCTATGTAATTGAAGCAACATCAGTGTATCAAATTTCAGACCTTTTTTTTGTGCTAACTTCATAGAGATTTTCGTGGAAGTTTTTCGCGCTCAATTAACACCGAGAAATGAAATTAAATATTTAATAAAGAGCATACAGAAAATATGCTTTTCATGGCTTCCCACGGACAGACGAGCATAAAAAAGAACAGAAGAGAGAAACCCTTTGCTTATTATTATTCTAATGAATGCCAAGCCGAATGTTCGTTTTGTTCACCTTCATTAATTACCTTTCCAAACACAGCAAAATTTTCCGACATCAATCTACAACGCGCACCTTTCAACTGATATGCAATGGCGGATGTTTTCTCATTTAACTCACAACTTTTTTCATGTTGCGATATGAAAACTTTCATCAGTGGATAAAAACAAAGTTTAATTTCCCGTTACGCCATCATGTCGAAATGTTTAATAATTTTTTTCTGCTGTTCTTTTCGAGTGAAATGTTTAAAAGCTTCAAACTATCGTGATTTTAAATTTTCACGTTTCACTGGGTTCGAAAATGAAAAATAAAATTCATTCAATTTTCCGCTATCACCGGTTAAAGTGAAATTGACAGAATGTGAAAAGTCTGCTTTCTCACAGAAGATTTTCAATGAAAACAAAACCAAAACAGAAAATTATAATCGAAATCAATTATTTAGGTAACTAACTATAAAGAGAAATTATGAAGAGAGAATCGAATTGAAAAATTAATAATTGATACGTTTCCGTTTGAAATTTTTTTTGTTCGTTTCATGATCGTTATTTTGATAAATTTTGCAACGCTTATTACATTGCTATTTAATTTCCAGCACCGTCATCCTCTGTTCTCAACATATTAACAATTTTTACATAATTGGAAACTTTTTAAAAAAGAAACTTTTGTAAATGTTAAATAAAATATACAATCATTGTCGTTTTTATCAATATGCAAATCAGATGTTACACAATTTCCATATCATCGAAAATATTATTATAAGCTGTGTGGATTATTTTTTCATTTTCATTGCTTGGTTTTAAAACACACACAACATGAGCAGTTTGGTTCTGAAAGTGCTTGAAAACATATTTTGATACCACATTTTCCAAATTCTTATAAGCGGTAAATTGAACCACTGATTTCCCCGAAATTATCAGCAATGAAAGCTTTACTTTCATGTATTTAATTAAATTCTATTACATGTTCATGTTTCAATGTTCATTACTTGAGTTTAACATCTTCCATTTCAAATGATACTGATTAACATAGAACATCACGAATGGATAATGTTAACTAAGTAACAGGAAAATTGAATTTCACTCACCCACTGAATTAAAATGACCGAAAAAAAACATCAACAACAAGTGAGAGAGGGAGAGGGAGAGATATTAATTTACATTCATTCATTCATTCATTTTATTTTCAAATGAACGACACACTGTTGCAACAAGTTTCTCATTGCAGTTCCTACAATACATGAAATTGCCATGATTTGCACAAATTATCATTCTCAACATTGTCTCGAAATGATGGCGCAAAGACACGTCTCGGAACGAAAACAAAATCGCTATTCTATATGGAGCAGAATAACGGAAAAATATGGAAAGAAATGTAGGCACCGAACGACGGTGAAAAGAATCGTTGGCATATTTGAGAAAGAGAGTGAACGAAGTGAACTCGAAGCATATGTGAAGTGTTTGTCATCCGTCTATGCCACATAACGGAAAATATTAAGAAATTTCGCGACATCTACATGCATGAGAAAGTCTTTTTTCACTGAAAAGGGATTAAGTTTATTTGTCTTTATTTTTCGTTTGTTTTGCAGCATTTTCAACGCATGATTTCATGGCACAAATAAGCAATAAATTTCTGAACAGCCATGACTAATGGATTCAACTGAATAGTGTCAGAAATTTGCATATACATCACGCAATTTGATTCGGCATGACTTTAATGGCTACATTTCTTACCAAATGCGAAGGACAAACGGAAAGAATTTTTAATAATGAAATACGGAATACATTTAATTGACCTCTAAGAATTTCGTTATGGTTTAACATTTTTAATAAGATATTCAGCAGCTTTAGAAATATCCACTGTCAAAGACCTGTTTACTCTATTTCAATTTGTAAATGTCGCTTTGAAAGCGAGTTTGTTTTTAGCATCGCTAGTTTTCTCTTAAGCAAACTGTAATGGCTTTCATTTTGCGTCATTTTATGAGTATGGCAAAAAAATCAATCGAAAGCACGCAGTGGAAATCGTCATAAATTTTTAAGCACATTTAGAAACATGAAAAATTTTGGACTGTAAAAGAATAAAATCATAATTAAATAGGTCAATGTAACATCCTAATGCAGGCATGACCATGACCATGACCCTACAAAGTTGTGACTCATTCTACTCTCTTCACAAAAAAAAAACACTCGAGTTAGGTTGAAAAACTTTAATGGCTTTAGAACTAGTTTTTTTCTCATTTAAAATCATTTCGCTTAGTTTCCACTTTTATTTACATTTATTTAGTGAAGACTGCAGTAGTTCTGTCTTCAGTGCTTTTTTCCACTTACATTGACACCAAAATCAAAACTTTTCTTTTATCTGCAATGGTTCCTTAACAACAAAAGCTTAAATTGTTTTCCAAAATAAATAATTTGAAATTGTCACTACTTTGAATTTCTATCTAGGTATTGAAATAATAAACTTCGAGACATAAAATCTCTCTTTTTATCTGTTCAACTGTTTCACGCAGCTGACAACATCAAACTGAGGCCTCAGTCTGTTAAAATAACATTGAAATACTGTGCGCATTATGTTCTTCTTTTTTCGTTTATTTATAAGTGTTGAAAATAATCGTCGCTTCTTCATGTTTCTCTACATTTTCTTATCTCTTCTTTTCGGAATATTTATTTATACATTCAAGAAATCATACTTAGCTGTGTGGATAGATGCAATTCAAATTCATTTCACAGAAAGCTGTAAAATCGAATCATGAGGATTTCCATGAAACGATTTTTGAGAGAAACTTTTCTCTTAAATAAATTAGGATAATTATGATGATCATAACAAAAGCATAATTTTTAAAAGTCTTGAATTAATGTTTAGTTAAATAAATTTTCAAATACTTTATTTGTTTTAATAAGCTAAAACTCAATAAGAATGTTAGACCCAATAAGAATTTCATGGGCTATCAGTTTTTCCATACTTTCCATACTTTCCGTGCTTTCCATACTTTCCGTGCTTTCCATACTTTCTCTTCGTTTTATTGTTACGACGTTTTCGTTGTTTGTAAGGAGGAACTGAATGAGAAAATTCATTATTTACAAGCATAACAGCATAAACCGATAGAAAATAAATTACCTGTTGTTGTAGTCGTAGTTTCTAAATATAAGAAGGTTCAAACATAATGAAATAAAATAAAATTAGAAAAAAATATCGATTATAATAATTCTTAATTAAAATATTACCGTCAGGGAAGGTATAGCAAGGGGCTGTGAGAATGAAAAGTGAGAAAATGAAAAAAAATTAAACTTATTTGGATATAAGAAAGCATTTAACTTACGATCAGTTGGAGGTTCTGTTGGTGGCTCAGTCGGGGGTTCTGTAGGTGGCACAGTTGGTGGCTCAGTAGGGGGGTCCGTTGGAGGATCAGTAGGAGGGTCCGTTGGAGGATCAGTAGTAGGGTCCGTTGGAGGATCTGTAGGTGGGTCTGTAGGTGGATCCGTCGGAGGGTTCGTTGGTGGATTTGTTGGAGGATTAGTTGGAGGATCTGTAGGTGGCACAGTTGGTGGCTCAGTTGGTGGGTCAGTAGGAGGGTCGGTTGGAGGATCAGTAGGGGGGTCCGTTGGAGGATCAGTAGGTGGGTCCGTTGGAGGATCTGTAGGTGGATCAGTTGGTGGATCTGTTGGAGGATCAGTTGGTGAATCCGTTGGAGGGTTCGTTGGAGGGTTCGTTGGTGGATTTGTTGGAGGATCAGTTGGAGGATCTGTAGGTAGATCAGTCGGGGGTTCTGTAGGAGGTTCTGTAGGTGGCACAGTTGGTGGCTCAGTTGGTGGATCAGTAGGGGGTTCCGTTGGAAGATCAGTAGGGGGTTCCGTTGGAAGATCAGTAGGGGGTTCCGTTGGGGGATCTGTAGGTGGATCAGTTGGTGGATCTGTTGGAGGATCAGTTGGTGAATCCGTTGGAGGGTTCGTTGGTGGATTAGTTGGAGGATCAGTTGGAGGATCAGTTGGAGGATCTGTAGGTAGATCAGTCGGGGGTTCTGTAGGTGGCACAGTTGGTGGCTCAGTTGGTGGATCAGTAGGGGGTTCCGTTGGAAGATCAGTAGGGGGTTCCGTTGAAGGATCAGTAGGGGGTTCCGTTGGAGGATCAGTTGGTGGGTCCGTTGGAGGATCAGTAGGTGGGTCCGTTGGAGGATCTGTAGGTGGATCAGTTGGTGGATCTGTTGGAGGATCAGTTGGTGAATCCGTTGGAGGGTTCGTTGGTGGATTTGTTGGAGGATCAGTTGGAGGATCTGTAGGTAGATCAGTCGGGGGTTCTGTAGGAGGTTCTGTAGGTGGCACAGTTGGTGGCTCAGTTGGTGGATCAGTAGGAGAGTCGGTTGGAGGATCAGTTGGGAGATCACTAGGGGGTTCCGTTGGAAGATCAGTAGGGGGTTCCGTTGGGGGATCAGTAGGAGGGTCTGTTGGAGGATCTGTAGGTGAGTCTGTAGGTGGATCCGTTGGAGGGTCAGTTGGAGGACCTGTAGGTGGGTCAGTTGGGGGTTCTGTAGGTGGTTCCGTTGGGGGCTTCGTGGGAGGGTCCGTTGGTGAATCAGTTGGAGGGTCTGTAGGAGGCTCGGTAGGTGGTACAGTTGGAGGATCAGTCGGGGGCTTTGTAGGAGGTTCAGAAGGCGGCACAGTTGGTGGTTCAGTTGGTGGACCAGTTGGAGGGTCTGTGGGTGGATCAGTTGGGGGATCTGTAGGTGGGTCAGTTGGGGGATCTGTAGGTGGGTCAGTTGGGGGATCTGTAGGTGGTTCGGTAGGTGGCACAGTTGGCGGCTCAGTTGGAGGATCTGTAGGTGGTTCGGTAGGTGGCACAGTTGGCGGCTCAGTTGGAGGGTCTGTAGGTGGGGCAGTTGGG